TGATCCTCTAGGGGGTTGTCGTGTCACGCCATATGGATACGCAGTTATGTTGAAGAAGGTCGTTTTTACAGTTTAATGTTATTTCTCTTTTCTCATTAATCTGGCCTTGATTATTTCATCATGTTTGAAATATTTTGAATTTGTGATGCGGTTTTTTCCCCTTTTCCTCTCTAGCTTCCTATTACAATTGGGCTTGTCTCTCCAGTTCAATAAATTCCCTGCAATTTTGGTTTGGAGTGATTCTTTGGGTAATTTTTAGATGTTGTTGTGATTATATTACTTTTAATGTCCTTCAGTTGATGGATTTTGCCCATGGTAAAATCGTGTTGGCTTTAGAAGGAGGATACAATCTTGAGTCTGTAGCAAATTCAGTTCTTGCTTGTGTTGAAGTTCTGCTAGAGGACGACCCTATTCATGGGTCTTCAGAGGCATATCCATTTGAATCTACATGGAGTGTGATACAAGCGGTAAAATGACGTGGTACCTTTTTGGGTTATTATTTATCCTTTTCTTCCTCCTGTTCTTTCTAGCTGATTATTATTTATCGTGAGTCATTGGTAATATGCTTCGAAGTTCTTTGTTTCTCTGATGCATATGTAATCTTCTTTCCAGGTTCGCCAGAAACTAAGTTCTTTCTGGCCATCACTTGCAGATGAATTACCAGAGAAGCTAACCAATAAAAAAGCGCCTCCAGCTGCTGTACGTTTCCTTTTCTCTCATCAGTACTTTTTTGTTTATTGCTTCTGATGTTGAGTAGTCAATACTTCTATTCAAATATTTGATTATTTCCCAAAAAGCTTTTATTAAACAACTTAGGAACGGACTCTCTCTCTCTTCTTTTGATACTTGGTAGCTATTTCTTTTGTTCCCCACAAATATTGCTAAGATATTTGTTTTGCCATTCTAGTATATTCTGACCTCAAGCTCTGATTCTGAAGAGGAGGACTACGAAGCTCCAAATGCCATATCGAAACATCTTGAGGAGGTTCTTCAGCATGTTATAGAGCCCCTTTCAAAGTTGAAAATTAATGAAAGTATTCAGGGTAATGACTCAGATTCAGTAAATGCTTTTAATGTTTGTTTTAGTTCATACGATAGCTGTTAACTGAATTCAGATCATGCGGCAAGCAATTCTAACACCTGGAGATCAGAGCTTTCAAAGGTTGATGTCTGGTATGCTACTTTTGGATCAAATCTGTGGTTGAAAAGATTTCTTTGCTATGTTGAAGGTGGACAGGTAATACGCAATTCAAAAAAAAAATCTAATATTTATGTTAAATATGAAACAGATTTTATTAACACCTACTTCTTCCTGTACTTTATTTTTAAACTTCACTTTTTGGTTTTCAATAAAAATCGGTGGCAGTCTTTTAGATGAATAGGAAATGTTACAATGTGGTTACTTCTGAATTCTGATGTCTTGCCCCTCATGTTTTAAAACTACCTTTTCTATTCATTCTTGTCTCCATCTGCAATATGATTTTCAGGTGGAAGGTATGAAAAAGCCATATCTTGGTTCGGGGGATAAAACTCCACCAAAGGAGATTATGTGGAAGACTTTCCCTCATCGCTTATTCTTTGGTCGTGAATTTACACATACATGGGGACCTGGAGGGGTTGCATTCCTTAATCCTAAAAGCAACATCCAGGATAAGACTTATATGTGCCTGTACAGAATTACGTATGTTTTCTTGTGACTCAACTCTGTCCTATTTTTATCTTTTGCTTTCTGTGGATTTCAATTTCTGTTCAAGCATGGCACTTTAAAAATTGGATTTCCACTTGCCTGAATCCAACAGAGTTGTGTTTTAAACTCATTTGTTCTCTCACAGGCTCGAGCAGTTTAATGATGTGCTGGTTCAGGAAAATGTTGCAAGTTTTGCCACCAGCTCTCCTTTGTTTGACTTGGCTGCTGTAAACTCAGTCACAAGTGAAGAGCCTCATTCTCTTCAGGTTCACTCAGAGTTAAAGGTATCTGAATTTGTTATGCTTTAGTGTTTTAAAATGCATTAAGCATATTCCTGTTTGTTAAACTTACTGTGTGGATGTGGTCGGTTTTGTTTCAGAGGTGTTGGTACGGAAATGTCGTCTACTTGGGCAAGGAGAGTAATATTCCGATACTGACTATGACGTATGCATCAAAGCTTTCCATTTTTGTCTTCTCTTTGATTTTTCTTTTGTCCTTTTCTTGGTGTTGGCTTGTTGATTTAATTGTGAACTCTGTATGAATTGTCAATCCTTTGATTTTTTAAATTAATAATATGCAGGTGTACACAATCAGACATGGAGGGCTTCAAATCTGGAGAGCTTGCCGTGTGTGCTCCAGCCAAAAATTATGCCAACTCAATAGTGAGAGGCCTGGTGGAAGGAAAACAGCTCTCACAGGAGGCGGCTATGGCTTACATACAAGAAGCTTCTACTAAACCATTGTGAAGGAAACTTTTCATCCTTGCAGTATTTGTAAATCTAGCGTAGTAGTATTAGTCCTGATGCTGGAAACATCAATTTATGGTCTCCTGGAGGCCAAGCTTGCAATCTAGTTGACATGTTCTATTCTTCGATATTGATACGGTAGATAGTACCTTGAAACGGATCATATTGGTGTCGCTCTGCCTTCCAAGCAGATTATCAAATTATGATTATCATTTCTTTATTAGTAACTTTGGACAGATGTATATTTCTTATGGGAGTTTCAAAGCTGTCCATGGTTCCCATAAAGACAAATAGTTGCCATTGATGATCATTCTGGTGCCCTCTTTGTATGCTTTATGAAGAACACAGATCAAGACATACTCTTCCACAGCAGAATAAGTGTTGGACAAGAGGAATTGAGGACTTGGCGATAACCTTCCATGTCATGTGGTGGGAGATGTAGAGGGATGGGGTACTACACCCGTGATAGCGAAGTTCTTTTCCAAGAACCTGACCTATATATTACCAGACGCCATAAAGAACCATAAAAGTAAAAATAATTCAGAGGCTGCCAAATGATCTTGCATAGAGTCCATTTTTTGACACAGTTTAGTTCTTATAAGTTGTACAGGTAGATTTTGATTCTGTCTTGAGTTAGAAGAACTATCAAGTCTGCTGCACCCTTGCACAGTAAGAAACCATAAACGTGAAAAAATCAGTAACATTAAGAATAAAAGGACTTCAGATAAAGAGGAGTTGAGTGGCTATGAGTTTTAAGTGTGTAATGCTTGCTCATAAATCTATGGAACCTCGAACATAGTAGAGAAACAAGGCCACTCTGTTTAATTTCTACATTATGAAAAGTTCTTTGTGCCATAGTCATTCTTCCCGTGAACGCAATACTCATATTTATTATTGAATAATTCAATTTCGAAACCAAAAAAACATGTAGGAATAAGGTCACTAAACATCAAAACATCAAATTATGACCATGTTAGGTTGCATTGGTGAATCACAGTTTATTGCAGTGTGTGGTGAAACAGATTGCCAGAAGTATTTTAGGAGAAGCAAACCAAACTTCTGTCTCGAAACAGAAAGAAAAGCATCATGACTGATAAAAGTGACAGGGCAGGGTTTTTGCGGCGATATTTAGAGTTATAGCAAAGGTTTCTCACTTTGCGTGACGAAAATAACCACTCCAATTTGTTTAAACGTTTTAGCGACAAAAAAAAACCGCCGCCAAAAGCTGATCAGCGTTGCTAATAAATTGTTATCGACGGCACTGAAAACCGTCGCTAAAAATAGCCAAATGAGGTTCGATAGCCTCCGATGCTATTCAAACGTACATATTCAATAAATCCTTTCCAACCTCTGTATCGGTATTCCATTTGACAGTAAAATGTTTTTTCGTCCAAATTATTACTAGGATACATGATACAATGCCCCAATCCATTCAACAATGGGGAATGGACTGGGAAAAAAGTTTTTAGTACACAAGTTTTTTATGCGGCACTCTCGACTGAGGAATTCCACAGCCATGATAAGAGTTCAACATTCCCTGTGAACCTCCAGTCATCCATATGCCTCTTCATTGCTTCCCGCCAGCCTTTGTACCTAAAAGTTCACAAAATTAAATGGAACATCACAAAAATATTTGCTATCATGTCCAACATCCATTTAATGGGGAACAGAACTATTGAAAATTTTAAAATGCGACATCCATATTAGAATATATGGGTAAAACGAAAATTACTACATAAAATTTCCCTCCCCGTCTTGGGGAACATGTTCAAATGTCAGTGTGGAATACCAATCCTATTACTAAAGCTAAATGGTTGCAATTGATTCTGGTGCCTTTACAACCCCCTCCTTTAAATGCTTTGTACAGAGCTAAAGATCTATGCACACACTCTCTTCTACAACAGAATACAGAATTAGGGAGAGGAATTGGACAAGGACCTGATCTATTAATAATTACCATAGAGAACCATGACAAAGCAGAGGCTGCCAAAAGATCTTGCACACAACACTACTCTCCTTGAACACTAAGCTTATGGATACAGTTCTAAAATTTCTAGCATTGTGTTATAACTATAAAGTCTATTGCCCACTCCGCACCATAAAAAAAACATCCAACTTGAAAGGATTGAACAGCATTTCAAATGCATCCAATAAAAATTTCAAACCTTCCAACCACAGCATTTTGCAAGATAAACCAGTCTTTGAAATTATGCCAATTATAAATTTATAAATAAATGTTCCAAAATTTTCTCAACATACAAGTTGCAATCCGACAATTTCATTCCTTTTTCTGCAGACATAGTTGAATTCACAAAAAACTATGAACAAAACCAAAAGATTGCTTGGGATACATGCCCTTTGCGATAAAAGAGAATCCTTAAATCTGTACCACCCATTTAGATTACCAAAAAGAATGGGGTGCTTCCTGCAGAGACCTTTGACTATTTCTGTAACTTATGAAAATGAAAGAATGCTCACAAATAAAGAATTGTCGCCGATCAGCAACTACAATACTCTTCTATGGTTGATAATTTAATCACATCAAGCATTCAGCAACTGTTCCCTCATCACTTCAGCTTAGCATGTCCAGTATCACCCAAATGCTTATGTAACTTGTTTCTGTCATGATAAAACCATCCAAATCCAACTAATTAATATCTACAGCAGCCAAGTATGGTTGACAGTCAGATGTCAAGGCAGAGCAACCAGAAGTGGAATAATGCATTGCATCAGAAGAGACATAATTAATTACCTTGAGTCGAACTCCTCTCCGCATGTGTCACACAGATTGCTAGAATTCTTTGATGCTGCCTGATTTGGGAAACAGAATGAAGCAAGAATTAACAGCAATTAATAATATTAATACGCACCGACATCCATTATGTGGGAAACTAAGAGACCTAATTTTGGCTAAATCAAGCACCTGGAACGTGACACCTAAGAAAAATCTTTGTATTATAGATTCAGAAACTAAGTGTCGTGTCTAGTCCTCGCTAGTTTAACTTAAAAACAATGAGCAATCGTCACTCAGATAAGAAGCTTTTTTCAAGTTCCATCTAAGCACATCGTCGTACATCCAGTTCTAAACCAGGGGTAGAAGATAGTAGCAACAAAAAATGGTAAGGGAAAAAGTATTATCTTAATCTTCTTTGAATTCATACAGAATATCTCTAATCGTCGTTTTTGTTACCCAAGTGCATCAGCAACTGCAGATTGAACATTTGAAAACAAGGAACATACCATACAAGCAGTTAGGAATCAATCTGAGATGTATATCTTCACATTATAGTCTGCTTATCATAAGTTCGGTTATAAAGCAACAACATTACCTTAGCCTTCTTCCCTTTAGATGAGTTCTTTGATTTGCTGTTTGCCTCTTTCTTCACATTCTCTTTCTTATCAACAGGTTGGCTTGAGCTCTTTTTCTTTCTTGCTAACTGATCATCCCCTTTATCATTACTCTCTTTTTTTACAAAAGAATGAGATGCGGATTCTTCTATATGTGAATTATCATGTTCATTAAGCTCCTCACCCCGATCACTATTAATTTCACTTCTACCAACCTTTTTAGTTTCTCCACTACTCTTCTTACTCCTATCTTTCCTCGCTCCTCCTTTCCTTCTTGTACTCTTCCGGTTATCATATTCCATAAACTCTACCTCATTGTCATCATTCTCCGCATGAATATCAGTCACGAAGGAATCCTCTTGTTCAACCCTCAAAGCTGCATTTTTCCTACTGTTTCGGCCAGCCAACATTGCTTCCAGAACACCCATCTCATCTTCACCATCATCTCCATCCAATCCAACTGCCTCATCAACCTTTTCCCTCTCATTTTCATCACCAACTTCATAAAACTTATCCTCCCTATCACTCACTCCTACCCCATTTTCCTCCTCCCCAATCTTCAACCCTTCCCTAATCCCCTCACCTAATTCATCAGTATCAACCCCATCAATATCATCCACCTCACCCCTTTCTTCAACCTCTCCTTCCAAAATCTCTCGAGCATCAAACTCTTCATCCCCAATTGACTCCCTAAACTCTGCAACCTTATCGCGGTGCTTCTTCGACTGCTCGTGATTCTTCCACTGCTTCTCACTCTTAAACTTCTTCCCACATACGACACAATACAATTCCTTCCTCCTCCTCTCCTCCTCCTCTTCCTCCATTTCCTCAACCTCATTTCCTCCTTCCTCTTCCTCAACCACTTTCGCCCACTCTGGCTCCTCATACGCCATAGCTCTCTCCAATTTCTCCTTCTCCAACTTCTTCTTCTTTCTCTCTCTTCTTCCCTCTTCCTCTCCCTCTCCTCCTCCCTCTTTACCATCATATCCATCACCCTCTTGTCCCTCTTCTTCACAAATTCTGCCAAACCCCGCACCGTGTCGTTGTACTCTCTCTTCGCCTTCTTCCTCAGCTTCTTGTTATCCTCCTCCATCAGCCTCCTCACCTTCCGGTTCGGGCCGCTCATCACATCATACTGGTCCACCCAGAAAAAGTCCATCACCGTACAAAAGCCCAACCAGTAGTTATAAAACGCCGTCACCTGCGCGTAGGGACTTTCCAAATTCCCCATAGCCGGAGCTTCACGCATCGTGTCTAACCCTAACCCTAATTTACGAACGTAGCTGAGCTCGTTGGCGTAAATTTTATTGAAAACATCGGCGTAGACCTTGTAGAATCCGCGACCGGAGTCGGAGTAGCCGGAGAATACGGTGGTGGAGAAGAAGGAGAAGAGGTTGGGGATGACCGAGTCCGGGACCGAGTTGGCGGAGTTGGGATCGGCGAAGAGGATTTGGGAGCGGTGAGAGTCGTACCAGGCTCGCTCTTTAGGGTCGGAGAGAACCTCGTAGGCCTGGCTCAGCTCCTGGAACTGAGCCGTGGCTTGGGCCTGGGACAAGCCGGATTGGACGAGCTTGTCCGGGTGGCGCTGCAGAGCGAGCTTCTTGTAAGCCGAGCGGATCTCATCGGGTGAGCAGTCGCGTGCGAGACCTAAGACCTCGTAGTGGCACCGCCTCTCCGACGATGCCATGTTTGATCGATGATGTTCCTCTTCACTTGTTTACCCAATTGTTCGGATTTGACAGCTAAATTTAATTATGGGTTTTAACGGGGGTACTTGTGTCTTTATGTCCTGGAAGCAAACTTACGTCTGTAGACCTAATTTAATAAAAATAAAAATAAAATATACAAAGACGACCCAATAAACTTGGATTTTGAAGAAATGGGCCAGCAGACCCAAGTTTTCAATCAACACTTACTGGCCCAAGACGAAATAGCAGAGGAGTGACACCAAAAAGAAAAAAACAGTTGACTCAGTTCTTTTTCCTACTTTGACTAGCCTTTTCTTAAAACAAATAATTAATCATAATAAAATGGTAAAACAAAATAATTAAAGTAGTTAATCAATTTTTGACAAACATGTGAATTATGTTTAGTTACACAGAGCTCATTCAACTCTAGATTTAGGCCAACAATCAAGGGAGAAAAACTTAATTGCAACGGGGATAATACTGTTTTATTATCCTCAAACAGTAATGTTGGTCTTTCTCCAACCAAGGGTCATTGTTAACATACGAGAGGAAGAATTGTAGGACAAAATTTGGCAGGGTTTTATGCTAGCATTTGATGCAATTACAAGCAATTTGATATCGGCCTCCATATAAAACTTGAATTTTGGTAATCGACTATAACTTGATTCATCAAATGCAAAGAATTTAGTGGGTAAAGTGGCCATGTGTCTTTATATATCTTTAAAGATTGTATGTTAAAACTATTCTCAATTAATAAGAGATTTAAGAATAATGTTAGGGACTAAATTTGAGTCCCAAACTATGTGATATGTGCCATGTCATAAAGGGTAACCAATTCCAACTTGTATTATGATTTAGTTTATTTCTTGTAGAAAAAAAATAAAATAAATTAAGACCTGTAGTTAGCCATAAACAATCATCGTCGAGGCTTGTTGCTCCAATTTTGTTCTGCTTCACCATTGCATTGCTTTACCGACTGTTGCATGGTCTTGCCAACTGTTGCGCTACCTTGCCCCACCGTGACCATATCAAATTCTTTTAATGGGTTTATTGGTCATGAATCAAGATGAACCAAGATACCTTGAAATTGAAGTGACAACCTCTCGAGAGCATTCGTTAAAAGATACGTTCTAATGTTATTAGTAGTGTTTTATCTAGAACTTTAAGTTAATGAAGTGTTATTGTTAGCATTATGGATTTCTCTGTTATTGTGACTCGTGAGGAGCTATCTTCAATCTAGTTATCGTCGTTATTATGCTACAATAATCCACTAAACCACGATCAAAATTTATCAATCATAACCATATTAAAATAATAAAAAATTCATTAAAAGAATTAGCCATGGTTACCATTGATATAGTGCAACATAACATGCAATGATCGAAAAGACAACACATCAGTCAACAAGCCTTGGTGATGGTTGAATGACAGTACGACGAGAAGTTTGATGGTTTGGCTAGTTTCAATACTTTGATTAATTATGTTTTAAGCTTTTTAATTTTTGTTCATAAAAAAAATTATCATCATATAAGTTGGAATTAGTTAATTAAATATTTATAACATGTGACGTGTCACATTATTTGAAACTCAAACTTAATGTACAAATTGGTGGTCCCTAACATTATTTATAGTGCAACTTTAGTTTCATCCTACTTTCAATTTAATCAATCAACAAATTATGAGTTATATTTTAGAGTGTTTTAGTCCAATTGGATGACAAACAACAACTTAAATTCGGTGCAGGGGAAGTAAAGCAAACATTTACTTGAAAGCTTAAAGAAAAAGACACTGTTTTTTGCGCAGATGTGACAGTAAGGCTTATTGCGGCGATTTTCCACCTTTGGGGACAACATATATGCCCTTTTATGAAAAAAAGTCTTTAGTTGCGTATAAAACCGCGGCTAAAACCTTTCGGGCGTTGCTATTGATTTCTTTCTCCACAGACGTAAAATTCGTCGCTAAAAGTTGGCGAAATGCTAAAACCACTCCCCCTTGCAAAGTAGGTCATTTTGGGACACACGCTTCTACAATACAAAATCTACTTTTATTCTCTATATTTATGTACACGTACTATTAAAATTCTCAGCAAAATTATTCTTTGGAATACATGAAAATGCCCCTATATGTTCGACAAACTATATTGGATGGGAACAAATGATCGGTTCATGTTTCTCACGCTGCCCCTTGTAAAGGCGATCCCTTTTTCTCTACCGACATGCTAGCAACATCTTGGGAGTTAGGATTGCTCAATCCTTCATTGAAGCGGTCTCTGAGAAATTCCACAGCCATAAATGTAAGAGCTGAAGCTGGAATATACCATGTAATCCTGGGGATGCTACCTCTGAACATCCCACGTGCACCTTCAACCATCCATATGCTACGAATTGCATCCAACCAGCCATTATACCTAAAGTTCACAAAAACATTAGATGGAGTAATAGAACCGTAGACAAATCCTAGACAGAAACGTGAGGTCCATATCAAATATACCAGGTCTAAACTGACAACAACTTTCCTCCCCATCTTGGGCGAGCATGTTGAAACCTCAGTTTGAAATAATAACAGTCAACACAAACTTTACCAAAGTGTATTTTCTGACTATTGCCCATCAATTGGTCCCCAAGATTTTAAATACTTATATGGCAATGAGTGAATTAATAAAACAGCTACATAGTTGTAAGAGTAAAAGAGCTACACAGTTGTAAGAACCCCTCGATGATTATATGTAGGACAAAAGGTGTTTTGTGCATGTGCACCTATATGATCACTGTTCACATACAAAAAGTCTTGCTCAGGTAACATTAAGTACACTAACAACACATTATACTGCATCTGATACTTGCAACAAAAGTAAGTCTTTCACTGACAACAGAGAGTCGTTTGAAAATAATGAATAAAATAACCACAAAACAGAACTGATACCTCAAGGTTGATCCCTGTATTTGCAATCTTGTTTTGACCACATCCAAGGGAGTGGTAAGATATGCACTAAACCCTGAAAATTTCAATGCCAAGTACAAATTACGCCACAGGATATAATAACTTCAACCTGCACCAAGTTGTAGGACAAAGTATAAGCAAGGCACATACCACCAGCCAATCCTCCTAGTATGAGTCCTTCAACAGAACTATTAATACGGAAATTTGGATCGCGTATGTAATTTTGCTTCCCATACTCTGTCAAATCTTTCAAGCCTTCATAAAACACAACCTGCAATAGAACAGATGAACTCATAATTTTGAAACAAAACTATTCTTCTAGAAATAAGAACCAGAGCTAATTAAGAAAAGAGAAACAAAATAATGACAACTAAATAATTTAGAGGCCAAAGGGCTAACTGCCTATGATCAAAAGATAGTATGTCTGAATTTTCCGTTTTGGGACAAAATAAAACAATAAACTAGCACAGGGGAATGTGTGTTAAGAAGTCACGACCTTATTTGAGTAATTTTGTTTATTACGAGTTGCAACCCTATTTACAAAGCAACTGATTTTAATGAGAAAAGTTAAGGCTGAGACATACAAACTATCGCCGTCCAACGTACCATTAGACCAGCAAAAGGCACATCCCTTGCGAGTGTGGACCAGTACCTGCCAAATGAAAGAACAAATGAATCCACACTTTTTTTTTGTCGAAAAATGCATCCACACTTAGGAAAGAACATTATGGTCATAATTCATGTGTGCATATGCTATGTATGCCTGACATGTGGCTTTCTGTCAGTATTGTGTGCGGGTGCATGGATGGATGGGGATGGGCAAGCAATGGCCTTTAGTAATTTACAGTGAACTATTGGACTCATGCTGAAACTGAATTTCATGTAGTAAAACCTCAAGCCAAACTATTCTTTTTTATTTATATTTTCTTATGAGAAACGCATAATTATTAATGAAAAAAGTGGTACAAGGAGGATGAACGAGATGTCCATCTAAAATCCTGTTGACATCCTCAATCCCAAATACAAATTACAATCGAACCAAACTGACTATTTGGAAAACACACACCAATTGACCTAAAGAGGCCAACAGTCTTCAAGACTCTTAATTTCCTGATCCCCTTCACAATGACAATAGAGAGAAGAGGGAAGGAGGAATAGGGAACACAACATGAAAAAATCAAACCTTTAAAGATTAGAGAGTTTTATTTTGAGATATACCCTGCATATAATCCTTTCAGCCCCTGTTCCTTCAATATTGAGCAGCCAGCCTGGAACATCCCAGTATAATAACCATACATTTGGAGACTAGGCTTCATAGAGATATTATCTTTCATCATGACAGAACTCCAAGAAGTCAGTGTGCCTTGAACCTGCATGCGTTGCTTCATCACTTCACATGGAACATATACAAAAGAACCAAGTGTATCTCCTGAAATACAAAAAGAAAAGGAAAACATGAATTTTGAGTCCCCTGAGGCACATGATGGCTGAAGAGTCCACACTAATTCATGTTGGTAATACTAACACTGATAGCCTACATGGGGCCCCATACTTAACAGCATACAATAATTATTGGCTGCTGGAAGCCAACTAAATATCTATGCATACAATGCACCAGGACAAACAACAATGTCCAGATATAGAAAAGAGCACTCAGAGATCAAGTTATAGTACATTCGAGTACTCACCAGAATAACTATATTCAGTGTATGGAGCACACAAGGGTTTTTCCTGGTGCATTTTTTAGGTAATAAACAACAGAAACACTGCATGGTTACAGTAAGTCGAAAGAGTTTATAAATTCAGGATAACAAGGTCAAGCATAAATAAAATATGCTTAAGAGAAATTGGCCAACATAAACAAAATGAACCATCAAGAACTTCTTAGCGTGTCAGAAATCTGAATGGCATTGCTAATCCTTTGTCCAGTAACTCAAAAATCAACATTCAATGAAACTCAAGAGCGTCCTAGAAACAAGCTATCATCAAATTCCTCCATTAATAACTCCAAATGTCATAAAGCTACACATTATCTGAAGTTCTAAAGACATTAAAATTTAATTTGGTCATATTCACAATAACTGCATCTCAAGAGACTCAAAAGGCATCAGCATGAATGAGATTAAGTTTTGAGAGCTGCAGAACAACTTACCAACAGCTCCGGCAATGAAATGTGCCCAATGTCCCCCAAGGCTTGGATGTGATTCTTCAATCCACTTTTTGGTTGACTCTATAACACCAAAATATGTTGCTCCAGTTGCAAGAGAACCAGTGACACCAGGAGCTATACCCCTATAAAAGCCTACAGAATTTATTAGTTAAGAAGAACTAAATGCTCCGAGAATGCCCCAGCATTAAACCAAAAGAGAAATGAATCCTTGGTTCAGAGTCCCAATATTTATGATTAAATGCATGGTTGCTTATAGTTTTACGATATATATATATATGTGTGCAAAAATCACCAATCTTTTTACATGTGGAAAAAGGTAGTGTAAACAGGTTACATGCTACACAAACAGGACAAAGACGCAAACTAAAAAACTGCATCAGAAAGGAAAATGAATTACCCCTTAATCCATCAGCAACCCAGACTGCTCGTACCATCTGCAGTATGCTCTTTGGGTTCTGCGGGTATGAAATAAATTACTAATAATTATTGCATTTTCAAGCTAAGTTATAGAAAGACTTTAGCAAGAAGATAAAATGCCACATCCAATACTCGAAATCAATTTTCTTACATACATATTTTATCAAATTCAAAGTCATTAATATGATAACATTTTGAGCATTTCCCATTCCATTAGCCATGGATTTTACATCTATAACATCTTTACTCTATGATTATACCTTACTTGCGGTAAGCATAGCTTGGCTCTGGATACGTGTCTTTACGGTGTCAACTGGATGCATCATTCCTTCCCCAAATGCTCCAGCGATAGCTCCCCACAGAAACTCCTTCATTACTACATTAACAGATTAATAAATCAATTACAACCTTCCCACAAGTCATACATGTTCTACAATTGTGCTATGGAAAACATTACAAAAGGATACCCAGACATATTTTGTATACACATTGTCATATATTATTATACATCCCCTAAATATCAAAAACCTTTGATTTCTTTTCTTTCCCAACAATATCTGTTCATAAAGCAACAATTTTGTTTTCAGCTGCTTCAAATTCCAAACACGTATTGTTAAACCTATCATTAAAAATCGATGTATTGTTGCATTTAGAAGATTTTATTTTTTAACTTAACTGTATATATATATATATATATATATTATGTCTGATGTCATGTTAGCCGGTTGATGACTTCCAACTATATGCTTTTCATTTTAATTCTCACTGTTTCTGTGCCATAAGATCCGTTCTAATCCAAAAAATCGAAGCGAGAAGATAGCGAAAAGGAAGGCTTACCAAAGAAGTGTTTCTGAGTTGTATCGCTCGAAGTGGAGCCCTGTATCGCCATTGAAATGTCACTCTCTATCTCACTGGTTAGGGTTTATGGGTTTTTTTCTTCTTTTTTCTTCTCCTTTATGGGTTTTAGCTTAATACAGGGATAATTGGGAGGTGAAGAAGAAAGAACAGGAATAAATAATGTCCTTTCTACCCTACCAGGTTGCAAAGAACAATGAGGGTACTATTGACCTTTCGGCTGTCAAGACAGCTATTCATACGGAGAGGTCTTCTCGATTCGAAGACCAGCTTTTTGTTTTGATGGGCCGGGTCGGACTGACTGGGCCAGGGCCTGAGTTTTCTTTTGGGGTAGCGGCTACACTCAGGAACAAAATAAAAGCGACGTCGTTTACACCTCTTCCTTGCACATAGTAAAAATTTGCCTGGCAGAAATAAGTATCGCAGTACACATTACCCGGTAGCAGGGAAGCGAGAGAAAACGCACCTGAGCTCGCAGCTCTTGTTATATAACCATTCGGATCCGAGCATCCAGTTCTAGGGTTTTCAATATCCGATCACCAATCACAAAACAATGGCGATGGCTGCTCTGAGACGAGAGGGGAGGCGTTTCGCCCCTTTGATCTCTCCCCATCCGATGGCTGCCATCCGATCCTCCATCGTCCCTGCCGAGTACGTTATCTATCCAAATCCGCTGTTTTTTTTCTTCTTTTTATTTTGCTTGCATTATGCATTCTTGTTGCCCTCTGTTTGGATTCCGAGAAAGTTGAAGAAATGGACAAAAAAAAATTTAATAGATTTTGGATGTGTGTATTGTGATGGCTTTTGGTAAATATATGTATGAAGAAATGAAAGCTCAACCCAAGTTCGGAAGTGGTTCCTTTTGTTTGTAAACAGTGAGAACCATAAAGATTCCTTCACTTTCTCGGTGAAAGAACGGCTAATAATTGAATTGTTCTTAAACTTAAAGTACTGCAAATGTCCGATTTTACGGAGGACTCAAACTATTAATTAACATAAAACGGCTATTAAACTTGGGCGAGTGAATATTATTGATGTTGCTCGGTTTTGCTCTGTTTGGATAGTGCTTTCCAAAGCGTTTGGAAATGAAATCAAGGGCCACAAGGAACTCATGAAACTTGAATGAAATGACACAATAACTTAATGCACGTTAAACACTGAAAACCAAATAAAGGGTCTACATTGCTCAATATGCTAAGCTTGAGATAGCCAAGTGAAGCCTTTAGAGGCCAATACTTTGTATTAGTTGGCTCTACGGAGAAGTGGGACATATTAAACCACAAATAAGCAGTCAGCAGTCTTAAAGTACAGTGTTTGTCTCCTCCTTTGGATTGAAAATAGTAATACGCCACACAACCCATGTTCCTGTGAAGAGTATTGAGTATAAAATGGATTTTTACCAGGTAGTATAAGTTTAGGTAGTTACACTTGAACTCTGCATTATTTATTTTAAATATGGAAAATGCTGGATGGGGAACTTAAGCATTCATATATAAATCATTTTAACAGTCAATGGTAATTTTATAAAAGTCATTTTTTATTGCTTGCCATTGTTTTCCTTTTCAGCATTGAAACAACTAAATTATTTGGTTTGGTTGGCAGGGAGCAGGCCCCTTTGGGAGTCCGCTCAATTTCAACTCAAATCGGTAAGAACAATTGTCATGGATTACTTATTATTTTTTCCTCTTTTATGAAATACTCGCAGTTTTTTCTGCTTTTTGGTGAAACATCTGTAGCAAATGGTAATCCAGTTCTTTTGTAATACTTTGTGCATTCAGTTAGAAACCGGATGAAGAGTGTGAAGAATATCCAGAAAATTACAAAGGCAATGAAAATGGTTGCAGCCTCAAAGCTACGAGCAATTCAAGCTAAAGCTGAAAATTCTCGTGGCCTGTGGCAGCCTTTCACAGCACTTCTTGGTGACACTCCCAGTATGTATACTGGCATAATCTTTGCTGTTCAAGTTTATAGGAGTTATTTGGCTCATGTACTTTTTGAGTATTATTCTTCAAGTCAAATCTCACTTGTATTTGGCTTGGTCATGGCATTTCAATTTTGTCCTCTATAACCTGTAAAAGTTTAAACTCCATTATTAATTCATTCTCATTGTACCTCCACTCTATTGATGTTCATTCTTTTAGCTGTCGCTGTTCCACATGTTCTTTATCTTTGACTAGCTTAATGGATTGACTGTTACTCTTGCCAAGTCCTAGCTCAACGGGAAACTGAAAATTACTCTTCTCTTTTTATTTATAATGTGTGTGCTTTAAGAAGGTGTATTTCACTCTTTGTTTTCCCTCATTTTGATAAAGAGGTTAGTTTCTATTTATACATATCGATATTTTCTTAAGTTTCCCTCATTGTGTATTTTTATGTTTCCATGCCAGGTGTCCAAGTTAAGAAGGACGTTATTGTTACAATCTCTTCAGACAAAGGTTTATGTGGTGGGATTAACTCTACTTCAGTCAAGATTAGCAAGGCCTTAAACAAATTGAATTCTGGTATTTCTTGGAAGCTCAAAAGCTGGTTGTTAGTCTGATGTCTGCTAAGTTTATTTTCTCTGCACATTAATCTTTGTTTTCTTTGAAACTGTCATAGGTCCTGACAAAGAGACAAAGTATGTCATTTTGGGGGAAAAAGCAAAGGCTCAATTGATACGTGACTCAAAGAAAGACATTGTGCTGGTCCTAACTGAGCTGCAGAAGAATCCTTTGAACTACACCCAGGTTAGTGTGTCGTGTTCATAGAAAAAAAAAATTCACATTGTGAGTGTGCACCTTCTCTGGTGTTTGCTATTCAAGGCTTTATTATTAAAAGTTTGTTAAAATCCTTTGGTTGGGGGTGGGGGAGGGGATGGATGCTTAATCAAGTGCGTCACTCAGGAAAGATTATTTGAGACTTTCAGAGCCATATAAGATCCTCACTAAAGAACCCCAAACACACACACACACACGCGCGCACCAAACCTATGTGGGAGATTAGCAACATGGTGGGTTTTATTTTATTTTATCTTATTTATATTATCCTTTCTTAATTACGTTTCTTCTCTGACATTTACAGTCGTAGGGGATCCAGCAATAATCTGTTATCATGTCAATTTTGGTTTTTATTTTAAATGACTTTTATATGTTAGTTCAAATTAGTCTTATATTGTCAGAGTTCAATGCTCTGTTTTTTATTTTGACCTCAATATCATAACTGGTAACCAAATTTTGATTTTATTTGCCATTGACACTTTAAATTGCTGAGAGAATACATTTCTTTAACTTGGTCGATGTGCATTAAAGTATTAATTCTCTTTGATGGGTTCTTTTGTTAGGTTTATATTAACTAAGTTATTAATGTGGCAGTTACATATTATATCAGTGATCAAATGTACAAATTCTTTCCATCATTTTCTGTATACTTTTTGTCATTTCAGGTATCTGTCCTAGCTGACGACATTTTAAAAAATGTTGAGTTTGATGCTTTGAGAATCATCTTCAACAAGTTCCAATCAGTCGTCGCATTTCTGCCAACAGTGTCTACCGTATTATCTCCGGAGGTAGTAAAAATGCTTCAGTTCAATAAATAAACACCTTATCCCTCCTATTCATGTTCTGATGTAATGGGTATTTGATATGATGTTTACGTAGATTGTGGAGAGAGAGGCTGAGTCTGGTGGAAAGCTTGGTGAGCTAGATTCCTATGAGATTGAAGGTGGTGAAACAAAGTCAGAGATACTCCAGAATCTGGCAGAGTTCCAGTTTTCTTGTGTAAGTCCTTCCTTTGAAGTTAGAGACCTCATATTTTGTATGTCATGCAGCAGTTGCGATTGAATCCATTGTTGTGTTCAACACGTTGCATAGTTATAGGGTGAACTGTTGATCAAAACATGGACCTAATGGGACACATAACGTCAAAGTGCTTTCATTTAGGCATGTCTTAGGTTTGACACTTTTGAACAAGTTCTTAGTCATCGAGTTACCAGATTTTTTTTATTTGCCAAACAGCAGTGCTGAAGAGAAACCTATTCAACTGTTTACAGTCAGTAAGTATTATTGTGACCTACATCATGAAAGGACTTCAGTGTGATTTTGAAATTAAACACTTGACATATTAAAAATTAAGCATCCATCTTACTATTTGCTTAATTTTCTGATTTTGGTTTTGCCTTAGGAGCTGATGCTCTGTGTGTGTTCCTCAGGGGCAATGCCTCTGTGTTTGTGGTTGTATTTGGGTACATATGTATTCCTCAGTGGCAATCCCTCCAAGTTTGTGTGTGTGTATTTGTTCATGAGGAGCAATGCCAGTGTGACTGGCCAGTGCTCAGTATCAGTCACTCTTTCCTTATTTTTGATCTCCTGGAAACTATTACTTTGGGTCCACGAAAACACTGCAGCAACTGAGAATTAACTCTTTATGGATAATTGTATCCTGTAAATGTCATGTTGTAATATTCTGTAGTTCTGTAAATTCTTCTAAAAATGCATTAAGCTTCTGGAGTAAGAATCTTTTTTTCGCAATCCTTTAGTGGCAGCAGTTCTCCCAGCACACTATAAGGGAGAGGTGCCCATTAAATTTGTGTAGGAACCTGTTCTTCTGCAATTCAAAATCTATTACTGAATATGTTTTGTTGCCCTCCATTCATACAAAAGAATTTCATATTTTGGTCAGGTCATGTTCAATGCTGTGTTGGAGAATGCTTGCAGTGAGCAAGGAGCAAGGATGTCTGCCATGGATAGTTCAAGCAGAAATGCTGGAGATATGCTTGATCGCCTTACACTCACTTATAACAGGTCTCCTCTTCCCCCACCCCTATACACACACACACACGCAAATATCCAATTAGGGTAATTTAGTGCACATTTCAGGAAAAGTGCCTTGTCTGGTCTTCTCTGTTTACTATAGAAATTGTCTATTATTTATTTGTTGGTTTATTTTAATATTCTTTTCCACTATGAAAGACTGATCTTTGTTGTTTATGTGATTATTTTTTATAGAACTCGTCAAGCATCGATCACCACAGAATTGATTGAGATTATATCAGGAGCATCAGCACTGGAGGGCTAGTAGTTTATCTGATGGTGACGAAATAAAATTGTGTTTTTGAAGTTTAAGATATTACCTTTGTGAGGCATTTTTTTATTTCTAATAATTACTCCAGGGTCAAATTCTGGGAACTAAGAAATTATATCAATGATGGTTTAAATTGATGGCTCTGGGATGCCTTTTTCTATATTAAGTTTAGCACTTGAGAAATTCGTCTGAAATGATTGAGGAGTGTATAAATTGTATCAGTTCATTTTGTACCTGATAAAGCTTTGGGATTATTGGGCATCAGCTTTCTCTTCTTCGATGCCATTGTTTGGAGCTCAAAGAGCATTGTTTTTGTATGAAAATAATGTCTTTCTATAATTGCTGGGTGGAGTTGTCAGTTTGGTTCCATGAATTCATGTTCATGTTTGTACATGATGAAGAAACTGTCTTAGATTCTTTGTATATTGGTTGATATGAAAGAACAAGGTTATATCTAACCATGTCATCAAGGTGCCTAATTGTGAAAGTTACATTATCACGGAGCCATGTGTGTAATATTTCTCAAATGTGTGTACTGTTTCCCAAATGAGATTTTTGTGCTATCCGTCGTACTCAACTTAGGGTTTACGATTAGGGTTTTGATCGAGACCTAGGATTAGTAGGTCTTTACCATTTGGTTTAACAAGTGCTGTGTGGTTGAACTAGGAGCTCTGGTTGCCCAAGAAAGGACATGTTTTTGACAGCCAAAGTACCATTATATACATTTCCACCTTGTGGGGCGGTTATATTCTTATGACCTTCCAATCGGTGGATTTGGTACAGCAAAGATTGACATTTCAACACGAAGTCTAATCCTTTGATATTTAAAAAATAATAATAATAAAACCGTCTAATCCTAATAATTCTCCTTGTGAAATACAAATCTTGTAGAGGTCTTGGTGGAAAATTTGGTACACATTTTCTCCAACTCTTTTGCTACGGCTGATGGACCACAGTAGAAAACCCCTGTCCAAGAAACCCAAAATTTTCAACCTCTTTTTCCCTTTGATATGGCTGTTGCCCTACTTGCACGGCTACAAAGTTATAATGTACAAATCTTTTATGCTGAGAATTTATTTGCATCTTACCAATCCGTGCTTCTCTATGCCTATGTGCCAATTTTGAGAAGATGCTGATCCAGTTTGGTCGGGCAAAATGCGTACGTACCTGAAAATTCCATCAGATATATTATCTATATTTAACAACCAAATACTTTTCTCTCTTTTTTCTTCAGCTTTTCTTTATGTGTATATCAGCAAAGACAGAAATGATTTCCCAGGTAAACCATTCCATTTGGTTGGAACACTCTTACCACCACAAGAGGGATAGAAAGAGAGGGTTGTATGATAGACGTTTAAGCCTGCACATTGCTTTAACTAAGTATGCAGGCCAAAGCATTGTGATTAGGCATTGTAGTGCAGTACTTACCGGAGTCCGGGAGACAAAGTCTATACCATTTTTGGCATGATGCAATGCCTGTATAGCGCTTATTAGAACCGAGCGTGCATCACCCTCTTGATACACACAAGTTAAGAAATTGTGCATCTCTACAACAGACTGAAGGATGATGATCACCAAAAGTAATGAGAATGCAGTGAAAAATGGTTTGCAGAAAGAAAAAAAATTATGATTAAAGTTAACCTTTGGCTTGTACCTGCTTTTGGTTTGAGTTTGATATTTCCTTCATGATGTCTCTAAACCAGTCAAAAGAGCTCTGTTCTCTTGTAACCCAATAAAGATAGGCTTTTAGTGGAGCCTTTCTTAAGCTGCCTTCTCTGCAACCAGTCTATTTTAAAAATACCCCCATCCCCCATCACAAGGATTTGTTAGTTGTCTCAAATGAAACACAAAGTATAACAAATTAACCAAGCCAAGAAACTCTTACATGATCACAATGTGATTTTTCGGCACCATTGACAACATCTTTAAGGATGCTAATGAAAGGTGTAAAACCTATGCCTAGACCAATTAAAACAACAATGTCATACTTGATATGGTCTTGAGAGGCAGCACCATAGGGCCCATCAATGTGTACTTTGGGATAGCCCTTAACTCCAGATAATGTTGCCTGTAAAAGTTCAAAAGGAAAAATCCCTGTAATGCATAAGCTTTTTCCAAATTTTGATAAACTCTTTCTATTCAATTTTCCCAATTTTTACCTCTTGGAAGAGACTGTATATTTGATAACTCCAGTCTCCAGCAGTTCTAATATGCACACTTAGGTAGTCGTCTTCTGTTCCAGAAGTCAAGGAAAACGGGTGCCTGAGTCAACGAACAAAGAAGCGAAAGAAACAGAATTCAAAATCCGTAGGCATCGAAGTAAATTTTAGTTAATTACATGCAGGACTCTAGAACAGATAAATGCTATAGTTTAAATGTACCATTCTAATGGTGAAATTTGAGGGCATTGAATGAATATGTACATGCCACTCAGGTACTTAAACCCTTCTGGTTTATTCAATTGGAGGGACAAAACTTTTCCTGGATAAATACTTGCCTGTACAATTGTAACACAGAAAGAAGTAAACAAAGGGTTGAATTTAATTCCCAACCAACTGCCATTGCAACAATTGCAGATTGATGAATTTTCAAAGTACTTCCTTCAGATTAACAAGGTTAATGGTAGTATTGGCCCTTACCTTCAAAATTTCCACCTCATAAATTCCTGATCGTATGGCTCGAAATACTCGTTCTCCTGTATATAATAGAACTGGAATGGCAATATACATCCATGTCTGCTTAAGAAAATTCTTAACATTAAAACTCTATATAAAGGTAAAATTCTAAATACACGAGTAAAAAATGAAGCTCAGTTTAAAGGCTTACTGTTTTTTCAGTTACATTGTCTGTAAGGAAGAGGAACATAGAGTGAAGAATGAGCAATGCATATACAGCAATGAACAAGTGGTGTGAGTACCAAAAGGTATTATAGCCTGTGACATTCCGAACAGACCTTGGCAGAGAAGGCGGTTGGCGGCGTGGCCATTTTGTTGCAAGTGAAAATGCTATCATCATTAGTACTACCATAACAATCCCTGTTGCCACCTCCTTTGTAGCCAATATTTCAAAGTACGATGGTTGATGATACCCGAATCTGGCAGCTATTGTTTGCCAGAAGATTAAACGATCCGAATCACTAATTCTTGGCAAGTCACAAGCAAGGTGAGCACCACCATGCAGGATAACTCCTACTACTATCCCTCCTGCAATCATCTGCACAAAATTCAACACAAAATGTAGACATGCTTGTTAGTAAACTAGAGTGCTATATAGGACAAAATTTTCAATTTTTTGAGGTTGGTTTTCCATTGGCTCCAAAACTAAAAGCTTGAAATATTTGTTTTAAGGTGGTCGTTATGAGTGTGGAGCAAGTGTTCTACCACTAGAGCTAGGCTAGCTATCAGTCAAACTACCTTGTGGAAGTTAATGTTGTCATTAAATGGAATAATTGAGTTGATCGAACGGTTCTTGCGAAGCCATGTAATTGTATTACGACAAACAGGGAGGAGAATTAGAGCCATGTTGAATTTCAGGGTTTCAGCAGCACCTTTAGCAGTGGACAGGCAGTACCCCATTACTTGAAAAGCTGCTCTATGGCGATATTGTATAAATTTCCAAGTGAATAGTGCAGTACATATGATCAACCACAACAAAACTATCCATGCACGTCGCCAATATGATCGAAATAAAACTTCGTTCTTAGACCTTGGCTCTTCACATAGGTCAAAACTGTAATATGGACGTCTGATTGACAAGTGATTTGTTGAAAAGGAGCCCTTTGATAAGCTCATTTTGATGAGAGTCTCAAATTGATTGAGCTGCAAGTTATTGGCAAACATTAGAAAGTCAATAAAATGTTCTTGAACATGATTTAACATGTTACAATCTGCAGAATTAGATGCTATTCATTTCTCAAAGAGGGTCATATCTTTATTTTTGTTTTTGAGAGAATGAATTTCCATGTTTGAATGGTACCTCAATATATCCCTGGTTTTCAATGTCAAGATGTTCCATGACTAAAGCAGCATAGTCTTCTGCTTCCTCATGGGTCAATGATAACTTATTTGTAGAAGCACTTAGTATAATGGTCTGCAAAAGTGCCCAAATTCCAAGCGAACCAGTAACCATGAGCACAAAATTAATGCTATCTATGTAATAATGCAAGTTTTTTAGACCTCAAATGGTGAAGTTAATTACAGTCATTCAGGTAGAAGAGTGCTTTTCATGAGAGTGTGACGCAGTTACCTGCTTAAGATCTTTCTTAGTTATTCTTCCGTCCATGTTTCTGTCACACCTGAAAAGAATTACAACCTTAGAGAAAAATTCAATTCCAAAAGAAGGTAATTTTCTTGATGTAAACAATTGTAACAAGGCTTAAGCTAAGCATCTTATTGAATTATAATGAGGATTATTACAAGTCAAAGTAAATCTGTATCCTCGAATCGAAGCAAGGGTCAGTCATACGACGCCAGTAACTATGCAGTTCGTCCTTCGACATATCAACATTCCGATCCCTTGTTCCCCTTAGAGCCCTTAATAGCTCCTTAGCAAACTCTGGCGTCTGTTGCATGCCTGCCAAATATGAACCAAAGTATATTATCAAAGAAGGAGCCAATATATTTTTAAAGATGTAGATGTATGTAACAGCCAAAGTTAATTATATGACAGAAGAACAAAACTTTCAAGCTACTGCTACCATGGTAAATAACAAACCACAGTAATTAATCTAAAAAGAAGAGCAAAAACAGTAGAGGCCAACAAAGCCGCCCACCAAAAGAATAAAACTAATGCACACAGGGCAAGCCAATGACACAAAGAAGTCAGATAAAAAAACAAATACATTCTGCAAAAACAATCACATTCTGCAGAAAAAAAGAAAACATGTTCTGCAGAGAATAAACAGAACCAAGCCAAAAGTTAAAATGAATAAAATATTTATGGGAATCGTTAATTCTATTTGCTAAACTTTAAAATATGTAATATGATAAACTTAATTAAGTGTAGGCTTGCTCACCTATACACAGACCAAAATCAGACCATTTTATAACCGGTTCAACTCCGTTTCCGGTTAATGCAAGCCGGTCAAACCGCTCCTCTACACCCTTCCACTCCATCCCACTGTTGCCCATGGTACCAACAAATCTCAGCCATTGAGTTTTAGTGGCTGAACCCGCTGTGGACGCCACCCCACCATTCTCTGCCATATAATACTGCTGGTTCAGTGCAGCTTGAAGTGGTTCTGTTTTATCACCATGAGGTTCAGTCCAAACCGGAGAGAAAGACAGAGGAACAACGCTAGCAGTGCAAGAAGACGAAGAAGATGAAGATGGTGAGAGAGCTGAAACAGAGGGTTGGTGAGGGGTTTGGAGCTGTGCATGTGCCTCCATTTTTGGTGATCAAAGTTTTTGTAAGGGAAGAAAGAAATGTGGTTGGTTGTGATGTGGGAGTTTATTTAAAACAAGATTGATGGGTTTTCTAGAATGCAGAGTGCTTATAACTTGTTGAAAAGAATGCATGTTTTAAGGATGAAGAAGAAAAGAGTGGCAGCATTTAATTTGTTTTGTTTGAGAGATACAAACTATAGCTAGCTTATGGGCTTTCTTGTTCACTTGGTTTCTTGGATTTGGGTGGGTAAGAAAATTAAGTAAGAGAGGTTTTGTTAGTGGCTGAAAAATTAGGAGCAGAAAGGAAATGAGAGCAGGTAGACTAATGAAAAGGTTGTGATGAGAGAGAGAGAGAGAAGAGAGTTAAATTTCCCACCAGCCTAAACCAAATACATCTCAGAATGAAATGATTCTCACCATGCAAGAAAGGGATTTGGAGAATAATTGGTTATAAAAGTCACATTGAGCTAGCAGCTCCCAATTGCTCCATTAATTTGGACATTGTGCATTGCATGCCTAGCTATGAGTTATATATATTCTGTGGACAAAAGACAAAGGGTGTGCAGGTCATAAGACTTACAGTTATTTAATTGTGCACCCAACAACAACACCATGACCTTTAAGTCAGAATTAGGCCACAATTATTCATCAACTCAACTTTACGCAGTTGGTCAAACCATGTATGTGTTTCTATATGTATATTTTCGGTGACATATTTAAATAACATATTATATTTAACAAAATATAGTGAAAATTTGTCACTGGCCTTACGAGATCCCCAAATATTTCCACTATGTATTTTCATCCAGTAATGTAAACAAAGTGTATAATTCGAGTTTCTCCTTCAAGTGGGTTCAAAAAATTCTAAGAAATTGTCGTTTGCGAATATATATAAGTTTTTGCACCCTCTTTTTCTGTGTTTCAAAAGAGTGGAAAGATATGGAAAAAAAGCTATCAAATTTGTCTGAGGTGAAAAGAAAAACAAATCATTTTTCCTCTAAGAAATTATTGCAGTTGTGGGTTATGCCGGTTGGTCAGGACAATGAGCGGCGAGTCTGCTTCCTTGCACTCAAGTTTGAATCTCATTCCCTTATAAATTAGATTAACTTAAATTATCGCCTGTATTAAATAAATAAAAACTATATATTATCTTTGCATATTAGCTGAAAATGTTCAAGAAGATGGAATCACAAGAAAAAGTTGGACTGGGTCGACCCATCAACAAACTGGGTAAAGAGTGCTGGGCGAAGCAAAAGTAAGGCCCAAGCTCTCTACCTCTCCTCTCTCTAGTTGGGCTGACCCATCTGATGGACCCGAATTGGGTCCTGACCCACCAGACTGGGCAAATAGAATACCTTTCATTAACGTTAATTTCGCAATTATGGAAAGTTTGTAGGTAGATCTGCACTTGGATTACCTTCCTACCAACCATCAAAAAAAAAAAAAAAAAAAAAAAAAAAAAAAAAACACACACACACACACACAGAGATTCCCTTACCAATCATTGAGGTGGGGGGAGGGGAGGGAGTTACAGGAAAATCAAAAGCGAAGGAAGCCGCAGCTAGATCTGAGAAAGAAAGCAAAACCAGTTATATACAGCGGTAATTTTCATTTCTGTTTTCCTTTGATTTATTATCTTGTGTCCTTCTCTATTTTGATTCTTTTGTCCCCTTTCAAGTTTTCGTTTATGTATAATTTTGAGACTGCTTATGGTGTTTAGCCCTCTGCTTGCTTCCCTAGAAAATGCAACGAATGAATATGATTTTATACTCTTTAAGTGTGTCTTTCGTTGCATAACTTATGTGAACTTGCTAGATTTTTGTGAACAAGTTTTCGTTTGTTAAGTTGTTTTTATACACGTTTATTCATGTATGTATTATGTACGTAGACCTGCATTTACTTTGCACAAAATATGTTAAATTTGACATTTTTAGTTACCTGTTCTCTCAATATCGTTTGTTCAAACAGTTGGGTTGTTGTCTTTCTGTTAATTGAACAGAAATGTTGAATGTAATGTCAATATTTTTTCAATTTCTTTAAGGTGTTGGAGCCTTTGTGATTGATATGAAGGATATTTCTTTATGATGATTATTTTTTCTTTGTTGGACATAGATTTTCATGGAAGGATTGGTGGGTGTTTCACGAGTCACCCCAGTTCGTACTCATTTGGGGCAAAAGCACCTTCCTTTTGTTCCTACGTCTTCCCTGCAATTTACGAAAATTTTGTATAGAAATAGAACTAGAGTTGGAATGAACCAACATCCCAAATCACCCAACCCAATTGCTGCTTCAATTCAACCATTAGAAGCCTCCGCATTGAGCCGCTTTGACAACACGCAACCATCCAAAGGTAATGTGATTGATTGAACCTGGGAACTTGTATTTGCGTCTTTGGTAAAATTGGTTTGAGGAAACTTTTGATTCATTGGAGCTGAAAACTTAGCTTTGCAACATAAATTTATAATTTGTGGTAGAAAGTGTGGCACTATTGCTTGTTGCGTCACTGAAATTTTGTATGGAATTTATGTTCAAAGACTGGAGAGCAGTTGCCTTACCTAGGCATAAGACTATGAGCTTATGGATTCAGCTTTGAAATTAAAAATAAAAAGCTCAATACAGTATAGTTCGAGACTTTCAGAACCATATGACCTTGTGTGATGGTTGTTTATTTTAATGTATAGATGTTCTTGATTTATGGAGAAATGCTGATGCGGTGTGCTTCGATGTGGATAGCACTGTTTGCCTGGATGAGGGCATTGATGAACTTGCAGAATATTGTGGAGCTGGAAAGGCTGTTGCAGAATGGACGGCTAGGTTAGATTTATTATTGGAATTGCTTTCATCTGTTTCGTACTGTGGAATTTTCAACTCTCACTGTAGTTCTCATCCTTGCCAGGGCAATGAGTGGTTCAGTACCTTTTGAGGAGGCTTTGGCTGCTAGACTATCTTTGTTCAATCCTTCCCTATCTCAAGTCCAAGATTTTCTCGAAGAGAGGCCTGCAAGGTAGGAGGGCTCCTTTAGATTATCTTGAGTGTATGCTGGCTTCCTTTTAATTATCTATGGTTTATGTTGCCTTCTTGTTTGCTTAATTTGTAGCTTGCCTTTGGTCTTGATAAAATCATTGTGTTTTTCTTATAGAATTTGAAGACACAAGTTGTGACTACTTAAGATGAAAATATTGCCATTATTCGCAAAAGATGTATACAAGACATTTACTTGACAGCATATAAAATAATGACTTCCCAATGGTTATTTATACTTACCTCAAGAAATATTGTTGAAAGGGTAGAAATGAAATGATTTAGGTCTGCTTATTATTTGCACTTCTGGCAATTTGATGACCAAAAAATTTCTGATCTGGTTGTGGTGTACAATTCTGTGTAGGCTTTCACCTGGCATAGATGAGTTAGTCAAGAAGCTGAAGGCTAATAACACTGATGTTTACCTGGTCTCTGGAGGCTTCCGTCAAATGATCAAAGTATGCTGCTGAATAATTCTATGAGTGCCTTTGTTCTATTGCTACTTTTTTTTTTCTCTCACTTATCATTTGTCAGTTGAAGATGCAGAATACATTGAAAATTAATATCCTTCATTTATATTGTAAATTGTTAACTGAGTAACTTGTTCTGAAGCCTGTGGCATCGATTCTTGGAATACCGCCTGAAAATGTGTTTGCAAATCAACTGTTATTTGGAACATCTGGAGAGTTTCTGGGTTTTGACAAAAATGAGCCCACTTCAAGGAGTGGTGGAAAAGCCACTGCAGTGCAACAAATAAGGAAGGTTGGTCTATGACCGTTTGTTCAATGTTTTAGTTTCCAAGTATGTTGCTTGAAAAGCTGATTAAACTGGTTTTCCAGGCTCATAATTACAAAGAATTAATCATGATTGGGGATGGTGCGACTGATCTTGAGGTAATCAATCACTGAAACTTCCAAACTGCTATCCTGCAACAAGATTTGTTTGTGTTTTCTGTGTCTCACATACTCACATATAGCCATGAATATAAAACTAAATGATAACCATGCTCGACAAGCCTTGAAACATTAAGACTTCTTTGTCAAGTGTCTCTGTGCGTTTCTCTCATATATAAGCATTATCAATGAAATAATATTTTGTTTAAGCTGACTCTGTGAAATTTTCCATCCAATATCATTTGTCTCTATATCCAGGCATGCCAACCGGGAGGTGCTGACTTGTTCATTTGCTATGCTGGTGTTCAATTTCGAGAGGCTGTAGCGGCAAAGGCCAATTGGCTTGTTTTTAATTTTGAAGATTTGATAAGCTCCTTGGACTAATAGCCTGTACTCTTTTGTGCCCTATTCATTCTTTATCGTGTACTATTGTTCCTCCAATGCGCTGCCAGCACTGCTGCATTAGTATAGTTATACCCTTCCGATTTGTACAAGGTAACATTTTCCTGTGTATAAAAATCACAGGAAGATGAATAAGGAGTGTGCATTGGGTGTTTCGTTGTAGGATACTGTCTGTGTACTTGAATGGGAAAATATATTGTGTGGGATACTAGTTACAAAGTTTATATAAATGATTGGACCATTTACCCTGAAGTCCTGTACAAAAAATACATATGTGAATCTGTGATATCAGGGAGAAGAAAACTCAAGTCTTATATTAAAGGAAAGTGTTGATGTTGAGGTTGACCCGTGTGCAAGCATGCCTAAACATCAACACTTTCCTTGCAAAGAAGAAACAAGAGTTTCCTTTTACCTAATTTCTTATTCACTCATTCATTGGCATTAGGTTGTGTTTGTGGTAGTTAAAATGTCTATCAATCAAAAGAGCTGGTGGTTGGCCAACTCATTGAATTGGTGATCTAGTCTCCCACCTCATCCATTTAAGCACCAGAAACTTGCGAAAAAGGAAAAGCAAATGCACAGACAACTCCAATATCAATTTTAGATTTTTTTTTTTTTTTTTTTTTTTTTTTTTTTTTCGAACAAAAGTTTAGGGGGAGGGAGCCTATCCCATCCCAGGGTCAGAGTATACTGAGACTTCTTTGAGGTACAAAGGAGGTCTTAGCCATTTTTTTGGGTTTTACATGTTACTCACCAAAAGAGATTATCGACTATGGAACTTGAACCTAGGCATGAATAGCAAAGAGAACGATCATTCCCAACCCAACCAACCCTCGTTAGCATATCATGTTAGATTTTGGTTTTGCCTAATATGTGCACTGCAAAGTATGAAATAAATGGGGCTTACAATTAAACAGGGGACATTGACAAATATCAATATAATAATTCAAAGCGCACGATTGGTTGCTCTGTGAAGCACTTGTAAGTGTGGTGTTAATGATGATAAGGGGTCCATCCATGTGGATTGCTTGGTCTGAATTTGAGTCTGAGGCCAAGCTAATCAAAGTTAAGCAAGTCCCCCTTTTGTGTCCTTTCCTTTCCTTTTCACATAATCTATATCCATTTCCTCTTGTTTGGGCTACACTTTACATAACATTGTGACCCCTCCCCCTACCCATTTATTTTCTTCAATTTATACTTTAAAACGGTGATTGAGTTCAAAAGGTCCCTACAAAAAGTGACAATCTTTTTCAACTGCCATGTTAGCGTTAAAAAGCTTTTCCAACTTTCATCTTGACTTATGGATGAACAAGGTGGTTGGAATTTTATTTCATTTTCTTGTATGCTTTTTCTTTCTTTCTTTTTTGTTGGTTTTGTAAAGGGCGATTATATCTAAGACAGGTCATAGAAAAGCCGACCAAGTTCTTTCAAAGAATGCCTACTATGTATGAGTGAAGTGATTAGGATCTACCCAAATGTCCAACCGGGGGAAAAATAAAAACTATTTAGAGCTTATAAAAAATTATTTTTCTTTTAAAATATAGAATTTAAATTAAAATGTTTTTTTTTGTCATAATTAAAAAAAAATCAAGAAGACGATAGTAATATTTATCGGGTAGAATTTTATTATTTTATGCGTCCTTAGAAAATAAAAATAAAAAGACAAAAATGAATTAATTCTGTTTTAAAAAAGGAAAGGAAAAGACCTCGTTTATCAAATGTAAGAATTTGTGGTGTATCCCTCTGTAGATAACAGAGCAACGGGTGTTATTCCTCCGAGGAATCCAGTTCTTCAAGATTCACCAAAAATCGTCTTCGAAAGTTGGGTTTCTCTTAGATTTGCTTCCCAAACTCACAGGTTCTTTTAAATTAAGCTTCTTCTTTTTTTTCTTTTTCTTTTTTCTCTTGCTACTCCATCGCCAAGAAGAGGAAGAGCGCTGAGCTATTTTCACCTTCTTGCCAATGCGGTAGTCATTCAAATGGGTTTTCTGAGCCAAGAGGCTGCTTTCAAATTCGTAATAGCTTAGATTTTTGATATCCAGGCAGGCGTCCCTGGGCTTTTGTTGCGGTTGTGGCTTCTTGGAGGAGTTTTCCTAGGAAATGGGGTTTGTTCTTTGATAGTGTATGTAGGTTGCTATCAATAAGTGGGTAGATTTTAGATTTTCGGCATTCCTTGGAAAATATGGTTCTTGTCTCTGATATGCTGTTGTTCTTGTAGCTCCTGGTTGATTATCTTTTGTGAGTTTGAGAAATTTGTCTCTGCAATTGTTTATTGCTGCAGAAGTTGAGGCTCATTCAGTATTTTGGGCTTACATATTGATGCCTTTAACTGTTTTGTTCTGCTCCAGAAGTAGTAATTTACCATCGTCCAGATTTGGATTCTGAGAATTGATAGAGGAAATTCTGTCTTGTTGAGTTGGGCAGCTGTTTTACTTTCTACAAAGCTGGCTTTTAGTAATTTATTTTCATAATCAATTGCGCCAAACTGTGAAGATTTTTGATTCTTAGATTCAAAATTCTTTCCCCCTCACATTTGGCTTCATGGAATTTTTTGGTTTTGGGTTGTTGATATCGAGAACTGAAAGAAAGATAAAATTTTGCTTTGTGGAATCCTTTTAGTGTGTGTTTTTCAGTGGAAGGGACAGCAGATATGGACTTGTGGGTGGTTGCAGCAGCTGCTGGCGCTGGATATTTGACTAAGTATTGGCAGAATATTTCTAGGAATGGGGATAAGGATAGCTTGTTACAGTTTTCTTCTGGGGATGCAAATCTTGACAAATCTGAGTCCCCAAGCCATCCCTTCCAGAGACTCGCACGGAGAAAGAAAGTGGGTGATGCCGTTTCTACAGATAGAAAAAAGGTTTCAGATAATAACCTGTTAGAAAGTGCTTGTGGGACAGAAGTGGCTTCTACTAGTGGGTATGATGGTGAAAAACTGGGAGGCTTTGTAAATTACAAGGACTGCAACGTACTTTCTCTATCAAATATGTTACCAGTATACTCAGGAAATGACAATAAGGATGGGGATGGAACTTGGCTAAGTAATGATATTGATGACAGTACTAGTGTCATGTTGCCTAAATCTCCAAATGGAGAAAGGGGTTCTTCTTATGTTCCTCTGAGGAACAGAAGCTCTATTAGAGCTGAACATTCATACAGGCATATTGTTAAGCCGGTCAGTTCCTTAGAAAGTTGCCTTATGGCTCAATTATATAAAGAGCGTGCTGAAATGGAAGAGTATGCGCTTACCCTTCTATCATCATCCACTCCAAGTATTAGGCCATTGTTTGTGACTGATGGAAGCCGAATAATCAGCAGAGGTAGTGGTGATCATTTCAGTGCTCATATTGGAATTGAGGAAAATAAGCTGCGTAAGGAAGCCTATTTAGAAACAAATGAAAATGTCTGCGGGTTTCCTCCACCACCGAAACTGGGTTATTTGGATCTCTCTAAGAAGATGAAAACTAAGACAGGAAAGGGACAGAACGGAAGGTTGGGCAGTTCCAGTAAAATGGTCAATGGGAAACACTTCCATTCTGAAGGTGGTAGTCTTTTCATATTCTAGTGGTATCTTTATTTTTTGTGTAATTCTCAGTAATATTCAGATGGTTATAGACTAGAATTCCACTTCATAAGAGTAACCTATGTCTTTGTTTTAGAGGCTGTTCAAGTCTGTCTCTTTGCTTAAAAGTTTTTGTGTTCTGTCCTTGTCATGGAATTTTCTTTCTGTTAAGAAATATATTAAATTTTCAAAGCAAGGGAAAATCAATTATGTCTACTGTTATACAGGAGAAAGGATATTATCCAGCGTTATTAGGTTGCTAAGCAAGGGAAAGTCATTTGTTTATATTATTATGCTCTATTAAGTCACTAAGTTCAAGAGACTAATAACAGGTCCTAAGTGCATATCCGACTAGAACCAATTGTGAAGCTACTATTTGTGTTGACCATCCAGTAATTAAATTGCTACTCGTAGTGTGGTATTTTTCTAATTTGTCACAGTTCATGTCCTAATACTTTTGCCTTCATCAGGTTCACCAGAAGGACCAGTTCTACTCTGTCTTGGGATTTCTATTGGCATAATATCTTCTTTTATAACAAATAAACGAGAAGTTGACAAGTTGAAAGATCTATTGAAGCAGACTGAGAACTTGGTTCAGGATCTGGAGGAAGAACTTGAGATGAAAGATTCAGTAACAGTGAAGGAGCTAGCTAAGGAGAATTATGAATCACATGATACTTGTGACCATTCATTTTTTGACAGGGCACCAAATTCGTTTTCTCCTGAACAGAATATGGACAAATATGATGGTAGAGATTCATATGACCGGAAAGCAGAAGAGTTTTCAGAGTCAATGAGTAAAATAGAGGCAGAGCTTGAAGCTGAACTTGAGAGGTTGGGGCTAAACGTGAATACTTCTACTACAGAGAGAAGATTGATTGATCTTGCCGAGGTCAGTGTATGCATAATTTGTATTCTTATGTTTAAGCATTTATATTATAGTTTTACATTGAATCTATATGTTCATTGGGTTCAAGTACTTCACTGTATTAAATATACATTTGGCCTTTTCCTATTACTCAAATGGTTTTCTGTACTGAGCTTCATGGGTGGAATCATCCAAATAATTACTTCAAACTAAGTGAAAAGAAAAAACAGCAATTTTATTAATTCTGCTTACAAGGCTTCAAACATATTCATTCTGTTTTACTTATGCTAGTATTTTAATACCATGCACCTTGCTAGTCTATAAAACTTACCAAATGCTAAGAATTAAGATATTTGATTGTAACGTTTGATTGTTGGGGTGTTAGGTATTTATATTAAACATTAATGAGGCTCTCTTTATTTTTCTTTGTCAGTTCTAGTATCATGTCTTTCTAGGAAATGAATTTTAATCTCATAGGACCCACCCATTACTTATTTTCTTTAATTCAAATGAACTTTTTTGGCTAATGTGGTGATCTCATCAAATTCTTGTTAAGTGCTAACAGAGATGAAAATTTGTGCAGCTTGACCCAGACTTAATCACAGATTTTGCTCAAGGCGAGTTGAGAGCTGACATCGTTGGTGGTTTAGCTGTTGCCCAACCCAAGTCAAATGAAGAGGCAAGCAGCAACTCTACGGCTCATCACTGTGCAAACTATGCAGTTTCTCCTAGAGAGCTTAGCTTGCGTCTGCATGAAGTTATCCAATCAAGACTAGAAGAACGTGTCCAGGAGCTTGAGGCAGCTCTAGAGAACAGCCAAAGGAAGGTCAAGATCGTGGAATTGAAGCACGAGGATTGTGGAAGTGGGTTCTCAGAAAGTCGTATACATTCCACAATCCAAGAAAGTACAAATTCTGAAGAAAAATGCAATACTGTGGCGGAGCCTCTGGTCATGAATTTATCAGGAGAAGCTTTAGATGCATACAATGAGGCTTACGAAGAGTTGATGAAGATCAGTGAGTCAGAAGAGGAGGATTCTCCTTGTCAAGTTTTTGAAACATTCAGGGCTCAAAACCCCTGTCAAACTCAAAGTGATGAGGTAAATGGTTCCATAGGACATTTTGCTTCCAGTAAAGAGGAAACCTTAGCAGAGGATATCTTTTCCTTCGAGAGCAAAGTAAGAATGTTGGATGAGGAGCACATTTCCAGGGTTCAGAGTTCAAATAACACATCTGTAACTGGGGAAGAGCATAGTGATTCTGATGCAGAGATGGAGAAACAATTGATAATGCAGATTGTGGAGAAGACCAAGAAAGGTTCTCCTGTAGTCCTGAATGCGCAAAGGTGGTTGTTCCAATCAATGGATGAGACTGAGCGTTAAAATGAAACAGAAATCAAATTTTGCAGTGTATAGATCCATACAAAGTATAGAAGACGTTAGGTATTCATTCTATAGCTAAAGCTAATCTGTCATTTGTTCTAACGATGTTTACTGATTCTTTTTTCAAGGCTTTGTTTATCCAATCATCAGAAACTTGCTCAAATATTTTCAATTTTATATTCTCTTCCATTTCTGTCTCACTTTCCTTGTTTCTCTTCTGTCCAAGGAATCATAAGATTTACAGCCCTGTGTTTGCAACTTTCAGTTCTAGAGGAAAACTTTTGTGGAATCCATTTTGATTTAATGAATGGACATGCACAAATGGGAAATTGAAATAAATCAAAGATTCTGCCCCCCTCTCGCTGTACAATTGACGACTTTGCTCTCTTTTGCTGAACATTGGACATATTTTGCTTTTTTCTTCAACATTGAACAATTTCTTACTAGATTTGATAAGAGGTCCTTTTGTTCATCATTCATTTCAAGAATCTGAATATGAAACCGATGCTTTCACACTATTTATCATGCATTTCAACAATTTCCTCCTCTTATTGCACTTCAATTTAAGTTTCTATATCATTTTAAAAGAAAAATAAGGGAGACCATGAATCACAATTATTTCCACAATCCAGGTCCTTAGTTGACAAAGCACACTAAAAGGTGCATGAAATTCACAGAAAAATCCGACAAACGAAATTAATAGTTCAGGAAGACAGGGAGGGGGGATATTCAGCTGTAACAAAAAAACAATCTACTAGTAGCTCTGCGGAGAAGCAAACTAAATTGCTCCTCATATCTAAATATTATCAAGCCCTCTTGCAAAAGTTGCCGCCGTCAATGTCATCCCCATCATTTCCTTCCAATGGATCATCCAAGCTGAAACCACCTTTGTTCTCTCCCAATTGAGCTCCACCACCGCCAAAGCTGTTGTCAGTACCGCCAACAAAGTTGTCAGTACCACCAACACCGCCAGCAACACCAAAATTGCTGCTATTGCCAAAAGCACCTCCGGTGCTAGCAGTTTCAAAAGTGTTTCCACTTGGATAATTACCACCACTGCTGTAGCCACCTCCACTTCCACCATATCCTCCACCAGTGTTCCCACCACCATAACCACCACCGCCATAACTACCTCCGCCACCATAACCGCCGCCGCCGCCACCGTAACCACCGCCGCCGCCATAACCTCCACCACCTCCGTTGTAGCCGCCATCACCGAAGTTAGGGCGAGGCCTATCAGTAGCATAATTCACCCTTACTCGGCGGCCATGAAGCTCCTAGAGGATTTCCAGACAAATGTTTTAACATAAGATGAATGTTTTAACAATTATAAAGGTGTATGAGAAAACTAAAAAAAGAAGGAAGCAAAGTTTTTCACAAAAATAACTACCTGCCCATCCAAGGCCTGGATGGCACTGGATGCCTCCTCGCTACTGGTGAAAGTGATGAACCCAAATCCTCTAGATCTACCAGTTTCACGGTCACTGATGATTCTTGCTACAAGAAGTCAATGAGCACCAGATTATTGCAGAAGTTCAAACTCCATTAAAACAAATAGCTACTGCAAAGTGTATGGATAATTTTGAATGCATTATTTTCAACATTATGCATTTACAATACCAGGTACAGTCCCAGAAGTCTAATTTTGTCTAGAATTCACAAAACAACACTATTAAGACTATGGCATACCATCAATAACTTCACCATATTTTGCAAAAGCTTCCCTCAGACTCTGCTCATCTGTCTGGTACGAAATACCTGCATTACAAAAACTGAGACCATCTTAGCACAAAATCGCCACACAGAGAGGAGGGGAATCATATTTGAGACTCTTGAGGAATTCTGACAATACCTCCAATAAAGAGTTTTGAACTCGCCATGCTTGACATGCATCTTACTGCTTGATGGATGGACAGTTTGAAAGGAGATAATTCAGATCTGATCTGCTTGTTTGCAGTCTGTCTGAGTATATTCCCAATTTTACTTAAGAAAGCCATTGCAATAACCTAAAACAAAGCACAAGCAAACAAGTTCAATGACAGATATTTATCATAATAAGAGTGGATACAGCAATCAATTCTGTTGGTTGAAGACTACACATGTTATAGTCATGTCAACAGAAATGTCGAATTAAGTCTGTATAAGAACCCTTAATCTAAAATTGTTTTAAAAGTACACACAGGATGCTAATACTTTACTAATAAATAACAAGAGAGCCATTTATAAGCTACCTAAAACAATGATTATAAAAATCATTCGCATGCTCTTTCATCTACTACTACTGAAACAAAACAAACCAATAAGAATGTGACTCAGTCAATAAGTTAAACAATATTCACTTGATAAGCATATATTGCACTTCCTTGCTCCGAAAAGGTTCGAAACTCAGAAATCAAAACTTCATTTTTCACAGAACTCAGAAAGATGCAGGGAAAAAAACCATTTTGAAAACTTTCTACAAAACCAAACGGAAAATCTCAAATAACAACTTTGTTTTTTCACCCCTAGTTCGACAAATCAAAAGAGAACGTTGCCGAAATATCCACCACAAAAGCCAGCAATCAAAATCTCATCTTTAACAGAGCCCTAAAAACAATAATCACACGCACACATATATACATGTCTATATGGATCATAGACCAAATACCCACAATGTAAAATCACTTCAAAACAAAGAAAGAAAAATCCGCAGCGAATAGCAACAACAAATTAAACAAAGAACATAAAAGTATGACAATCACAATAATAACAATCATAAGCGATGAGTGAGAAAAGCCTCGTCAAACCGTACCTTGTCCGCTTCTCTCTCTGTCACTCTGCGTTCAAGGACCGACTAAAACCCTAAGGTTTTGATTCGAATAGGGTTTATGTATCAGAAATGGGATTCGGGGTCTGTTATATGGAGGACTCTAGAAAATCTGATCCGTCAAATTAGGGGTCAAATTTACAGCCGTTGGATCAGAGACGTGACGGTGAGGGTCGTATATGTTAGTTGCGCGGTACTGCGTGTACGTGGGACGTTAAGATTGGGTTGTTTTAGAGTTTTTATGACAGCCAGAGAATCCCCCTTCAAAGAACCTCAAAAATATCTGCCTGATCCTCATCCTATGCCTTGCCTACGTAGAACTATTCATTTTGCATTTAAAATTCTAATCACCAATTAGCGGGCCGAAGCCCAAACTAACCAGAACTTACAAGAAATGTGATACAATCAAGCCCAAGGCAAATGTAAAGCCCATTGACCAACAAGGCAAATGTGATACAATCTAGTTATTTAGGAAATTTCCAGTTACAATTATGATTTTTAAAATTGAGATTTTATTTGGATAATTAATCTACAGAAAACACTGACAAACTATACCACATTTTGTAACTTTAGATAAGTAGCTTATAGAAAATTTATAAATATTAGTCATATAAACAAATTCTATTAGTCATACTAAAAATCCTTTTTGCTCTTCTTATCTTAAGAAAGATAGTCGAGTCAGTTAACGAGGTATAATTCAGTGACAAATGGTTTTAATTTGTAAATCAATGATTTTAAGTTCGTACTCTCATAACACCTTGATAGACTGTACATATGTAGTTAGATTGTTGCTTGTATTTAAAAACAAAAAATTAAAAGACGGTGGAGTCAAATTTAAGATGGCATGTAGGCGAGCCAATTAGTTCCTTCCTCCTTAAATAAGAAAAATACTATTTCCTATTATTTTAAAAATAAAAAGTAAAACACAAAGTCAGATAGATGAGCGGTTAAAATTCTCCCTCATCTCCATCGACTGGTCAAGCAGTCAAAGAACCAAAACCTGCGAAAAGTTTCTAAGCTGAACCCTCGAAGTGCCGGACAAATCTCAAAATACCCATCAATCGGAGTACCCTCAAGAACCGAAATTGATCCAATTTTCGAATACCCAATGGCCCAAAATCCAAGACCCACAACCATTCTTGAATCTCTAGGCGAAGAACTTATCAGAATCATCACACCAGTATCAATCTGTATGTTGTTAGTGGTCATTTTGGTAACAATCTTAAACGCGGACTCATCTTCATCAGAAGCAGTGACCTCCATAGCCACCATTGCTTACACTGAGGCCACCTCAGACTCTTCGTGGGACAAATTCGTAGGTGCCGTTTTGAACTCCCTTGTGTTTGTTGCTGTTGTCACTGTTGTCACGTTCGTTTTGGTCCTTCTTTTCTATCTCAGATGCACTGAGTTCTTGAAAATCTACATGGGTTTCTCTTCTTTTGTTGTGTTGGGGTTTATGGGCGGTGAAATTGCCTTGTTTCTGATTCAAGACTTCAATGTGCCCATTGATTCTATCACATTTCTTCTGGTTTTGTTCAATTTTACTGTTGTTGGTGTCTTGGCTGTGTTCATGTCAAAAATGGCAATTCTTGTCACACAAGCATATTTGGTTGTTATTGGAATGCTGGTTGCTTATTGGTTTACATTATTGCCTGAATGGACTACTTGGGTGCTATTGGTTGCCATGGCCTTGTATGATCTCGCTGCGGTTTTGTTGCCTGTTGGGCCATTAAGGCTCTTGGTAGAGCTTGCAATATCTAGGGATGAAGAGATTCCTGCTTTGGTTTATGAGGCTAGGCCAGTAACTTCTCATGATTCCAGTGGTGGTGTGCGTCAGAGGAGAGTTTGGAGGGATAGGAGAAATGAGGATTCGAATAATGGGCCTCATTCCAATGAGAATATCAATTCTGTTTTGGCGGAGAATGGAAATTTTAGGTCAAACTCTAATGTGAATGCCAATGACACTTCACGTTCAAATTCAAATCCTGGTGAGTTTGGCAGTGGCCATAATGATTCGAGTTTGGTTAGAGCTGAAGAGGGGCGAATTCCGGATAGGGATCAAGAGCTTTCTGCGCCATTACTAGAACGGATAACAAATGTTGAGCAGCGTGGGCGGGAAGATGCTGTGGCAAGTGAAAGTTTGGTGCTGGAGGGTATTGGATTGGGGTCCTCTGGTTCAATCAAGCTGGGATTGGGAGACTTCATCTTCTACAGCGTTTTGGTTGGGAGGGCAGCAATGTATGATTTTATGACAGTGTATGCATGTTATCTTGCCATTATAGGTGGTCTGGGAATTACTTTGATGCTGCTGGCTTTGTATCAAAAAGCTTTGCCAGCTCTTCCTGTGTCAATAATGCTCGGCGTCGTGTTTTATATATTGACCCGGCTCTTGCTTGAAGTTTTTGTTGTACAATGTTCTTTGAACCTCATCATGTTCTAGACAGAAAAATTATGTTGTACAAGTTTGTTGGGCAGCTACACAACACATGTAAAGCATCAGAGTATACTGTATGAAACTGATGATTTATTGCTGCAGCTTGTATTTTTCTGTGAATTTGTTGCATATACAGGACCAGTAAGAGCTTTGCCATAACAGTTCAAAACAATAGCAAGATCTTTTCTTATTTCTGTTCATAGTGAAACGACTTTTTTGTTTCCGCCAAGGGAAATTCACAAAAAGAAAAAAAAACTTAATTAAGCAGCTGATATTGAAGGTAAAGCACAGCAGTTGTAGAGTTAATGGTTTATTCTGTCAATATATGATTCATGGGGTAAGCAAGCATTGTATGACTACAATTCAATAACATGGGAAGGCATGTAAAGCCAATTGATATTACTACAGAAGGAGAAAAATGCTGCTGACAAACAACAATATATTACAGCCTAATTTTGCTTCTGAAAATCTGACAGGTTCATATGAGAAAACATAAGTAAACGCGCCTCTGCTTGAGCCTCCGAAGATAAGGGTACATGAATAGCCATTTGATCAGAAGGCATACAAACAATTACATTTACATCTACTAAATTCCTGACAAAATAAAGGGAAAAACATTGGAAAGGGAGACTTGAAACACTACAACCTGAAACCTAAAAAGTAAACTACCAAAGCTTCACCTTCTGCGTATAAACGCATGGTGCAACGATCTTGGTGACCCTTCAAAGAGATGGAAAAGATATTTCTCCAGATCATCCACAGTGTACTTAACGTCTTTATCACTGATATTGCCAGAGATTCTCCCAACAAAAGTCCGATATGCTTGGATTACATTCTGTGCAGTTGAAATTTGTAGACCTTCCCGAAGCTCAAGATCCGGGATAGACCACCCTGTCTGGCTCTTGTACACCTCCTCAAATGCAATGCTGAAAGCCCTGCATCTTTCTCTAAAACTCGCCTTTGAGAAAGAATGTGACCGCTGATTATCATCTCTTAGCAGAGAAAGGACTGAACTCCAAGTAGCTCTCTCATAACTTGTTGCATGCTGCTGGACTTTAGCAATATGCTCTCTTATCCACTCATCTCCAAAGAAAAACATGAGCTTTGAGCTCTTTACCTTTTGGACCATGTAGTGGATGTTGTTCATCAAGAAAACATGTTGTAAAGCGGCATTCTTGTATAGTTTGGATCTGCTATCAAGACTGGATTTTAGAGTAGATGTGATCGACAGAAGGTGGTGAGCTGTTGGATAAAAAGCGGAAGAGAACGAATCTTCTATGCCTTGCCTGTCCTCCAGCTCAAGGGCTTGATTTGAATCTTCTATGCATTGATCATTGGTAAGAAAATTAAGTGTTCTGCCGTATTCAGTTAGGGTCTTGATGTAGTTCATGACATATCTGGTGAGAGGATGAATTCCACCTCCGGAGAATGGATTTGATGATGTGTTAGATGTTGCAATGGCATTCCCAAATTCCAAAAATGTTGTCTTTGCTAAATTGCCTAAGCTCTTCATAAGCTCGTGGAATTCGATCCTCACGAAAGAACCAGTCTCTTCCATGAACAAAGCATCTATATCCAGGAGGAGATCGGCAAGAACCTCGTACATGTCAAGCAAGGAAAACAACTTCTCTGGCCGACGGGATCCCATGGCTATGGCTTCACCGAAATTCAAGAGGCATGCCATTGTGGCCTTTGAGATGTCAAGAAAGCAAAATGAACTGACAGATCCAAATTCCGCCAAGATCTGCTCACAGAGCCATTTCTCGCTAGCAAGATAGACACGAATGATGATCTTCATAATCCAGCTCCATTTCTTGATCTCCAAGTTCAAGCTTGTCCACTCCATTTTCAGCACGTCTTCAATGCTGAATATCTGCACACCAAGAACAACCAAGTACTCGTCCAAGGCATATTTCCTTGTGTTGATAAAAGAGTGGCAAAATTCATAGCCATAATTTGAAGCAAACATAGCTTTTGCAATGGACTTGAGATGGGGAATTGCCAAAGGCTGCACCAAATCTACAACATAATAGTCATCTGATTCATTGCTATACCTGTTTCTCTGGGTTGCCTCCTCAATAGATTCTTCCTCAACTGAATCAAAGGACTCGTCGTACACAATATCTGCTCCAGACAAACGAAAAGACATGTATTCAGGCTCAAGGTATTGCTCGTAACGAACAAGAATATGGATGAGCTCTTCCTCTAGCCTTGACATTGCCAGCTGCAGAACACTATCCGCTCGGTAGAAAAGTTCCTTGTGCTTCCCATATTCATCCACAGACAAGCTTGTAAAGTTTTGTATCAGTGTTTGGATTTCGTCAATGGATTTTAGATAATTGGAAGCTTCCACAGGGCCAGAGTCCCATATCATTATTTGATCATTTGACTCCCAACTGAAAACCTTTTCCTCAGCACTTTTGAGCCGCTTCTCAAACTCAGAAAACTCTTCTGTCTTGCTTTCAGTGATTGCAGCAATGGCAGACAAGTGAGATTCAAGGTCTGAGAGGGTTTTTCTCAAGTCATCAGTTAGGAAACTACTTGACCTAAGTGCCTGCATTATGTGCCGAGCTGCTGCAATAAGATGTTGTTCTCCTTCATGGGTTGGGGTGGAAGATGATTTGTAATCCCCCATGCGGATGGAAAAGCCAAAAGAAAGAAGCAAGTAACCAACTAAACAGAAGCCTCAATGTATAAACTTAAAACTCCCCCAAAAATTTGTACTGCAATTTAGTGACTCAAAAAGGGAACCTAATGATTAACTACACACTGGAATTCAGAACAAAAACAAAAAATCTATGAACTTACAGTAGAACTGATATGGGACATGATCTCTGCAAAAACTGTTCTTTCTCTTGGATCCTCAGTGAAAACAGGTACATAAACTGAAATCCCAGATAAGTAATTTTCCAAAAACCACAGAGAACTAGAAAACAAAACAAAAATGCTTAAAAACTACGCGTTTTGTTTGATGAAAGAAATGGTCCAAGAATGGGAGAGATGCAGAGAATTGTTTTTTGAAGGAAAAGTGGAAAGCTCCAGCGGGAAAATGATGGTAGACAAATCAAATTGTAGAAAACTTGAGGGGAGATGGACATGAAACTTGGTGGGGTTGGCCAAGGCGTTCAAAATTTCATGGTAGCTTCCTAAATTAACTTTCTTTACATGCAATCTCTTCCATTATATTATATTGTTGGCATTGCAATGACCATTGACTTTTCTAGTATGACAATTGTTGGTTTACTTTGTATTTATGTGTGTGTGTCTATATATATATATATATATATATATATATGTGCAATTAAATCCTAATTATTAGCATCTACATATTTATCAAATATTGAATTACTGGGAGCAAACATTAAAAAAAAACCTTGAATTACAGACAAGAGGTCTTAGGTTCAAATCCCTAGGACATCTTACTTGTGTACGTGTGTATGAGGAATCCATCTTTTTTGTAGTTTACTATTGTTTGTACTAAAAAATAAATAAAATAATAAAATAAAATAAAATAATAAAATAAAATAAAGGAGTAGAGCTAGAAACTTGGACTGTTAAAGTCTTCTTTTACGAGTTGATGTATTCAAAGTCCAATGCCTGCTTGTCAACCGGGGTGTGTTATTTTGGCCATTAACAACCTCACTGTAAGTACATTGGCTAGCTGTTTTGTGTACCTGATTAAGAAAAAGATCGCTTGTTAAGACTTAACAAGAAACTAAATAAAATTAATTAACTAGTAGTAGGTTCAAAGTAAGGTGAGCCTAAGGGTTTGATTTCCATTCCACGTCCACTTAGCAAATTTTAAAACCCTCTCAATCTCAAGAGTCAAAGCAACGTTCTTGGAATTCTGCTGAATAATAAACAGATTGACTCCTTTTGGTAAGTTCGTGAAAATTTCATAAACATCTTGACCATAACTATTGTTTCCACCGTTCACACATGAACCTGCCTCCTTTTCTTACTTTCCAAGTAAAGACAAAATTACAAGTAATGAAAACCAACCGTGGGTTAATGATTGCTTAGAATTATATTATGGATGTAAAACCAATTGGGCCATAATTCCCAACCAGACAAAGAAAAAGTTTGAGTTGGGCCAACTTCGTTCCATTATTTGATGATTTCGAATTGGGCGGAGTGTAACGATAAACGCTCTTAATTTGATTTCCAACAAGTCGATATTTGAATGTCATATTTTCCAGCCAAAAAAACTAAAATATGACGACTTGTTAAATAAAATAAAACCACTGTTTTAATTGATAAAGTAAAGTTTATTATGTAATAAGAAAATATTATTGGGAATATTATTAAGGTAAATACCGAATAAATGACAAAAAAAGCAAAGACAGCCTTGGATTTTAGAAATTAGTTAAGACGAGGAGGAGCGATATGGAAATAGAGAGGGAGAGAAAGGAAGCAACGCCTAAGTCTATGCAAGGCCCTTTAATCCTCCCCAGGTTTCTCTCTCTCCTCACTGTCATTTTCATTTTCGTTTTTGCGCATTTCATTTTGGGGTTTTCTTGGATTTTCAGTCTTACCCCCATTACTCCATAGGTTGACGTCAAATGCAAAACCGAGACTGCTGATTTTCAGGGCCGGGAGATTGGCAGTCTCTCTCTCTCTCTCTCTCTCTCTTCAGGGCGGACGTTAATTCATTGGCATTGGTTTTGCATGTAAGTTTTGTTTTCATACAAGTTGTTACATTTTTTTTTCTTTGGTTTAAATTTTCAATGGGGTTTTTGTTTTTAATCTCAATTTCTTGTTCTTGCAATGTATATATTCAATGTATATAACGTTTGAAATGTAATGTTTCTCCTTCTCTTTCCAATGTTTTCATAGATTATGTTTGAAATATAATGTTTTTGGATTAATTTTTTCCCCTTAATTTAAAGTAAGGATATAAGTTTAGCATGCAGTTTTGAATATGAATGCATTCTGATTTGTGTTATCAATCAAATGAATGCATTTAAGTTTATAATTCTCCAGTTTACCTGTTAATCTGTCACATTTCCTGTTTCCCACAATTTGGGTGGCAAACATTATGAAGGAGCTCTCTCGGGATCCATAGTTCCATATAGAATTCAATCCTGCGAATGTGCTTGGATTGGTGAGCTTATGATTGTTTTGTTATTTCATTTTACAGAAATCCCATGGTTTTGGACGGGTGGAGCCATAATTACAACAATTTATAGTTATGGCATCTGCAGATGAGGGTAAAAGGTTAAGCTCCCTCTCCTGCTCCCCACTATCAACATCTTCAGACTTTGTCCATGCAGCAGCCACAGAATCCCCTGCTGAAAGCACAACCGGCCAGGGAAAACGGGACGAGGAGGACAATGCCATAGGAATTTTGGAGCCGGGCGGAATAAGTAGCAACAATGTTATGAGGACAAGCTCTGCTACAACTCTTGGTGAAGTTGATCGGTTGAATGATTTGAGGACAGATTCTGCTACCACTCTAGGTGAAGCTAATGCTTTTAGTTCCAGAGGAGAAAATTTTAGTCACTCTCTATCTGATTGTTCTGAAACCACCGACTTTGGATTGGGCACAAATGCAACCAGTATGTCCCAAGAAGGTTCCACTGGCCATACAAAACTTGTGGACTCTCAGGAAGGTTCAGATTATGCTGATGAGGATTTTCTAGGCGCCTCAATGTCGAAGAACGAGCAACCTAGTGATGGATTAGAAGCACCACCTTCTCAGCCAGAGGTTGATGATTTAGCATCAGCAACAACAGAATCTCCTCCTACGCAGGTGATGGAGCGACCCGGTGACCCTTCTTCATATAGGATCCCTGACTATGTGTTTGCTAGGAACAAATCCACAGCCCCGTTGGAGTGGAGCACTGCATCCAATGAATCCTTGTTCAGCATTCAGATGGGGAATATGAGTTTCACCAAAGACCAGTTTCCTTGGTTGGGCAAATCTGGTGAGCTGGGTTTGCCTGGTGAAGTGAGCATGCCTATGCCTAGTGGTAGCAACCTCAGTAATATTGATTTCTCAAGCAACCAGCCTCCATCTAAGCAGTCTGCTGCTGAGAATTCCCAGAGAAGTGGCAATTTGGAGGAGGAAGTCGAACCAAGCCCAAGAGTAACTGAAGCAAAATCTGCAGCAACCATGAGAGAGGTTATAAGGGAAAATGCAGAAAATCATGAGAAAGCAAATGACTCTGTTGCTGAGGGAAAGTATCATTCAGCTTGCCTCTCTCATGCTTCAGATGGAAGCACAAGATCTTTTGCATTTCCAATGTAAGTTACTTAACTATAATCTACATCCTCAAAATACATAGAAGTAAATTAATCATTTAAAGAATAAGAAAAAACCAATGCTAGAAATATATATTTGTGCACCTTGGCATGTTGAGCAAACCGCTGAATCTCTATTTGTTGCATGAAGATTGGCAGGGGAGGGAGACGTAAGCTGTTCACTGAGGGGAGATGCAATGAAACAAAGGCAACATTCGCCGTCAAAGCCAAATTCGAAACGAGAATCGCGGCCACAAACACCTAAAGAAAGTCCAAACGGATCATCACCTCAGACCCCAAAACCAGCCTCAAATGGAGGAAAGTGCAGATGGGGGCTGTCCTGCTTCTCTTGTTGCCCATCATGCTGTTCTTGAGAGACGTTGTCCAGGGTAGTGGTACAGTTAAAACTTCAACCCTTCCAAAAAGTTCTGAACAATATTGCAACAAAAGAACAACAACAAAAGGAAAAAAAACATTTGTAGTTTAGTGGTTTCTCTCTTCTTGTTGTACATTAATTACACATGGATATGCAGACATCTCTTGTTTTCTCATTGGAGTTGTATGTGAGGTTAAACATGTTTTTTTTAGCATTAATAGATAATTAAACGAATCCTTTAGGTATTTCCTATGTGTCTTAGGGAATGTAAATACTTGATCCACGATAATGCAAGACTTCACTCCATGTCAGTGTTACCATGTTCACCTTTTCATGTTTTTTTAATTTTATTTATGATTTTATGAAACATATATATTAGTGAAAAAAAAAGGGAAATGCTAAATTTATCACATTTTTATATCACATTCTATACCACATCTCTAATAGAGGTGGGCTCCATTATATTGGTGGGATCCACCTCTATTAGAGAGGTAGTACACAGTATGGTATAAGAATGTGGTAAGTCTAACATTACCCGAAAAAAAATCCCCAAGAAAACTCTAACAATATTTGGGGTCTTTTTTTTCTTTTGGGAAAGAACATGAAATTATGGGTCCAATTGTTAATGCCAACGTGGAGGGCCCATAATATTACAGCCCAACTACAAAGTACCGGCCTTCTTGATGGTCCAATCGTGAATTTCAGAAACAACATGAGGAGAAAATGGTAAAACGCAGAAGGAATTCGCACAGGCGCTGGAGCGCGGCAGTCCACAAATACCAAAACACACGAAAGGTAAATTTGGCGCCAAAAAAGTAAAAAAAGATTTAGGAAGCCTTGCGGGAAATGATTTCAAAAAACAAAAAATCTCCCGCCGAAACCCACTTATACAAAACCCCGACTCCAACACAGAGACTCTCATATCATATCATCTCTCTATCTATCTCTATCTCCCCCCAAATCGCCTCCAAAATTTTAGAGAGAGAAAGCAACAGAGTGAGAGAGAAAGGGCTGAGAATGGCGAAGCTAGGACCAACCCCAGATGCGATTTCGACCATTTTGGCCTGTCCGGATCCGAGTGGGTCGGTTGAGCGGCCCGATATCGTGATCCAGGTCCTCGATCTCGGTCCCAGGGGTATTACTTACAAGTGAGCTTTATCTTCACCAATCCAATATAAATTTGTCTCTGTTTGGGTTTTTTCCTTGAAATTATTAGAAGCTTTGTGTTTATTTGGTTTTCTTTTTCCCTTTCATTTCTTTGTGGGTTTTCAGAAACCCCTTTCTAGATCTAGATCTGGCTGCATTTCAAGCTTTGAGAATTGAAGTGTTTAAGTTTATAGAGTTGTTCATGATAAAGTTGTTTGAGTTTTGAATGAGCTTGGGTATAGTCTGATTGGTTTTGCTTTGTAAGGAAAAAAAAACAGATCTAATTTAGCTTATTGTAATTGTAATTTGGTTCTAGGTTTACTGCTAGTGATGGAAAGATGAAGCTGAAGGGGATGTTCTCCTCCCAGCTGGCTTCCCAGATTACCTCTGGGAACATTCAGAACCTGGGTCTCGTTCGCATTCTGGATTATGCTGTTAATGAGATTCCTGGCATGTCTGAAAGGTAAGCAATCAATTCTCTATATCTCTCTGTCTCTTTCAAAATATCGGAATTTGAATGTTAAAGTTTGGTTCTGGTTCTGGTTTTGCTGTTTCAGCTATGTGCTTGTAAAACAATGTGAGGTGGTCTCACCTGCACTTGAGACGGAGATAAAAAATGAGGTGAAAAGTGAGGTGAAAAGTGGAGAAGTTGGCATTATTTTGAAACCCAAGCAGGAAATGGTTTCCAAATCAGCTTCTCAAATTGTGCATGAGCAGAATGGAAAGTAAGTGTTTTGTTTGTTGTCAATCAGTTGTAATTGTGTGTTAGAATTCATGGTTGTGTGTTTTGACAATTCCACTTTTTGTGTGGATTCATTTCAGTATGGCCCCGGCTGCACGAATGGCCATGACCCGGAGGGTTCATCCGCTTGTTTCCTTGAATCCTTACCAAGGAAATTGGACCATAAAGGTTCGTGTTACAAACAAGGGTACTATGCGTACCTACAAGAATGCTAGAGGTGAAGGCTGTGTCTTCAATGTGGAGTTAACAGATGAAGAAGTAAGAAAAAGACTCATTTGAGTTTTCTGACATTCTTATAATCCTTTCTTCCTTGCTAGATGTACATGACATAATGATTCTAACTTTTGTGTAAACTTTGTTTGCTTTGGTTTAGGGCACACAAATTCAAGCAACAATGTTTAATGAAGCTGCAAAGAAGTTCTTTGAGAAGTTTGAATTAGGGAAGGTTTATTACATTTCAAAGGGATCTCTAAGGGTTGCTAACAAGCAGTTTAAGACAGTGCAAAATGATTATGAAATGAATTTAAATGAGAATTCTGAGGTTGAAGAAGCTATCAATGAAGCAGCTTTTGTTCCTGAAACAAAATTCAATTTTGTTCCAGTTGATATGTTAGGTCCCCATGTTAATGGGAAGGAGCTTGTGGGTAAGCAGACACTCTCATGATCTGTTATATATGTGTGTTTCTATCTTCTTATTTACTCATTTTTGCCCTATATTTCAGATGTCATTGGAGTTGTTCAAAGTGTGTCTCCTACGATGAGCATCAGAAGGAAGAGCAACAATGAGAGTATTCCAAAGCGTGATATTACCATTGCTGATGAAACGTAAGCCTATAATACTCCTTGCTTACTACTACTTCAATATGTGAATGTTTTACATTGAAACAATTGGTATCTGAACTGCAGGAAAAAGACAGTTGTGGTTTCTCTGTGGGGTGAGCTTGCAACTAGTGTAGGCCAGGAACTGCTTGACTTTGCCGATCAATCTCCCATAGTTGCTATCAAGTCCCTCAAAGTTGGGGACTTCCAAGGTAGCTAATAAAAGTTTACTCAGTAACAGTTCAAGCAATTATGCATATTTGAAAAAAAAAGAAGCATAAACAATCAAAGTTCCTATTTTTGATGCAGTCTTTAATATATTGTTGCAGGTGTGTCATTGTCAACACTGAGCAGGAGCACAGTAGTAGTCAATCCTGAATTACCTGAAGCAAAGAGGTTGAGGTCCTGGTAAGATATTCCTCAATAGGCTATTACCTTCTCTTTTCTTTATATCCATGTACAATCAATGATTATATTGTCTTAATTGGCAGGTATGATTCTGAAGGTAAAGGGGCTTCATTGGCCTCTGTTGGCAATGGTATGAGCCCTTTAGCCAAGAATGGAGCAAGGTCCATGTACTCTGACAGAGTCTCCCTGTCTCATATATCTGATGACCCATCCTTGGGTGAGGATAAGGTATTACTTCTATATCAATAGCTCCTAGTTACAAAAGAATCTTCAGTAATGAAAACCTTCAAGTTTATGGTAGGGTTGAAAACTCATTTGTCATCGTACTGAATACTTCGTTTTTGTCTTGGGGCAGCCTGTGTTTTTCAGTGTTAAAGCGTTTATAAGTTCCATCAGGCCTGATCAGGCACTGTGGTACCGTGCTTGCAAAACTTGCAACAAGAAAGTAACTGAAGCTATTGGGTCTGGTTATTGGTGTGAAGGGTGCCAGAAAAATGATGAAGAATGCAGTTTAAGGTAAGATATATGTTCAGTATATTATGGTAAAGATGCTAATGGTATTTTATACAGATTCCCATTTTCTCATTTCTATTTTGTTCTCGCTTTCCAGGTATATATTAGTTGCAAGAGTCACTGATGCAAGTGGGGAAGCATATCTTTCTCTATTTAATGAAGAAGCAGAGAGGGTTATTGGGTGCTCTGCAGATGAGCTGGACAAATTGAAATCACAGGTATATTATAGTTATGATTTTGATTCACTGTGCCTATAAGTTATAACATGTCTTCACTTAACCATGAAAGATTAGCAGCTGGTTTCTAATTTTTGTAAGCTTTACGTTTTCAGGAGGGAGAGGAGAACGTATACCAACTGAAGCTGAAACAAGCTACTTGGGTTCCTCATCTTTTTAGGGTCAGTGTTTCTCAGAATGAGTACAATAACGAGAAGAGGAAAAGGATAACTGCCAGGGCAGTTGCTCCTGTTGATTTTGCTGCTGAATCAAAGCTTTTGCTAGAAGAGATATCAAAGATGAAAGCTTCCCAATAGAAGAATTGTCTAATGGAAGGTGTGCAAAAACCCATAGAGAACAAACAAAGACGAGGATGGTGTCTGTTTGGGCAGGCAATGTATTTTGTACCTTTTTGATCAGGCCTTTTAAGATATTACTGGTTTAGTATTTACATGTTGGGGAAAAGGGCAGTTGGGATTAATTGCAAATGTTGGTTATCTAGTTGTATAAATGGTTGGTTTTGTTGCATTCTAGAAAAGAAATGCATGATATTTATCTAGTTGTATAAACGGAGTTCCTTTATAATCCTTTGTGCGATCGGCATTTACGTTCAATTTCATCTTTCTTCCCTGCGATTTTGGCATAAGAACTAAACAGAATGACTTTTGACAGCAGGGTTAAGCTTTTTGTTTTGGTATTTTTAGTTTTTGTTAATTTGTGAAAGCACCACCAACCGTTGCCAGGGTCCATAAATTTAGCAATTCGGTGACATGATAAGAAGCAACTTGTGTATAAAGTAAGCTATTTGTGTATAACAAAAGGTTAAGTCTCTTTGGAATGAAACTTCAGTATAGCGCAGTTGTACTACTTATTCAAAACATTATAATTTTGGCAAGTTACAATTGAAAACTTCGGCCATTATATAATATTTTACAATAACTTGTTTTAATATTTTAATATATATTATTTTTATTCAATAATATGTGAAAATTATGTATATAATATGTGAATTTTGTGTGTATTATTGAAAACTTTGTAAAAACCACGTGTTAAACATGAAAAATATGTATGTGTACAATATGTGTATTGTATGTTTGCTTTTTTTAAAAACTTGTATTTTACCGAGCCTTTAAGACATGTACAAAAAATTGAAGTATTATTGAAAAATACATACATATGTGTATAATATGAGTATTGAATGGGAAAATATTAAATTTTTTATACGAATAATAACTCTGAAAAAGTAAAAAAAATTCAAAAGGAAGTATTTTATGAGTATTATACGGAATTTGGAAGTATTAGTGAAAAATATGTATATACATGTATAATATGAGTATTAAACGAGTAAATACTAAATTCTTTATACATATAATAATTCTAGAAAAGTTAAAAAGCCAAACAGGGATAATAGAGACTCGGGTAATAGCCTAATAGTAATAGATAATGTGATAAACTACTCTTATCTATCAAAGAAACTTGGGAAAAATAATTTTTTTTAAAAGAAAAAGGACCCCATTATGTATTTCAAACGTATAGCCGCTCGGCTATACTATTTATGAAAAGTTGAAAAAGATTTAAAAAAGACCCAGGTATAGCCGGTCGGCTACACTTTTCGAATATAATATAAATATAACGTATACCCATGCGGCTATACTATTCACTAAACAAATTTTTTTTTAAAGACGGCGGTATGGCCGTACGGCTATGCTATTTATAAAAACAATTTTAAAAGAAGACCCAAGTATAGCCGCTCGGCTACAGTGTTCGAATATAATATAACGTATAGCCGCACGGCTATAATATTTATTAAACAACTTTAAAAAAAAAGATGGAAGTATAGCCGAAGGCTATACGATTTATGGGAACAATTTTAAAAATACAAATTTATTAAAAAAAAACCAAGTATAGCCGGGCGGCTATACTGTTCGAATATAATATAAATATAACATATCGCCGCACAGGAATACAGTTTGAATATAACGTATCGCCACGTGGCTATACCATTTTGAAAAAGAAAAAAACAAAGGGGACCCGCCTAGAACCTAGACGGTCCCTTTTTTTCCTCCTAAAAATAGTATAGCCGTCCGACATTATGAAATATAAAGACGAAATAAGAAACAATTGCACTAAATTGCTTTGGCATGGCAAGATTTCTGAACTGATTATACAGGGTTGTAGTCCACAGAGGTTGCACTAAATTACGATAACAAGATAAAAATTGCACATAATAATTTAACAATCTCATGCCCTTCCATAGGAAGAGACCATTGACGCTATTTTATGCAGTAAGTTTGATGCATTCTTGTCATCACTTTCCTTAAAGGAGCTCCACTCTTTATAATTATGCAGGCTGCCTGTAAAGTCTGTAAAAAGTCCATCAACACCTATCTCATTAATCCAATAATCGTACTCTGCATACGGATCTTGATGAAAGTCAAAGTGCAGGAACGAGTTCTCATTTCGGTATGTATATGGGTGCACCTGCATCGGAATTGAAGAAAACGAAACATAAGAACACGCACAATACTTTATTATGTCCAATAATTACATCTATAGATCTGAAGCATTCATATTTCATATAATCTGAACAAGAATAAGTCTTTTCAGGGAAGAAATCTACCTGTAGGTCATGAGCATGGGCTCTGGAGACCAGATCAGTAGGTGTTTGCAAATAATTGTTTACTACAGGAACCACAGTATCCTTCCATGGTCCAATGCCCACCACATAATCTTTAATGAAGTCAAGGTAGGCATCGGAAGTAATTTCCCAATAGGACTGCACATGATCAATTTGATGTCAGTCAGAGAGGAATATAAATACTGAAAGACTCGATGGATGAACTACATTGCAAAAATTGGACTTAGATACAGTTTAAGCTGGGTCTTTAATCTCTATAAAGAAGTTATGATCGGCAAACAGCGTAAGTAGTCTCTAGGGAGATAAAACTAGAAAGAACACAAACCTGATTAGTGTCTTGAGTTGGAACTGTGATATCGTCAATTAAGAATATCTTGGGCAAGTCTGTCAGATTTGATACGTATATAAGCGAAGTTGGAGCGAATGACTGGATAAATGCAGGTTGTTTTAACCAATCCTTTGACAAGTATGAACCCTTGTATCCGTACTTCTTAAGTGTCTCCACAAACCTGTCCTCAAATCTCTTGCCATCTGCCCACTTCACCTGTCATCATATTAAACATTAGCCACGCGTCGTGAAAAAATGAAAAAATATCTATCAGATTCAGCATCGATGAAGCAACATTTTAACCATGAAATGGCATTCCATGTTTCAGAAAAAGGCATAATGCTAATCAGGTTATGTGCAACCATTCTTTGTGGAAGGTTTCACGATACTCACATGCTGGTTGATCAATACTGGATTTTTAATCTCTGGATATATTCCAACGACCCTGGGTGCGTCCAATGCGATTGAAATGAACTCTTCAAAAGTAATAATAGTATATTTTCCTGTGGATACATCAGAAACGAATATACTTAACCATCCATATATTTGCCCCTGTAGAAAAAGGACTAAAAAAGAAAACATATATGCTTTTCCATATGAAAAATAAGTGTAGCGTTCTATACAATGACCTAGGGAACTACCTAGAGTTGTCATTTCAACTTTAATTAGAACCATGAGTCAAGTGGTGATGTTACTCATCAAGCCCAAATCAAGGTACTACGTTCTAACAACAAGAACCAACCCATGGCCATCAATACAAATGTAAACTTTAACCAACAATATAGTGCGTACATGAATTGCAGAAACAAGATAAAGCTAGTAACGGTTAGAAATCTGATATTGAAATAAGGTTCTATCATCACAAAATCAGCCAAAAAGTAAACATAAATAAATAAATAAAAGCAGAAAACAATTTTTGAACAAGAGGAATTTTTAATTAAAAAAAAATGTACGCTCAGATTCAGAGTGATTTACCAGAAATAGGAACTAACCATTATATTGTTGATCCCGAAATGGATACCTCTGCTTCACTCGTAATGACTTCAGTTCTTTTAGTGTAAAATCAACTGCATATGGTTAAAATAAATTTTAATTTCCTCAGTTGATAACACTGAATGGCAATAAACTTACAGATTCTGAAAAAAGTAACAACATGATGTTGGGAACAGTGGTAAACTAACAAAACTTATCAGTTGGGTGCTCAACTATGGTCAGTCTTCAGTTAGAAGACCGGACGTACAAAAATAACCATCAACACAATGTGATCATATTCAGTAAAAAGTTGAAAGCTGAAGGGCTTTCCATACCAGTGAAAAAACCAGTAGTGTTGTTCCCTTGAACCTCATAGGTCCTTTTACGATTTGAAAATTCCTTGTGTTCTGCAACATCAGTTGTCTCATCAAGGGTCACATCATGAAAGCATATGAGAACACCATCTTTAGAAGATAGGATATCTGTTTCAATGAAGTCTGCACCCTCTTCAACAGCTCTCTGCAAGAATGAATCTTTTAGTACTCATTTACCTTTTTATCAAGTGGATGAATGAAGTTTATTATAAGTATTTTTAGTACCATCAAATTGCAGCATCTAATCATTAACAGTCAGTGGTCTTCTAAAACTAAGAGAGCTGGGTTAATAAGCATATATATGCCCATATTACCATGTATGCAGCTGCAGTTTCTTCAGGAATCTCTCCGTTTGAACCTCGATGAGCAATGTTGTATGGTCGAGAAGTTTGCAGAGGCTGTCTATCGCCATGAGCTAATTTACTAGGAAGTGGATAAAATGGCCTCCCAGAACACCCAACAAGGAGCAGTAGGAACACGAAAGGAGCAAAACCTGTCAAATGCAAAAACATCAAAAGTAAACCATCAATTCTAGACCTAAGAATGCTGCTGGGTTACATAATTAAATACATTTTCGTGCCGTATGTAAATTTTCATAATTTGGAGAATAAAGATAGAGTTTTGCTATCCAAAACGGTAAAAGGCACTTGCTAATTTAGAATGGCATCAAACTTATGAATCTTAAGACTATATCATACATATAAACCAAGATCAATATCAGCGCTATTTGCAATCCATATTTAGAAAACCAATTGTCTCATTCAATTGAAAGAACCTACTTATAAATAGTAGAACAAAACACAACCTCACATTCACACCTTGGCTATCATTGTGCTAACTAAGAAAAACTTAAGGCATTTTCCAACTAAACATCAATTTCCCTAAAATCAACCAATTAACTTGCGCCAGATCATATTTAGCAATCCAAGGAAAGTTCTCAAATGTCAGCTTCAAACAAATCAAACAAACCCAGATAAGCAATTGCCAAGGCCAAATCAGATAGAAAGCCAATATTAGAAGTATATCAACTGCCAAGAGAAAAAAATCAGGCCTTTTTCAAAACTGAAAAAAAAAACCCAGTGATCATTCACATACAAACATTGAAAAACTTATGCCATCAACAAGAAAAAGAGTTACAAAAAAGAGAGGTTAAGTTTGCAGCTTACAGTGTGAGGAAGCCATGGTGTTGGCCCAGCTTCTCTCTGCAAAGCTTTCACTTTGAAGAATGAATATGAGTTGTTGTTTTGTATTCTAAGGAGGTAGAATCGTGTGGCCGGGAGTTTTATAATACAGAGGCCCGGAAAATTCGGTGTCATGGATCTATCCGCAAACCGAGAATATTCCTCGAATATATAGATAGGCTCTACCAGGAAAATAAGGCTAAATTGGCAGTGACAGGTTAGATGCCATTTGAATGGAAGCGTGAAACTGCAACACCGGCCGTTGACGGTTGGCGTACGAGGGAGGTTGGACACGTGGCTGGTGATGATTGGGTTTGTTTTTCAATTGTCAGGTCATTGTTGTTTTGCACTGGGATGCTGATTTCTAAACTCAGCAACCAGTTGGCGCGTTGACTGAATGGTCACTTCTCATCCGTCGCGTGATATATTATTTAGGAGTCTCTTAAGTTCGAGAGATCATTAAAAACGGCTAATAAAAGTAGGAATAAAAAAAAAGAATTAACTTATTCTAATATATAATAAAATTCAGAATCATACAGGGAAGCTGAAAAAGATAAAGTTTCCTACTTGTAATTGTGATAGGTTTAAAACTCTAGTGGAAAGCAAAAAAGGAAGGAAGAAGATCCAGAGCACTAAAAACTCAATCGGGAAATAGTGAACCATGATATTTTGTTTAAATGAGTTTGTATGAACGAGATCTGAATGAAAAAAAGAGAGAGAAGAAATCCAATTTCCTTGTAGTTTCAACAGTTGAGTTAGAGTAGAACGCTTATCCCTACAGCCTAGCTAGTGTTCAACTCTCACCTTTCCTCCCTCTCCAAATAAAAAACATAAAATAAAGAAGAAAAGGAGGAGAGGAATTGTGGGGGAAAACAAAATCAGTTATTTTGGGCATATCTTTTGATGGCTCAATAGAGGATGATGGAGCATTGAAGCTACGATGCTGCAACACAAATTGAAGTTTTTGGTAATGGTATCACTCTGATTTCATACCGATTCCTTACTTCCTCAATTCCTAAATTATCCGATTCCTTACTTCCTCCATTGGCCCCTAATTTCATCATTTAACCTTTTTGAGACAACTTGGTTTACACAAAATATTGAGATTAGTCTAACTTGTTTAGTTGTTTTTATTAGTTCTTTTCGATTTGATGCCAGTCGAACCCAAAGCCTGCTAAACTTTGGATATAACACAAAGCCAACAAGTTACAAGGACACCGAAGGTCTGCTTGATGTAGATTGTTAGTGTGCTTTGGGGTAACTAAAGCATCACCTGATGTTCCATATTGATGACTGTACATGTCTAGTCAGCATATTAGCTGTAGCTGTAGCTATAGATCACGTGTATATCGTGTGGTCAGTTAGGAATTGTTAAGCAGTTGTATAAAGCTGTTATCACAGTAATTGTTCATTAAGAAAATACAACCAGTAAAAATCTCTTAGAAATTCATGTGTTCTCTCTCTAGCTTTCTTCCTCTTTATCTTTCTCTGCATATTTCACTTTCGTTATCATGGTATCAAGAGCCTAGTTCGATCTGTTTTTCTTGCTTCCGCTCACAATCCTCTTCGATCTCTTATTGATTCTGCAACTTTTCTTGTTCCTGATAAATCCTAAATTTTTTTTTTTCGATTTCATCTTCCAACTCTTCGATTTCTTGTTCCTGATAACCCTAAATTTTCACTTTCATCTTCCAATTCTTCAATTTCTCTACTCTTTTCTCTCTTCTGTGTCTTCGTCCTCTTTCTTCAACGAATTTTCTTCTCATAATTCGACAAATCTTGTTTCAGACAACCCTAGATTTCTGCCATGGCTGCTTCTTCATCATCTTCTCTCAAAATTGAACAACTCCTTGGATTGCTTACTATTCGTCTTACTGATGATAATTTTCTTAAGTGGAATTATCAAATTGAGTAGGTTCTGGAAGGTTACGATCTCTTTGGCCATTTAGATGGCTCTGCTCTTCCTCCGCCCAAATTTGCGATTGTTGATGAAGAGGGAGTGACATCGGAAGTCACTACTGCTTATAAGGATTGGATGCGCACTGATAAAGCTCTTCTCAGTCTTCTCATTGCTTCTCTCTCTGACGAAGCAATTGAGTATGTTATTGGCTGTAAGACTGCCAGGGATGCTTGGCTCAGTCTCACCGATCGTTATGCGTCGGTTTCTCGTGCCAGAATCAATCATTTGAAAACTGAATTTCAGACTGTGCAAAAAGGTGGAGATTCCGTTGAGCGATTTCTTCTTCGTCTCAAACATCTGCGTGATCAGTTACATGCTGCTGGTACTAAGATTTCTGATGATGATTTTATCATTGCTGCATTAAATGGTCTACCACCTGAATACGACATCATCAAGACGATCTTGATTGCTCGTGATACGCCAATCTCGTTGAAAGATTTTCGTGCTCAGTTACTGGCTGCTGAGCAAACTGCTGAGGCTCGACTTACCTCTCATTCTGCTTTGTTTGTGCCTCATACATCTTCTGGCTATGGGGTTCAGGGAGCTCACAGTGGTTCATCGTCTGTCTCTCTATCTTCAGGACAAGGTTTGCTTCCTACCCCGACTTCTCATGTTGGTTATTCTGGTAATGCATCTTCTCGACCTCCTTCGCTGTCTTTTGGTCCTCGTCCTATTTCTCATACTGGTTTTGGTCGAGGCAAGTTCAATGGTGGACGTCATTTTAGTTCTCCAACTCGTCCAAATTTCAGAGGCATTACTCCTGATTATCGAGGCCACAACACATTTTCTGGTTCCAAGTTTGTTCCTGAATGTCAGATTTGTAATAAAAGGGGTCATACGGCTGTTAATTGTTTCTTTAGGCATGCCAATTCTCAATCTTCAGTTTCTATAGTGCCTGAGTGCCAAATCTGTGGCAAGCGTGGGCATGGTGCTTTGGATTGTTATCACAGGTCGAATTACTCATTTCAAGGTCAAGCTCCTCCTTCTTCCTTAACTGCTATGACAGCACAGACTTCTTATTCTCCTGAACAAGTCTGGATTGCTGATAGTGGAGCCACACATCATATGGTGGGTGATGTGTCTCAGTTGCAAAATGTGACTCCATGTGTTACTGAGGAAAATGTCACAGTTGGAAATGGGGAAGGTCTGAATATACTTCATATCGGCACTTCTAATATTCCTGGTGCTACATCTAGGCTTACAATGCCCTCTGTTTTTCATGTTCCTCAACTCAAAGCAAATCTTTTGTCCGTGCACCAACTTTGTAAGGATAACAACTGTTATATTGTGTTTGATGTCTCTGGTTTCTTGATACAGGACAAAGTCACTCATCAGGTGCTTCTCAAGGGAAAGAGTGATCATGGTTTATATCCTATTCCACTGCTTCCTCGGTCTCCAATATCTTCAATTTCTTCAATGCATAAAGCTTACATTGGCCAGAAAATAAAGTCCTCCTTGTGGCATCAGAGGTTAGGACATACCACTAATGAGGTTACAAAGAAAATGTTGCAAGCTTCTGCTATTTCTGCTTCTGATGATATTTCTTCAGCTATCTGTTCAGCATGTTTACAAGGCAAAATGCATAGGTTGTCTTTTCCTACTAGTCATTCTAGAGCCACTATGCCATTTCAATGTATCCATAGTGATGTATGGGGTCCCTCTGCTGTAAAATCCATTGATGGCTATAGATATTATGTCAATTTTGTTGATGAATGTACTGGTTTTATGTGGCTATATCCCATTTTTAATAAATCAGATGTTTTTGGAGTTTTCAAGAAGTTTTATGCTATGCTCACAAATCAGTATGATGCTAAAGTTAAGACATTTCAAACTGATGGAGGGGGTGAGTTTACTAGCATATTGTTCACTGCCTTTCTTGATTCTAAAGGTGTTAATCATCACTTGTCTTGCCCTCACACTCCTCGGCAGAATGGGTTGGCTGAAAGAAAGAATCGCCATGTTATTGACACAGCCATAACTCTTTTATCTGCTGCTTCACTTCCTACAAAGTTTTGGGTTCATTCTGTTGCTCATGCTGTTTATCTAATAAATAGAATGCCGAGTGAGGTTTTGAATCATCAATCTCCATTCCTTAAGTTGTTTGGTCATGCTCCTAATGTTCAACATCTGAGAGTTTTTGGCACTGCTGTTTATCCTTACTTGAGATGTTATAATGTGCACAAGCTTCAACCAAGGACTGCTCAATGTGTGTTCGTGGGTTATGCACAAGGTTACAAGGGAGTTTTGTGCTTTAATATGCTTACTGGTAAATTTGTTGTTTCAAGACATGTTTTGCATGATGAGACAGTTTTTCCTTTTGCAAATAAAATTTCTTCATCTGCTTCGAGTTCGTCTCATGGAAATTCACAGACAACTCCGGTATTGGTTTCTATTCCTATTCCTGTGTCTTCATCCACTCCAGCACATAGTATGAGTTTATCACCATCTGGTTTACAACCTGCTGTATCTCAGGATGTCTTTTTCCCTCACCAAGTTTCCAATAATGATCTGATTTCTCGTGCTTCTTCTAGCAATGATTCTATTGGTGACAGAGTCCCTCTTGTTTCTATGCCAGCACCCGTGCTAAGGGATGATCAGTTACAAGTGCTTCTACCAGCTAGCTCTCAATATGATGATGTTTCAGTTCCTACTGGTTCTGTTAATACCCATACTATGACTACCAGGTCCAAGGATGGTATTGTTTGTAGAAAGCCTTTTTCTGATTATCAATGTTATTATACCTATATTCCTTCACTGCCTGATGAAACTGAGCCTGCAACTTATAAGTTAGCTTCTCAATCTCCAGTATGGATAAAAGCTATGCAGGAAGAACTTGATGCATTACACATGCAGGGTACTTGGATTTTAGTTCCAAAACCATGCCATAAAAATGTTGTTGGCAGTAAGTGGGTTTACCGGATTAAAAGAAACTCAGATGGAACTGTTTCTAGGCATAAGGCTCGTCTAGTAGCTCAAGGATTTAGTCAGGAGCCTGGATTGGATTTTAGTGAGACTTTTAGTCCTGTCGTTCGGCATACTACAGTTCGATTAATTTTGAGTATTGCTGCTATGAACAAATGGTCTTTAAGACAGTTAGATGTTAAAAATGCTTTTTTACACGGAGATCTTGAAGAAGAAGTTTTCATGAGGCAACCTCCTGGTTTTGAAGATTCTGCACATCCAGAGTTTGTGTGTAAATTAAAGAAATCTCTTTATGGTCTTAAGCAAGCTCCAAGGGCTTGGAATGCTAAATTCACTGGTTATTTACCAGCTATTGGTTTCAACTCTTCTCATTCTGATCCAAGTTTGTTTGTGAAGCATACTGGATCTGAAATTGTCATTCTTCTTTTATATGTGGATGATATAATTCTTACAGGTTCCAAGGCATCTTGTATTCAAGAAGTGGTTGATGAACTGAGTGCAGTTTTTGAAATGAAAGACATGGGAAAGCTTACCTATTTCTTGGGTTTACAGATTGATTATAATGCAGAGAGTGATATATTTGTAAGTCAGAAGAAATATGCTAAAGACCTTCTACATAAAGCAGGCATGAGTTCCTGCAGACCCTGTTCAACTCCTAGTAAGCCACACACTCAAGTATTGCAGTCTGAGGGTACTCTTCTATCTGATCCCTCGTTATATCGCAGTGTTGTTGGTGCTTTATAGTATTTAACATTTACCAGACCAGATTTATCCTATGCTGTTAATTCTGTTTGCCAATACATGACTGCTCCTACAGACCTTCATTGGTTACTTGTTAAAAGGATACTCAGATACCTTCAGGGCACTCTAGATCATGGATTGAAGTTCTCTACTGGTCCTTGGCAATTACATGCTTTTAGTGATGCAGATTGGGCAGGAGATGTGAATACCAGAAGATCTACTACGGGATTTGTGGTTTTCTTAGGTCCTAATCCAATTTCATGGCAATCCAAGAAACAAACCTCTATGGCTAGGAGTTCAACAGAAGCTGAGTATAGATCCTTGGCACATACCTCAGCTGATATAGCTTGGATAAGACAGGTATTGCAAGATTTAAAAGTTCGTCTGCCTCAGCAACCTGTTTTGCACTGTGACAACTTATCAGCTATTGCACTTAGTTCTAACCCTGTTTATCATTCACGAATCAAGCATTTGGATATTGATTTTCATTTCGTCAGAGAGAGAGTTCAAAGAGGAGACTTGATTGTTCAATACATACCAACTGAAGAACAAGTGGCTGATGTATTTACCAAAGGTCTTCATAGTCCTATTTTTCTCAAACATTGTATTAATCTTAGATTGGGGAACCCAGCTGGGTTTGAGGGGGAATGATGACTGTACATGTCTAGTCAGCATATTAGCTGTAGCTGTAGCTATAGATCACGTGTATATCGTGTGGTCAGTTAGGAATTGTTAAGCAGTTGTATAAAGCTGTTATCACAGTAATTGTTCATTAAGAAAATACAACCAGTAAAAATCTCTTAGAAATTCATGTGTTCTCTCTCTAGCTTTCTTCCTCTTTATCTTTCTCTGCATATTTCACTTTCGTTATCACATATAACCTTCCAAAGTTATTTCATAAAGGACTATATAAAGGATGATAATCAGAGTAAACTTTCACTATAAAAATAGAGCTAATTGCTCAACTCAAGGTGTTCAATTATCCATTAAAATTACAATGGGGCGACAGAGCCACCACCGTTGACCTAATCATCAGATGGAGTTGAGCAGATAATGATGTGCCTCAGGGGGTTTGCCACCTCATTTCCACCAGCATGCTTGACAAATTCGGCTGGGGAGAGAAAACTGCCATGGCAAGCACACAAAATGCCGACCTGGCCTTGTCTATACTTGTACAGAACCCCCTCGGTCTTCCTCCCATCCGCTCCGATGGTTCTCACAGAAGGCATTTTGGATGTCAGCTCCTCCTGCACAACAGCATTGGAAAATCTAGCCGCCTTTGAGGGATTTTCCATGACATTTTGTGCAGGGTTGACATGTTCTAAAGTGGCCACTTTTGAAGAGGTGACCACCGGCTTGTTGTCACTACCGGAAGGGAATATCTCAAAACATCCTGCTCCTGCATGGAATTTACAAAAGTTCAAATCTTTGAGGAAGAATGTACAATAGAGGAAAATTGAATGGAAGTAAATGTCACAGGTCAAAGAAAGTTATGTACTATAAACTGAGTCTTAATCAGCAGGGGTTTCAATCTGAAACTAGCAAGTTGTCTCAAAATGTTATTGTTCTTGCTGCTATAATGCTATGACTTTACAGCAGTCAGTAATCATCTATTGTTGTAAATGAGACTTACTATCATACACAGATTTTGTTTAAGGAAATCTAACAGGCACCGTCCGCAATTGGATAAACATTTATAAGAAATAAATACTGCTTTTATTAAGAGAAATGAAGTCCTTTACCTTTCACATTTCAACTTGGTGGAGGCTACACTTGTATATGCTGACATAAGTATACTCAAAAGAAGAAGAACCAAACTCCAGTATATAATCATGGAGATGACAATAAGATAACATAGCTGAACAAGAAAGTGGATATACAACCTATGTTTCAGTTGTCTCAGAACATCAAAATTGGTATCCTGAATTATATTAAAACCCTCCTCCTGACAGAAGGTTTACCAGCAAGGACATGGTAAAGAACAATCCAGACAAACACTTAAACCTATGAAGACCAGGCAGCACGTTTTCTATGTTGGTCTGTAGACATTAGTTTCTGTCTCCTTTTTAGACCCATGTATTGCTTAGGACTTCTAAAGCATAAATGTTTAGACTTCAATGCCACCACAGAAGAAGCTTAGAAAATGTTATTGGACTGGGATAATATGTAAAATCATTCTTGTGTTTTTTAATCTTTTGCCTTCTTTCCTTTACCAGTGCATCTCACATACTGGTGTTTCCACACCAGAAACGGACATACTATGCCGCTGAACAGGCCAAGATCTGTATCCCAAACCCACCTCAACTAAAGGAAGGAAAACTTCTCTTTGTTTAATAATCTAAAAATATCATGAGCTCTGTCACTACGAAACTTTGAGATATCCAAGACAAGATTGCTACAAACTAAAATCCCAAAGAAGAAGCTTCTACCAAGCGGTTCACACAAAGTTGTATGCATAAGGATGAAAGGAAGTAAAAAATACCAGGAAGCAGAGGGACAAAAGATTTTTCAAGTGTTAGAACTACTACTTTATGGTCAACAAAACTAACTCCGTTCAGAACATGAACCATTTCATGTCACTTATTAGTTCCATAGCAGTAGAGTTTTGGATGGTCACTCACACATTATGTGTACTAATACACGTTACACATAACTAGGCATTTCTATGTGAGAAAAACTTTTGAATTAAATGTTAGAATGGGACTATGAAGATGAAACTTTTGATTTTGTCCATACGCGGTAAGGTTCAAATTCTATATTACGCTGATATGCACTGCTGTTTTTTTATTTTGTTGATACGTTGTCGGATATAGACTTTTTCTTAATATTTGTCAATATGCAAATGAATTTGTTTTCTTTTTCCATCGATACATTGTCAGACACAAGTTCTTTCCTAATTTTTGTCGACACACGGATGTTTCCCGGATTCCATGCTCAGGTTCACCAGTCATCACCATCTTTAACATCGTTGACGAAGCAAAAGGAACGGAGATCATCTTTCCACATGGACGCCGCAAATTCTCCTGTCTTGCTTTCCCACATGCTCTGCCATTTTGTTACCCTTTTCATGACCGAATCGAAAATACCAACTACCAAATGGTATCAATGACCCTAACCAAATTGCATGGAAAGCATTTCCCCTGCCATGCACGAACAATTCAGGACTTTCAATAGTGACCTTCCAAACACAACTGCGGTTTTTCTACTTACATTTTCTTACTAACTACACTGTTCCTCTTCTTATTAGGTGTCTATTTTAGCACACCATGCATTCAACTATATATAAAACAAACCAGAAAAAACATATTAAAAAAACAAACAAACAAACAAACACACATGAGAATCATAGAAGAACAAAAGTTCCTATTTTTCATCCAAACATATACTATCTTCCTCATGCAACTGACTATGTACTGTATTTCTTTCAACAGAAACATCATGCGGCAAAATTCATTTGCGATCTAACAGAATACATAACCAAAATCAAGGAAATTGCAATCTTAAGTACTACAAGAGCAACTAAACATAAGTATAAGATCAAACAATCACAATTTATGTCAAGCAAAATATTAAAAGGGTAAACAAAGGAAAAACAAACAAAAATACATACGCAAATAATTAACTTCATATGTGGATGTGGTTTACCGTTTGGAGCAGCAGATACAGAGATATATCCCTCTGCTTTGAGTTCGAACTTAAAAACGGTGCTCAAGGGTTCGCTGGCGTTGGCTTCGGGCGGCTGCGATGCCTGTGCTGCCGGAGGGCTAGTCCTCTCTCGCAAAGAAGCAGCTAATTCTTCTTTCCTCAGCTTGTCTGCCAACCTCTTCTTTCTCTCCATTCTTCTCAACGCCAGTATGTCCTTGTGCCTAATCATCCGCTGCCCTGTCCTTTCCGGAACAGAGCTTGACCTTGGCAGCTGTACTGAAAGAAGAGGAGCAGCCAACGTTTCCTCCTCCGGCGTCGTTTTGGGTTTTAAGAATCCAGCCATCGTTGAAGACCGAGCCAGAGGGTTCTCGTTGGGATTTTCAGTGTAGATTTCTCCAAGAGAGAGCCCCAGGTTGAGTTCTGGGTTCACAGAATCGGCGTTGTTGTTTTGCATGGCGTTGTTGTTGGGTTGGGAAACCTGGTCTTTGTTTGCCTCAGCCATTGCAGACAGAAAAGTGAGCAACTTGGTCTCAAAACGCTTTCTTTAAGACTCCTGTTGCAAGAAAATTAAAAGTTAGGCACAAAAACATGGAGAGCAAATTATAAACTAAGAAAGAACAACCGTGAAAATTTTGAAAAACCCAAATAAGTTCTTTAAACCAATTGAAAATAGCAGCAAAAACAATGAAGATGATAGAGTGAGAAAGAGAGAAATTATCGAACCCAGATAGGCTTACAGGTTTTTTTTTGACAGACACCACCGATCACCGACCACTCTGCAATGCAAATACAGAACTGCAACTGATCAGAGCAGAGGGAGGGGGGTTTATATTGGAAATGGATCGAGAAAAGGGACAAAATTTGTTCTTTGTAGGTGTTGCCGCAGGTGACAATGGCATTGTAGCTGGCATTTCTCAAAACCCACGTGGTTATCAAAGGAGGCAGCGAGAGAGAGCGTAGAGTGTGAGAAGGAGAGTGGCTCACATTTTGTACGGTTACTCTTTTTAGATCTTTCTCACTGTCTTGCAAGTTGCAGCTCAATGACCCTTACCACTACCACCACTTGTAACTCAGCTTAGCTGTATGTATCTGTGTGCGCCTCTTTCCCTTCTTCCGGATTGTGTTTGTAAATTGTGAGCAAAATTGATGGCAAATCTTCAGAAGGTAGAAAAAGAAAACAGGAGTTGAAGATAAAGCACTGTTACAGCAGTGTCTTACTGGGTTGTTGAAGTCGGGGATTTGGATGAGAGGTGTGGAAGGAGTTAAAAGTGAGTGTGGTGAGTGTTTTTTTCCCTTCAAAAGCCATGTGTCGGAAGTAGAAGGAAATAAAATTGGAATTTAGACACTATGGCGGCCAAAATCAGGGGTCTCAACAACGGTCAGTCTGAAGAACTCTGTTTTGTATGCGCTAGCAGCAAACCCCACTTGTAATTTCACATTTTTTAAAGTGAATTGTTCATCCTCTTTTGCACCCTGCTAAGGGAATTCAGTTTAGCTTTTGCAAATCAATTTTTGATGTTACAAGTTTAATGCTATTTCTATATTTTTAAAACCACATCTTGCATTTGTCAATCCATTTTTTTAAATTCTTGTTTATAGAGATTTTTAAAAAAAATACAAAGTAATTGTTTAATTATTTTACATTAGTCTAATTTTCAAAGAAATCTATTTGAATATAGAGATAGAAAGACGGACACATTATCTTGATAAACTAACCTAACTCACATATGTAATTTAGAGGGAATTTGTTCACATATGTTTTACAAAAGCATCCCTCATCATGATTCGTCGAAAATCGCCGTATAATTTTTCAGAGCAAAAACCCGTGGCGAGGAATTGAGAAAATTTGGGGGCGTCGAGCTCTCTATCAGATCCAATGTGACAGGTGTGGGCCATGCGCAAGAGGCCTGCTCACTGAGGTGGGATAAACTTTTGTCCACAAGGAAAGCCCAGTTGACCAGTTGTAAGGCCACGTGTTGGATCTCCCGTACGAGTGATGTATCCCCTGCGCTTTGCTGTCAGATTGCATGCAAGGTGGGCCCGCTGGGAGCAAGGGACCAACTGCTGCCAAGTGTTAATTTTAACTTACCATCACTTTTATCAATTGGCTCATTTGGAAGCCATAATTTTCATAGAGATGTTTACACATATTTTCATGGAGTAGAGCCCATCTTAGCTTAAGGTGCTCCCGCCGACCTTGTACATATCTCTCTCGATCGAATGGTCGAGTGGACTTCTGGCTCTAGGGAAGAGTTTTGGATCGTTAGATGTGGAAAGGGCAAAAAAAAGTTGAACTAAACAAAACAAAAACACAGATTATAGACAAACAAACCAAACTGAAAACTTACTAACAATGAAATGTGAAAACTCAACACTACCCCTAGTGTTCTTCGTAATATCATAGGGTAAAAAATTGTGAAGAAATGAAGCAATGGGCTTTGATTAAAATAGAAAACAATGCGAGGCCTAAGATACAACATAGCGAATGTTCTCTTTGGGGCTTTTTTGAATGAGTTCCACTGGCCCAAACAAAGCCTAAATAAAATAGAACACATCCGGCTATTCAACTTTTGGTTAGTTCATACGTCACTTGTTAAAGAACGGGAACATTTTCCATGGGTCCAATATTTTTTCTTTCTAAATGGCATTGTCTTTTGGCTGACATATGAGTTCTTTACCCTCCTTAAAATAGGAAAACTTAGGGATAGAACATTTTCCCGTGTGACATAGCATTATTGACCAGTTAAAACAAGATAGTGTTATCCCCGTTTCATGAAAGCCTTTCTCATCTTTAAGGCAAACACCACTTATCAAGATTCATTCTATTTTTTGAAAATTAAGAAAAACAAAAACAAGGAGAAAGAAAATGGATATGAACGAAAATGTCTGATGAAAATGAAGAACATAAATTTGGCTGGAAGTGGGTTGAGTACTATATCTAGCAAAAGTTGATGTATTTGAAGATGTCAAAACAATTTGGGGACTGTCTACAAGGAATAAAATGATCAATTGGTTGCAGGGAAAATCAAATGAATAAGCAATTCATAAAAACCATTCAGTATATGAAAGTGATGTAATGTCATTCATGTCCTAAACTCTCCAAGAGAGAATGCTCATATGCTTGGAAACTCATTTTAAGTTATTAACACCACCACAACTAAAGTAAACAGGAAAACCTGTAATTTAACAAAATGCCAAATAAATCCGCATAAGCAACAAAGGAAGCATACAGAACTTGCTAATTAGGACGTCCTATAACACATAAGAAAAGCTCATATGGCCATCAGATCACCGTAACTCCGCATTAGAAGAATTGATCCTGCAAACAGACCTGCAGCACGCAGCAATTTCTGCAAGAGAGAAATACACTTTTAATTCCTTTATCTCCATTGTTATCTCAACAAAAAGATGGATTTATGAGTGACATATAGCATCTGGCATCCATGCAAAACAAATAAAACTCAAGAGTTCTGAAAGAATACAAGAAACGTTCACTCCAGTATAACAAGGGCAAAAGAACCCCTGTTTATAAAGCATCACTATCTGAAACAATCCCGGACAAAAAGAAAAAAACTGAAAAGATCAAAATATTTAAGGCAACTTTGCAAATCACACTCATCGATATCGGACACTTTCTATAGACTAGAGTCTAGAAAAGAAGCACAAGTCTAGCAAGGAAAAACTTATGTGTCTTCGGTTTACAATTTTTTACGGAAAACAAGATCTAATGATAAAGAGACGAGCATCGCCTAAAAGCACATCTATTGTTATAACTTATAAGCACAATAGTAATCACAAAAAAATGCGATTGGGAAACTTGCACAATCTGTAATGTTAATAACTGAGATTCCATAATCCAAATTCCACATCGTAGACAAATAAAAAAGCAAGGTTTGGCTAACACTTGTTGATCTAACATAGCGACCATATTTTCCTTCCAATTGTAAAGCTTTCAAGTTAACATATTATGTATAATTAACAGCAAAAAAAACATGGCACAACCACGCAGCATCCTTTAGTCAAATACCTAAGAAAACAATTATATGAACTACGAGTAACACTTGCAGTTGCGAAACAAAACTTCTTTTAACTTTCCCGATGCTAATCTCAGACATCCCCTACGACCTCCATGAATCGCAAGTCCCGGGAAAATTATATATTCTAATCCAAATAACATAAACTTTTCCCACATCATATGGCCAAAACATGAGGAAATTATACATATATGCAATTGAAATCACGCCTAAATCAAAATCAAGAAATTCTAATCACAAGTCTTAAGCTTCCAACAAAATCGAAAACGGCGAGAGAGTGTTTGAGAGAGAGTACCATGTTAAGGGCCCACTTTTCCTCGTCATGATACTGGGACTGCAAGAAGTATTTCGCCTTGTCTAGTGAGATCGGGAAGTCCGCCATTGATGTGTTGAGAAGGAGAGGGAGAGGGAGAATTTGTGCTTTAGGGTTTAAGTTTGGGGTTTTGAGATTTGGAGGTGTTTGATGAGATAAAAAGAACCACGACCGCGAGGCACCCACTTAAAAGGAGGGTAAGTAGCGAAATTACTACAATAACCTTGCTCATTAAAAAGTCCCTTTATATGGAGGAGAAACAGTTTGATCCATCCGTCGGTCCACGTGGTGACACGTTTACACTCGAACCTATCTTCCTGTCCACTTATTTAATTTGAGCCAAACCAGCCTTCAATTCAAGGATTCACGAACTCTGAGAAACAGCGAAAGCCATCACAAACATAGAGAGAGAGAGAGAGAGAGAGAGAGAGCATGGAGGCCAAAGCATTTTGTAGCAGCGTGAGAGGTGCGCCATTGAGAGGCAGAAGAGAGAATTATGCTTCTTCTTTCTCACCCCTCCTCATCCAATCCATGGCTACCCAGAAGCCCATTCCTTCTGTCAACAAAACAGTTAGCTCCAAGAAGGTACTTCTCTTTATATTGTTTATGCAATATCTCAAGCCTATGCCGTGTCTTGTAAAATATGTTAAAAATTATGTTGTTCTTGGGATAGCTTTAGCTTATTAGCAGCTCCCTCATCAAAATTGTGTCAAGCTAGGGACTAAACGTGAACCATTTACAATGCAGAATTCAACTAAATCACCAGTTAAGCTACTAACAAGGGTGGAGCAACTGAAGCTACTGACCAAAGCAGAGAAAGCCGGCCTGCTATCGGCGGCAGAGAAGTCCGGGCTCTCGCTGTCGAGCATAGAGAAACTGGGTCTGCTCTCCAAGGCGGAGGAATTCGGAGTTCTATCGGCAGCCACTGACCCGGGAACTCCGGGGGCATTGTTCACTCTGAGCTTAGTATTGCTGCTTTTGGGGCCATTTGTAGTCTATCTTGTGCCTGAGGATTATCCTTTGGAGATAGGGGTACAAGCTTTTGTTGCTTTGCTTTCAGTGGTGGGTGGTTCTGCAGCTTTTGCTGCTTCAAATTTTGTATCCAACTTGCAGAAGTCAAATTGAAAAATTTGATGAACCAGTTCTCATTTTGGGATAATGAGACTCATTATTTGGCCACTCTGTAATTGTGAATGCTAGACATATTTCTAAACATTTCATGTCAGCAAGCATGGATTAGAAAATGGAGACGGATTTCATGACCAAAATAACAGAATATATAGATTTGGATTCATAGACATACATTGAACTGACACAACTTACTCACGCCATGTAAGCTCTATAAAATAATCTAAGAAAATACAGGTTATCAAAAAGAAAAGAAAAGAAAAATTCTTAACAGAAACTCGCAATTATAACAAACAAAATAACCTAAATTTCTGATAGTTCCAATACAACTCTTTTTATCCAACAAATTGCAATTGAAGGAGAGAAGGGGTTAAAAAAGGTGACCCTCTTGTCGTGTGAAAAAAATTGTCTATCCACCACTTTTCAAGCAGGAACAGAACTGCGGTTTGCCGCACCTTGACGTCCACCACCCCTTCCATTCAGATTCACCCGCTGATAACCCTCTCCATTTCGTCCAGCTGAACCCCTGGCTCGCCCAGAAAACTCACCCTGGTTTCTGAATTCATTCCTGCCATAGCTACGGCCACCACCATAGTTCCCACGACCTCTGAAAGTGTCACTCCGAAAGCCAGCTCTTCCAGAAGAGAACCTTCCTCTCCCACCACTGCTAACTGAAACAGCCAGCAGCTTTGTTAGTTTTACAACATTTAGTAGCAGATTCTTTTTACCTTACAACCTTCTATAACCCCCACCCTGCCAAGCTTACCTCGAGTTGTGGTTCTCTTTTCCTCGATCACTGCCGGGCGGTCCCCGATGGTGATAGGTGAAGCCTGTAAGGATTTTCAACAAGTTGAAAATTGGATTAAACATACACTGATACAAGCTAAGTAAACCAAGATTGCAAAGATACAGTAATACATGGCACCCACAGCTAGAAATAAACACATTACAACCTGCCAGTCAAATGGCAGTTTATGAACATATATCCTTGGACTGCCTAAATGTTATCCCAGTGATATTGTTCAGATGATATAAGCAACTATTAATCAACTGGAGGTCTTCACATCTGAGAGAATGACTTCTTCTTTTTTCCATTTCTTTTGTTTATGTATGCAAATAGAACCTTGTTCAAAATGCAAGACTACTAAACAAACCGAGAAACTCAAGCTCAGCTCAATTAAATTTAGCAAGCAAATGTGCAAGCTCATTTGTTACAATCAGTGAAACAATCTAAGCGCAGTAGCTCAGTCTGCAAATGGGCTGAGCTCAAGCAATAATGTGCTCTGCATAAAGGGAATGCAAAAACTAACAATTGATTTGACACTAAATTTTGTCAACTCATCTAACAAGACTGCAAGGAAAGAGCCAAGAAAAGAAAAGAACAGATAGCACTCAATTACAGCTCACAACTTTGTAAAATCTTGGCGAGTGTCATAACACATCCGTAGAGAGATGTGTGGGGGGCAATGCCTCCATTTTCACTGAGAAAACAAAGACATCCTCATGTTAATGATGCAAATGACCATTGGGCCTAGTGGCACCTCCTAATCCCTCAAGGATACAAGTGGAGGATGAGATCTTGGGTTCAGTCCTGGCCTTTATTTTCCCCCTTTTTTTTTGAGAAGAGAAGTTTATAATATTTTCAATGCTAATTCTGAACTGAACAAACTATAACACTAAACATAGGCTAAAAAGCAGACCTCCAGAAACTTCTTGGAATTTTTGACAAGTAGAATATGAAAGTAAGTATACCTCAAGTGCACTTTGCATGGAACTCAAAGTCTCAAATTCAACAAAGCCAAAGCAGAATCCTTGCTGCAAAAAGCCAAAAACATATGACATGTAAGGCTACATCAAAGCATCCTCAGTTGGATTAGAAAGTGCATCAGGCATATGATGCAGACCTTACTACTCCTGACTTGGATCCCATCACGCTTAATAGGCCCAAATTTCTTAAACTCCTTCTCAAGTTGTCCCACTGTTGCATCATATGGCAAATTCCGTACATGTATGGAGTGACCTTCTGCAGTAAAGAATAGAGATCAGACTTCATCCATGAAAAAGTACACAAGCGTCTCAAACTCAGGCAAGTGTTATGCAAGTTAACTAAGCAATCCGACCATTGAAAGCTGAGTATTATTTTATTTAGGGAAAAAGAAGACAGCAAGCTGAGTATCATTTACCTTCCTCATGAGCATTGCTGCTTTCAGGGGCAGCATCACCACTAGGAGCTGATGCCACTGGTGCAGGAGCTGGTTTTGCATAACCAAGGGATTGATGGTCGGTGTTTGCAGATATTGTCCTCACAGTGCGGGTAGGCACACGGACAGGACTGGATGCAGCATTACTTTTCATTACCTTCACCAAAATGAAGCTTCATTAGATTAAAACCAAAAATAGGGTTTGACATCAAAAGTAAAAATACTTGCTCCCAAAAAAAAAAAACAAACAAAGGAAAGTGATTAGCCTAAACTCACAATTGATGCATATGATTTCTTTGGAACATCCTCCTGGGTTTCAGGGGCAGGATCAGGGGTTGGATCAATATCTGCAAGACCTTGATTCTGACTTGAGTAAGCCGGGGGCTCCACAATCTCTTCTTCAATAACTGATCCTTCATCATTATCTGAAGGATCACAAACTTCGGGACCATTATTGAGATCCTCTTCCTCAAAGGAAGTTGCATGATCCACCACAAGATGATCAGGAGCGTGAGTAGGCTCTGGAACAACATAGAAGCAATTTCAAAATGAAAGCTACAGCAAATAACAAAAAGGTACATCAAGAAAGAAAACTAATGCCAACCTGGTTCTGCTGTCAAGATAGCTTCTGGAGCACTTTCATTGATGCCGTTAACCAAGACATTATTGGTCTGCAAAGATTCATTGTCCTCAATATACCTAAAAACATCATTTAAGACATAATACCCCTTCTCCTGTGGAGCTAGAAAGAATGTTTGGGCAAATTTTCTGCCAACATTGTCCTTTCCAGTCAAGCATCCGGTGACGAGAACAATCACTCCTTTCTCATAAGACTCCTGAGAATCTGCGGTTTTTATTTCTGCCGTATAGTCTCCATAATTTAAGGACTGAATTTTTTGACTTATTGCCTGCTCGCAAAGATAATACAATGTTAACAAATGTAATATGTTTCATCAAAATTTCTTATTTACAATAATAGTTCAGGATTCTCAATCCAGTTTATATCGAGTCCAAGAGATGATGCACAAAATTTGAAAATTTTCAAAACAAACAATAAGATTCCTATTTATGTGGAGTGATGTACTATATTGTTTCGCGAATCTAATTCAAACAGTTCTTATGTAATATAAACTCAGTAATACCTTTTAGTCTATGAGTAGTATCATATCAAAGTATTACCGGTTAGGGTGACAAATAATTGGTCCATAAATGTCAAAAATTGGAGCCTACACAGCATCAAATAAACATCCCGTCTACAGATTTGTTCAAAATTCATTCAAAGGCGCATTTGATATGACAATGTATGATAGAATAGCTGCCAAAATCATGTTCAACCTTGTATAAAAAGGATATATATATATATATATATATATTTAAATTCTTACTATAAAGCCAAACTTTTTGTAATGCCTGAAAGTGAAAACTAAATTGGAAACATAAAGACAAAAAAAGTTGTCCAATCCATGTTAAACCATACAACAAAGAAATTTCAAGTCTCGATACTTGGTATAAAGTTTATTTCCATGATATCATAGTATACTTACTTGCATAGTTGTCACTGTTGCCATATTGCCATTGACATCTGTCCTGCTAAGAGAGCTGGAATCCTGATAAAATCTATGCACTAATTGTGGGGATTCATGAAGAATATGGTAATATTGCTCCACAAAGGCATTGCCAACAAGTTGGGCACTGGGAGCAGAGGCAGGAGATGCTTCCTGCATGACTATCCACGGAAGTTCAAATCCTGTAATGTTAGTAGAGGAACAAACTAATGAAACCAACTGGATGTCAAAGAAAAAAATAATAACGACAAAAGAGCCAAAAGCAGTACATTTTTAATAATTCTTGACAAAACAAGGCATTGAAATTTATTTTTAAACAAATTCGAATCACTACAAAAGCCAATAATGCATTGAGATTATCATATCTGTAACAAGAGAATCTGCAAAGTAATGATGACTACTATAAGAAACTCCAATAGCCAGATAAGCTCACATGAACACACTGTAAGTGCCAGCATAATGCAGAAAGGCTTTGCCTTTGAGCTCGGAAGACCAAGTACTATGAGCTAAAACGGTTTTGAGTACTTGATCAGAAGTACAATATCACAAACCATAAATTAGGAAACAATTCCTACATATATGCTCAAATCACAGAAATACTCAAACAATTAAAAGCAATCTTGCAAACCCAAAAGTCTTTATTCATGTTATAATTATAGTAACCCCAGCAAAATCCCCAATGGAGCAGACCAAGTGATTTCAACCTCAGAAAAAGAAGGGTCAGCTAAAAACTGAAGCAGACCGAGAATTAAATACATCAGGATGATAACGAAAACAATATCTGATTACAAATTTGTGTTTGATGTAAAGCCCTATAAAAATATGAAAAACCCAGAAATATATCAACACTGCCATCCAAAGTAATCAAGAGATTGACCATGGAAACATGATATTGACAGATCAACCACCAGCATAGTATTTAACAAATAAAATTTAAGATGGAAATTAACCAGTGGAGGCAGTAAACATAGAGAGTGGATTCAAGAGAAGAATCTGGAGTACCTGCTTGGAAGTGATCTGAGCTTTAGAGCGAGGGAGATCTGTGGGCTTGAGAGGAAGCAAAGTGAAGTTGAAGAGAGAAGGAACAGTACTTGGAGGATAGGAAGGCAAAATGAAAGAGGAAAGATGCTCAAGGCTGAAGCTTTGTTTTTTTATATATATATTTGATGAGATCACAAGACAAAAGCGGTGGCTTCAGACTTTAATTTTATCTAATTGTGAAGGGGAAAAAAAAAGTTACATATTTGTGGAGGTTCTTTTTCAGTTTCCTTGGAATAGAAAATACAAATTGGGTATTTGGAATTTTTTAATTGAGCAAGAAAAATGATGAGAGATTGATTGGTGCCTTGATTTTACTTTCAGAATTTAGGGACAGAAATTTTGGGATATTAGAATGTCCAAAATTTCTGGGAATGCAAGTCCATGATTTGATTTGGGAAGGAACTATCACTGCAGAATACACTGAACCCCTTCTGTTTTTATTTTTTTTTAATTTTTGCTTGGTTTTGTTAACCTTTTTTTTTCACACAACTTTTATTACTATTTAGTAAGAAAATAATGACAAGTAATATTTACATTCTTAATAAATTCTTTTTTTTTTACAAGTGATAAAAGAAGGAGGAATTCAAACTCAATACTTCGGTCCAAAGATAAACGTTCTTAACCACTTGAACTACAAATGCCTTAGTATGTAACAATATATTCAAACTAACAAAAAATTTCATATAAGATAACAACCTCAAAAACTCAAGTCATTAAACCATGGTAATGTACTAATGTTTGAAGGGAAATGTTCTAGTGTTTGGTGAGAAAATGGAAATATTTTAGAGACCACTTCTGCTTTAAAAATATTAATGAATAAAAAAAGCATTTGATGAGAAAATGGAAATTATGAATTTGATTTATTAAAAAAATACACGTGCACATCGCAAAACTTCATTTCCATCGAAAAAGAGTCGAAAGTCCCCTCCTTTCTCAGTTCCCATCTGATCTGTATCTGAATTCTCAATGGCGAAGCCGGTGTCCACCGCCACCTCATCCATTGTCCAAACCCTAAAGCGGTACCTGAAGAAACCGTGGGAGATAACGGGTCCATGCGCGGACCCGGAGTACAAGCTCGCCGTACCCGGCGCGCTCGAGTACCGGCTCGAATGCCCGGCTTCGACCCAGGTCAAGGCCTGCGTGCCCACATCCAACCCGGAAACCGTATACGATATCAAGTACTACGCCCGGGACCAGAGGCGCAATCGGCCCCCCATTAGACGCACCGTTTTGAAGAAGGCTGATGTCGAGAAGCTAATGAAGGAGAAGAAGACCTTCGACGTCTCAGATTTCCCTCCGGTTTACTTGACCGATGTTATTGAAGAAGACTGCAACGCCCGAGGCGGAGGCTACCAGAAATGAATTGGGTTTGCTCGCCTTCCTCCTCCCTTAATTTCATTTATTGTTTTAAGGATTTAATCTTTTTTTTGTGTGGTGGTATTATGAACATTGAGTAGAATTGTGTGTTTTAGCTTTTAGAGATCTGTGAAAATGGACTAATACAAAAGTTGGAGTTTTTATTCGGTGTTGTGATAGAAATGGTTGGACTTTACGCATTTTGTTACCATCTCATCTGTTTATGCATGAATTTGATCCCTTTAGTTTGGTTAATAGATAGACTGCAATGAAAAGGTTTGTTTTTTTTTGTTCTGGGCTTTTCATGATGAATGTTGTATTGTTGCTTTTGAGTTTGCTTATGTCTCCTTTATGGTTGGGAATTTCGGTCAAACTAGGATTGCAGTTTTGTTCTTTGTTGCTCTGCAAGCTTATGTTTTTGAGGTTTGATTGGTTAGTAATTGCTGCTTTCAGTGGCATTGTAGCTGTAATTTTGGATTAGTGCAATTTCATTTTCTCTTACACTGAAGGAGAATGTTTTTAGCTTCATTGCACCTCTCTCTGAGTGCTCCATTGTTGTGACTTCTATTTCCTTTGGAAACCATGGAAATCTTTGCATCATCAGTGAATCTTTAGTTTATTCATAATATGAGATAGTAATTGCACCACAAATACTGTATTTTACACCTTAAACGTCGAGGCACATTCCATACCTCAATGGAGGATTGGAAATATGGCTCTGTTGCTTGGTTTTGAAACAGTTTACTGTTTTCTTTATCTTTTATTATGCAAAACTTAATTGAAAGAACAAAGATCTTCACTTAGTACCAAAAACCTTCTGTTGTTGGCTGTGACTGTTTTACCCCATGAATTTTGGGCATTGTTGCATGCATGGCTTTGCAAGGCAGGCTGGAAGCCTTTATGCCAACAAATTAGACATGAAAGCCTTGTAGGCAAAGAAAAGGCAATGATGAGAGCTTACAACTAGCTTCTCTGAACTCTCATCCCTAGTATAACACCAATTGTTGTGGAATTTAATCCAAAGGCACAACCTTTATACAGATATAATACAAAGATCCTGTGCTCCAATTTCATTGAAAACTTCGATTTGTTTGTTTCACATGCATTCAGCCAAAGTTTGGTACGGTCTATGCTCTGGCTGAGTTTGATGAGTATATCTTCATATTTGATTGGAGTGTTTGATCTTGCTTAGAATATATTTTGAGCTGATGCTTCTATCAGATATTGTGGCGTTTCATATTTGCACCAAATTTTAAGAAGATCACATGGTAACATCCATGAGGGTGGAATTCATGGTAGGACTAAAGAAAAGAGAGGATGTTTTAAATTTATTTTATGCTTGGTTGAAGGATGTGAAAGAAACAAAGAGAAAGACTTTAGTTGAGGACATATTCGAAGATTCAACAACCACAAATTTTATTTCCTCTCCAAATCTCCCCAGTTTTGCAGAGAAAATAAAGCTTCCAGTATTCTATACTCTTCTCTTCGTTTCTATGTACAGTTAATCATCCACATGAGAGTAATTTTAAAATTTCTCTCCATTTCTCTCAACCGAAGCATGGAAATAGCAGTATAGCCTGCTTTCCATAGCAAGAATTGCTTTCACCTCATGTGCATCCATAAGTTGACCCTATACCATCTTTTTTGTTCTGTAGATTGTTGCCATCTCCTTTGGTTTATCAGGGTTATGTACTGGTGTTGCTTGCTCATTGCCCTCATGTTTATATTAAGTCCATTTAATAGTAAATGTTTTGTGGTCTAAGTCCTTATCAATGACTCTTTGCTTTTTTATGTCTTCTTGCAGGCTTACGGCGTTGTGTAAAAATGTCTGTGCTCCAGTCTTTTGTTCCTCTCTTCTGCTCTGTCACTAAAGAGGTGCTGTTCGTGTTAGCATGGATGTTTGCCTAGTCTGCTCACATATTGAAATTCTGTGTTTGAGATGAATAAAGGGTACTTGATACAACCATTTGGCCGCTTTTAGTTGTCCAAGAATGTATTTGTATAAAATCCAAATGCAACCGCAGTTGGGTGATGGATGGCAGTACAGCTAGTTTCTTTAACTCCTAAGATTTCTACTTGTGAACCTTGTTTGTCTCATTGTGATTTGCTTTCCCCAACTGCAGCAACCATATGAAGACCTAGAAAAAGGGTGACCTCACTGCTCATTGTTGTCATTGTTGCAATACTCTTGATGCAGTTGGCTATATGCTTTGCTTTCCAAAGATTGATAAGCTGTCATTCATACAACCCAACTTATCTCAACTCACCCTTAATCCCAACGTCAAATTCCTTTCTTAATTAGCAGGATAAAAAGGCAGTAAGTAGAGTTCATTGCGTTAAACCCACATTATAGGTTTATCTGAATTCAGAATCCAGCGCCTGATCTTGATTTCGTCATCGGCTTTCCTATCCTCGGTTTCTGGGAAGTCAGTGGGGGCCGTGATGGGGTAGAGATGGTATTGCCATATCGGGTTGGGCCCTGAACAGGCATCCTAAACCCACTGTTCTGACAAATCCGTATATGCACATTGTGCCCATGGGCCCTGTGTAAATCTTAATTTCTAGGACAACTGTTGTTTCTGTATATACCATTATAACTCCAGGCCCTCCCACACTAGCTAGCCACTCCAGGCGCTCTTGTAGCTGAATGATATCCTTCAACATAGCTCAATCCAGAAAACCCCTGTTACCAAGTTTTTGGATTTTAAAGACCGAGGGCTGTTAGAAATGGTACCATCTTGTCTTTAATAGATGGAAATACAGTTAACTGTTGTTGTTGTCGTGATTGTGTAAACTTCAACCGTTAACGTCTCCTCGAATATTAGGCTCAAGGTGGATGTGGATCTTATAATGTTCATTAGCGTTGTTGATTGATTGAGATTTTAAAACAGTTGTGTGACCGCCAAAGTTGGGTGACTTTTTGTTAATTAGTAGATTAATAATCATCTTGGCCACCCACCCTACTTACTTAATCCCTAGTTTCTAATTAAGGACCATGATAACAGCCATGCAACAAAGCCGCCCTAGCTATCTCGGAGGAAATAATGTTAAGAAAATTGGGTTAACTCGATGGATATTTTGATTCTCTAAAGGCTGCAATTTTCTGGACCGTCAAGTGTTCCCATCGCCTGCAATATTTCCAATAATTCTTACATCTTCTTCTTCTTTTTTGATACTTCACTTTCATACATGCTTGATGTTGGGCAGACGCAGACAGTGATGGTCAAGTTTGTTCGAAAAGCATTAGACATGATCGTAAAAGAAAGTTCCGTACGCACTCTATGAAGTATGAATCAAGCAAACAGATTAGTGTTGTCGTTTTACTGCAAAAGTTGGTATCCTGTAACTGTCAAGATTACCCTTATTTTTCCCACACATGAATTATAATATAGTATATAATGTTATTTTAAAAAAGGAACTAGTTTCGTATTGTCATGAATCGACCGGCTAAGATCTTACTCGAATCAATGGAAAACCTTTTCATTAGTGACAGTGCTGGGGATATACTTAATTAGATTGTCTTCTTCATTTCTAATTTTATCTACTTTTCTGTGTGAAGAACTGCTTATTTTAGTGTAAAAAAACTAAAGGAATAAGTAATTAACCAGACGAGATGATCGAGCTTAGTTAATTTTATATTTGTGGCATTGGAACCCATTGAATTTTCTCTTATGCCCGTTTTGCCCTCTGTGGCGGTATCTTTGTAATCAAGCTACTGAGATAAAGGAGGTCATCGCGGGGAGAGTTCACAGGGGAAATGCATTTCACTTTCTGTAACAGGCTGGGAGGCAGCTTTGTGTTATTTACTGAGAAAGACAGAGAGGCAGAGAGGAGGCAGAAAAGAGAGAGAGAGAGAGAGAGAGAGAGCACGCATTTATTTTTGTTTATGGTCATGTCTACCTTCTTTTTTCCCCCCCTAGGGTTTGGACCTGTCTCTTTCACGCTTCAGAACGAAAACAAACACCAAGAGAACCAAAAACAAAGGCTACTAGATCAGTGCTTGTGAATGATAGATAAAATATCCCTTAAATTTCATTCACACTGTTTGCACATATAGTTTTTTTTTAATGTTATCATATAATTAATTTTGAATTAATCAACTTGGTTTTCTATCAATATCTTCCCTCCCAATAACACAAACTCATATATAGTACATTAGACAATTGGAATTTTGGATGGATAAGGACCTCTCTCTCTCTCTCTCTACTCTCTCTCTCTCATACACTCTCATGCCGTCATGATGATGGTAATTGAGATAATGTTGGTGCTGGCGACATCAACTTTACTTTTCACTTTTCTGTCTAGGTTAAGATAATTATTTGTTCAATTTTATGGAGTGACCAAACAAGTTCAATTAATTTGGAATTTTTGTGATCAAGTATTTTTTGGAATTTTAAGCATAAGTTGATGACATTATAATATGCCAATAGGAACCAAAATTAAAAATAAATAAAAAGTAAAATGAGATTCCCATCTCAAGTCTCAAGTCCGACTGTCTCCATTCTTTTTGCTCTGCAGCTGCCTGCATAACCAATACATGACCATGCAAGCATTTAAAAGATTAAAATGGCAGCAGCAGAGGAGAGCAGGGTTATCGCTTTAAATGGGATTAAACAAACACTTCAAACTCAAAGAGAGGATAATCAAATTGTTACTTATTATTAGAAATAATAAATTGGTCCTGTGAAAATGTCAGTGTCGGCTGGTTCATTTCTTGTCTTGAATGCATATGAAAAAGTAGACTTCAGCTTTTGATTACGATTGAACTGCAACTACAGTAGTCTATATTATATTAAACGTACGTTCTCAATTATTTTGCTGAGGATTCCACTTTCCTTGATTATTTTGCCTGCGTTGTGTGGTTTCTTGATGAAGAAAAGCCCCTCTCTCTCTCTCTCTCTCTCTCTCTCTCTCTCTCTCTCAAACACACAATATTTATACTTTATAGGAGCCATTGACTGCTAGAAAATGGGGCTAAGCAGGCCACAGATCACAAGGCCGCAGCACCAAAACAGCAAAAGATCAAATTAGCCAATTGAAAGGAAACAATATGCAAAGAGTATAAATATATAATGTATAGTCTTCATGTGAGTTAATATTAACAAACTAGTGTAACTTGGGTTGTGAAAATCTCACTGCTATATATAATCAGTACATACATATACACATGTCGTAGTGGTCCCTCTCTCTGCATTCAGTGGATGCTTTAAAGAACCTGCTTTGGTCCCTCCTCCACTCTACTAAGCTCTACCCTATGATCTCTCTCTCTCTCAAGCTAGCTAAGCTACTTGAATAATCCCCTCTTGCATGTGAAGTATATACAACGCCAAACCCTAGCTACTCTTTACTTATATATCATGCCTTTCCTCATCTAAAATATTTTGTGGATCAAATATAGTTGTCTCGGATCGGAAGAAAGGGATTGTTCATAAAAAAGTATATTAAGTGGTACATTTCCCTAAATTGTATCGACATCTTGATGGGATCAGTCTAGCTAAACCCTATTAATGAACAGTTTAGGACAATATTATCGATACAATCTCTGCTAATTAAGTAGGTGCGAAGATGATATACGTCTCGAAAAAATTGTCTAAATTTACAAATAGAGAAAGAATAATATTCTCTAAAACCTTTTTTATAAAAAATAAAAATAATAATAATAATAATAATCATATATCAGACATCCTCTTTACCACTAATTAATTAGGATTGTGTATGTATATTTTTCTTTTCTTTCTGATGTGTGGTTTCTTGATTAAATTTATGTAGCTATAGGCATGCCTTGTACAATTCATGCTCTGTGGAATACACCAAGAAAGCTATTTGTAGTTGCCGATAAAGTGTAAGAGGGAGGGATGGTCCCCCTTAAAAATAAACCAATATCTAGATAGACCCAGATAGAGTCTATGCAATAATAAACTACGACCAAACTTATTCATTTATTAAGCAGTGATTGTTCAGTCTCTGGTATGAACAAATTGATGAAATTTTTACTGCGTCTTCCCAGATTGACTTGTCAACATAAGGGGAGTCCACGTGGCTATAAATGTGCCATACCTTTTCCTTTTTCATTCTCATGCAACATGGTGCGGTAAATTCTAGCCAGCATCTTTTTCTTTATCAAATTGTGAATTCTTTTTTTTAAAAGTTTATATTCTCTCTCTCTCTCTCTCTCTCTCTCTCTCTCTGCGCAGCTAAGAGCCCCTAGGATGTTGAATTTGGTATACAGATGAGCTACACAAGCTCAGTAAGAAATTCAAGAGAGCATCATATATATATGCATACTTAGCAAGAGGCTCAAAGCACTGTAGCATCCTCTTCCTCTCCTACTTCTTCTGCTTCCTTGCTTATTACTTAATTAGTTTTGGACAGCTCTGATCTCAGCTGTTGCAACCTCAGTTTTCGGTCTGATATGTGAGTACGGTTCATCTTCTGGTCCTATTTATGTATACCTTCCAACTTGGATTGATAAGAGATAAAGGTAATTTAGGGTTTCCAGTGTTGGAATTCGTATGAATTTCAACCAGCTTTTCCTCATCATGTTACTTCTCTTGAATGTGATACCTAAATTTTCAACTGTTCAGATTTCAGTTCTTTAATTAGCTTCTTTCAAAGATTAAAGTGGTATTTAGCAGAAGTTTGTGACCATTCATTTGGATGTAATATTAACAACTCATCACCTCCCTACATGTAATATCTGCTTAATTTTCAGATTTGCAGATATGGGACAACCTTAATTGGAGGATTTCTATATATATATATATATATATGCAAAAATATATAGCTCTTTGGATCTTCGATGAGATTGTTTTCTTTCTCAAATCGAACCGATCACAGGTCAACTAGTTCATCATAAAGCAATTTTGCAAAAGAAATAAACTCACATGGATTCTAATAAAGAATAATCTTATAAAAATGAAACAAAGACTTCCATGTGCCGTCCAACAGTTTATTTTTCTTCTTATTCTTCTTCTTTTTTTCTTTTCAGTTGAATCATTGGAGCTCAAAGATGGGAGAATGATGTTGGACTTACAAGGATTTGAGCAATTGATGAAAGAAGAATGAGCTTATAATCAGAATTGCGTACAATGATATCAAATTCAAGGGAAAAGGGTTTCCAAGCAAAGCAAGAGGGCCACAACAACACCAATAATGATGGAAACAGTAGTAATTTCAACAAGGAATCATCATCAAGTACTACTACTTCAAGACAATGGTCTGGATTTAGAAATCCAAGGATTGTACGTGTCTCGCGCACCTTCGGAGGAAAAGACAGGCACAGCAAGGTTTCCACGGTGAGGGGATTGAGGGACAGGAGAATTAGGCTCTCAGTACCAACAGCCATTCAATTATATGACCTTCAAGACAGGCTTGGACTTAGCCAGCCTAGTAAGGTAATAGACTGGCTGCTTGATGTTACTGAAGATGATATTGATAAGCTCCCACCTCTCCAAGTTCCTCATGGATTTGCTCATCAATTTCATCAGCAAATGCTAAATCCTCATCATTCTCATGATCAAGGTCACCAGTCTAACAATTCTCTTGCTGCTGCTCCTTTCTTTGATGTAAATTCTTCATTTATGGAGGCAGATCATCAAGCTCATCAAGTAGTTCATGACCATCAAAGAAGTTCTACTACTACTAATGTGGGTGATCGGAAAGGCAAGTCAATCAAAACACACGATGAACAAGATGATGATGATCAAAATCATCATCAAAATGGCAATATTGGGGGTGGACAACTCTTGGCTCAGAAGCTATTTCCCCAAGGCAATCATCCTTCCTCCATACCTGGCCTGCTAAACAATGCCATGGCATACAATTACTATCATAATTATTCAGAGCCTTCAAGTTTATCTCTATCTCAATTTGGTGGCCATGGATTTCCACCAGTGCCCCAAATAGATCATCATAGCCATATGATGAGCAATGCCTTATCATTTTCAACTTCAATGCCATCTGGATCTCAATTGTTCTTCTGTCCATCAACAGCAACACCCTCCCTTTTCGGTCCATATCCTCCGTATATTACCAACCCGGTAGTGGAGAGAGGTACTAATACTAGTGAGCCAAGATCACAAGCCAACCATTTCCAATTTTTGAGCTCATCAAATTCACCAAATCTCCTACCAAATGCTCTCATGTCTTCTCTTCAGTCTTTGAAATCCTATCCAACATCGGTCAATCCCAAGCAGCTCCATTCGAATTCACAGGATAACAATGGAAGCCAACCAAACAAGGACCATAATTAATACCAGCTCCTAAACGCATGTAAGTTCATATTGTTTACAATGGGAATGGTGGCTACTATATTGGTCTCAAGATCTTGAAACATCTATATATATATATATATATATCATGTATCGATTAATTTTCACAACAGACGAGACATGGAAATCGATGAACTGAGGCATTAATGGAGGGGTTGGCTCGGGGAGCTAAGTAGTTGATTTCTTCAGCACACAGCACAAGCTAGCTAGCAATACATAAAGTTCATCTGATCATTATGTGGTTGTGTTTCCTGCAAGACTTTCCTCACTCTCTCTCTCTCTCTCTCTCTCTCTCTCTCTCTCTCTCTCTCTCTCTCTCTCTCTCTCTCTCTCTCTCTCTCTCTCTGTGCAAAAAAGCAACAAGAGTTAATAGTGAAAACTTTGTAAGTACGACAATGTTATATGTAGACATTTGCATAATAGTGATTGATCAGAGTGCTTATAATTTTATATACTAGATATATACCACTACCATAGCCGATACGCATTTTATATATACATGTTTGAGTTCATCTAATTGCATTGATATGCACTCTTGAGGTATACATATGTATAGATCTATCTATATATCTGAGCTCATATAATTTGGTCTCCAAGGAGATTATAGTCGTCATGCTGGATCATAGGCATGGCCGTTCGTTGAAGAGAACATATATATTGTACAATATGCCTGCAGGCTTCTCCATACATTAGATATCCTCATCAAAGTACTAGTAATGTGGTTAATTTTGTTTAGTCATTCTATATCTTGACTATATATAGCGAAATCAGTAGGTTTGCATATAAAGGTTTCTCCACTCTTTACTAGCCACACTACAAAAAAAAAGTGGCAACAGTCACCATTATTTGGTGATATTTGCTGGAATGACTAAAGACTTTAGTTTTGGTGACTAAAACCTTTAGTCACATCAGTAAATGTCACCAAATAATGATGACTATTGCCACTTTTTTTTGTAGTGCCAGAGGAAAGAAGAGTTTTTCTAGTCTTTGCCAGTCTTGACATGCATGTGTTTGTGAGAGAATGACATGAAAGAATAGAAAGAAAGCAAAAAAAATGTGTGTGTGTGTGTGTGTGTATATATATAGTGCTTCCATTGAGGGATCCCTCAAATAAGTTTATTTGAGGGGCACCCTTATAGAGTCCACTCTGCATTGTATTTCACTAATCCAAACCGTCTTTTTTGTAGATATTCATTCAAAGATCATCTCTACAAAAAATCACTTGAATTTGATATCATTTGACCAGTCAATTAAATTATTGAAATTTTATTAAGTATTTTCTTGAAGCACCGTTTTCATTGATTTTTGTTAGTATCAATTAGATTTTTCATGAATGATTTTCATATTTTTTTTTTTTTTTTTTTTTGTTTTAAAGATGATCTCTAAATGAAGGTGTGAAAAATAGATGGTTTGGATTGTTGAAAAAAAATTCGTAGGGAATCTTAAAGAATGTTTCTCAAATAATTTTATTTAAGAAATCCCTCAATAAAATAGGGCTATATATATATATATATATATATATATTGAAAAGCTTGCCAAGATTGCCAAATGGTGTTAATACATTTGTGCGCGCACACATACATATATATGCATAATGTGATTAATAATGAGAAAAACGTGTATATATATATATTGAAAGGTTTTGCTTTTTTTTTCTTCACCCTAATTCGTTACATGGATCATAGATCAAATTAATTCCTCCCAGTTGCGTTCATCCCGAAGAGATGATTAATTAAATAATTTTTTGGGAATATTATTGCAAAACCACTGCCCTTCATATATATATATATATATATATATATATATGTGGCCACAATATCATACCTTTTACTTCGTCCTGTTTCACCAGCTGGTTTTGGGTTATATATATATGCATACCTGCAGAGATGAGATGTTGGGCATGGCCACATTGGGCAGCCTACCCCAAGTAATTAAATGACCGCGCTGACACTCTCTGGTGTTTATATATATGTGTTTGTGCGCGCAATGCAATAATAATCTGGGGGCCAAAACCATTTTGGATCTAAAATTATAAGCTACCATGATCAACGTTGAAACGATTTTGATTACTAATTGGACTTATTAATGCATGTTTGTTTCGTACGTGTGTGTATATATATATATATATATATATAGAGAGAGAGAGAGAGAGAGAGAGAGAGCTCTTAGTTTATGCAACATATGTATAAGTAAGCACATCTTTCTCCGCTCTAAATCATTGGTTATTTAAATTGGAAATTATTTAGCTATTTTATTATTTACATTTTCTATACCTATATGTATAAGAGGGTTAGTTACCTCAGAAAGGCTAAATTCTTGCCTCTCAAGAACAACCCATCAAAACATTAATGAACACCCCAAAGAAACTTCAACCAAAAGTTTAAAGAAGCTTTTAACTAATTAAACCAACTAAATGTTTAAAGTGGTTTTGGGAAACTGGAGAGGTAGCTAGACTTTTTGGCTTATGAGTTGGCTCCCTAGGTTATCCTGTTATAGAATTCTCGTACTCTCTCTCTCTCTCTCTCTCTCTCTCTCTCTCTCTCTCATGCATTCTGAGATGCATGCCAAACTATCTGTGCCTCTTTAATAATTTTAGCACACAAACAATAAGGGCTGGGTAGCCCACAAGTTTAACTGCTTCCTTGATATCTCTGTCTGCACCAATATTGTACAGCAAGATTTATAATAAGCATGGAAGAAGGCACCATACATGACAAAAAGAGAAAAAGAGAAAAAGAAAAGAAAAGAAAAATTATTCATTAAAGGGTTTGGAATCTGCAACTCTTCTGAGAAGGAAAAGGAAAGAACAAGAGTCCACAGGCCGAAGAAGCAGTCTGTCTGTCACTCAGCAGCTTTCATGCTGCAGCAGCAGCATTATGTCACAAGATCCAAGAAACATTAAAGGACACACCCAACCCCAGTTCTTTACCCTAATTCCCAATTTTTATTCATTTTATATGTGCCCTCGTGGCATAACACAAATGGCATTGCTAAATTGCTTTGCCAGTACCTACTTGTGTTGTGTGGTCCTTAGATCTAGCCTCTCTTCTTAGCTACAGAGTGGACTACATAAAAATGGATATAAAGAGAACAAAAAAACTCAAATATTTTTCTAACCTTTCTTTTTCTTATTTCTTGTTTTAAATTTGTTGGAAATATATATATATATTTTTTTTACCGAAATGATCCCCCAATTATTGCTCGAGTTTCATTTTAGAGCCAGTTTGGCATTGCTGTGCTGTAAAAATAATTGCTGTCAGATTTGCTGTGAGAAATCAGCTGTGAGATAAAGCAGTTTGGCGTTTGGTAAAATTTTTGTTAAAAGTATTGTTGGTATTTATTTTATGCATAATGAAAAAATGATTGCCGCACAATTATTAAACTCAACGCCTCTTCGAAACTGATTTCTGCATAATCAGAAAATGAAAGCACCTCATTAGCTGCTTTCCCTTATAGCTTTTTCTCACATCAATTTTTAACAATAAGTGATTTTCTCATAGTTTACCAAACGGATTGGGCTCTTCAAAATTTTAAAAAAATCACTTATCACCCCAAATAAGCAATGCCAAACTGGCACTTAGTCAAGGAACTAAAATTTTCATTTTAATAGTCCTCCAACTCTCCATTTAGTAACAAAGCGGTGCTACCGTCAAAGTCTGTCAATTATTCCATGAAATCAAGGGGCAAAACTATCGTTCTTCGGCAATTCCCTCCTCTAAAACCTGCATAGTCATCTCTCCTCCCTTCCCCTTCGTCTCCCTTCCCTCCCCTCTCTCCCCTCTGCCCTATCTCCCTCTCTCTCCCTCTGTTCTATAAATGTTGGATTCCTCCAAATTTGAACCATGCCAAATCCTTTTCAAAGCAGTTGAACCCATCCAGAAAGGGGGACTGCTCAAAAAAGAGGAATCGGAATAATTGACAGACTTGACGGTAGCACCGCTTTGTTACTAAATGGAGAGTTGGAAAACTATTGAAATGAAAAATTTAGTTTGTGTACCAAAATGAAACTCGAGCACTAATTAAAGGGTCATTTCAGTCAATAACCCTATATATATATACACACATGTGTGTGTGTAAGGAGGAGATTAATGGAATGTGCGCAGAAGCATGCTGATAGGTACTCCTACTAAGATTTATGGAATTTTGGGTGTGGTCCTCAAACAACTATACATGCTACTACGCTAAGGTACACAAGGACCACATTTGATCATCCATCCGTGGTCTTACTCATATTGGTTTAATTTTCACTTTTCAATTTAGGTCTCTTTACTTTAGATGGTTCAGATTCAAAACCAATTAAGTCTTATCCATAGCAAATTAATAGAAAACTAGAACCGAATAAGAAAAAAAGAAAGAGGTAGTGTTAAATTTCAGAGTTGGTTGTTCGTGGTCAAATTCATGCGGCCTAAAAGCATTTTGGTTTGGGTCGTGTTGTGGGTGTAAAACCAAAATTTGGGTCGAAGTCCGGTCCGTTGGATGGTAAAACCAAAATTTAAAAAATTGAAAGCCCCCGGCGAGGATCGAACTCGCGACCTTTCGCTTACGAAGCGAACGCACTACCACTATGCTACGGAGGCTTGTTGTTAGGATTACACTTTATAATATACTTATTCGCATTCACTAGTAACTTTTTTCCAAATACTAAAAGCAAGCTATGCATGCAAGCAAACTCACAAACCCAAAGACTTGGATTTTTCATTTCATTAACATATTTTTCCTTCGTTTTTTACTAGAGCTTCAGCTGTGGTCACGCTGCTCTTTGCTGACCTTCAATACGGGCAGGGTCCAAACAAGCCATTTTACTGATTCTTTGCTCAGTCTTACTAAGATGGGGGAGACCACCAAGCATGATTGCATAAAAGAAGATGACAAGATCAACGCAACCACATAGCTTCTTCGAAACAATGAAGGAGATGGAAAGTGGAGAGGAGAAAAAGGGATCTTATAAATTGATCTTCAAATATACGTTTATCTTTTTAAGGACTTTGACAAGTTAACTTCTTTACAATCTAGCATTTAGAACTGTAGATCTTACACACATTTTATTATTGTGCTCATCACAACAAAAAATTTAAATCACAACAGTAAACGGTAAGGCGAAGAATTAGAAGACACTATCTAGCAAACAGCTGCCTACGGCGCCTAGCTGGTTTTGCTCGAAAACTAGCTGCCTCACCAATAACGATTTCGTCAACCAAATCCTTGAAGATCAGTCGTTCAACGTCTAACACTACACCAGACACGTCACCATGGAAAACTGTCCAACTTTCTGACCGATGCATCACATCCTCACACAAAATGCTTTTCAAACCATCATCCTCATCCTCTAAGCTGCACTCCAATTTATTGGTTTGCAGTTGTTCTATCTCGCAAGACAGTTCCTTCAGCAGCTTTTGTGCATTAAGGGTCTTCTTGGCCAGTTTGTTAGGCCTCAACCATGGCTCAGGAGGGATGCCAACTAAGTCCAACTTGTCAACAAGAATTTCATTGACTGCATCAAATATGAGTTTTCGATGAAATTTCTCTCTTTCTTGATTCGCATGGGTTACCTTCTCAGGGATGCATTCTTCTTTTGCAAGCAAACTGCTTGCCTTGGTTTGCTCCAAAACATAAAATAACTCGGGGTTGATGGGATGGCCTGAGGGATGGAGCTGAAATGTTGTCAAGCTGGAGCCAAGGTCTCTGAGTAGGAGACCTGAAGCTAACAATATTCAGAAATGTATCTGTGGTCTGGATTTGTGTTCTCGCAGAGTGATGCAATATAATCTGTTCTTGCTCATCGTGATTTGAGTTCAATCGTCTAAGCTTCTGAACTAGGTTTTCAATGTTTTTCAGTTTCTTGCGATTGATCTCCGAGCTAAGACCAGTTCCCATGCTGTCAAGCTTATCTGCAGGGTTCCATTGCTCTTCACCTTCGCCGTGGTTAGAATCTTCAGCACTCTCACCTGTATGCCAAATAAGTATTGAAGTCAGATTTGGTGGACGAGGAAAAGACTCTTTCTAGATCAATTCTGTTCACCACTATCAATCGTAGTGAACCACACTTTGTGCAACATATTACATCATGATTAATTAACTGTGATTAATGTGTATGATTGCATTTAAAAGATAAGGTTAACCATGATTAATGTGTGTGTCATGCATGTTACATGGAGTGATAATAGTAGACCATGGTCAATGGTGGTAAAAAAAATAGATAGCTTGGCAATCAAGAGATCATTCACTTTGGCAAGGAGGCAGTCAAATAGACCATTATAGTGAAGGACATTGGCCCCCTCCTTGTGTTAGGAATATAAACAAAATTTGGTAACCACTAGTTCGACTATATATCTTTCTAGTGAGATGATCAGAATGTATTCTCTTCTATTTTAGAAGAAAAGTTAAACCGTACCTTGGAGGGCATTTGGCATCTGCTTTACAGGAGATGGTGCATCATCTCTATATGCTGAGACCTCAAGAACAGAGACGGGACTAGGAGGCTCTGGAGCAACTGTAGCCAGTTCCGCAACAGATCCATCATCTTCCAACCTTGGAGTTGATATCTGAAAAATCAACACAAAAATAAATAAATTCCATATATAAACTAAATTTTCAAAAGTGGATGAGTGGAAATAGAAGATTAAAACCAGTAAAACACCTACTTGCTGCATTGAACCGGAAGCCAAATACTTCGCAGCTTTCAAAGATGGACTCTGGCTGTCATTTATCAGTAGCTCGAACAATACTAGTGATTCATATCAAGGTCATCTCTCCTTGGAGACTCAAAGTTCTAGATTCATTACTTATCTCACTCAATTGGTCATCACTTTGCTGCAAGTTGGAAGATTTTGATCTGAGTTTTCCACCTGGTGAACCTGACTCTGTTAATTGCTGCTGGATTGCCTTCTGGACTTTTTGATGAGATGGAGGGGTAGGTGGACGAGATGGCTTTCCCAACTCAAGCTTTTCTGTGTAGTCTTGGCTCAGGATCCTGAGCTCTTTACTAAATTTGTTACAGTGATTTCCTTTGGCACAGATGTGTGATCTTATATTCATGCCACTTGCTTTTTGTCAGTGGAACTGACAGCAGAGTCCTTCCGACTGTTTTTAGGATACAGATCTTTAACTGTCGGCTGCTAGTTGAACCCCTCTTATTATCTATGATTCCCCCTCTCTGAAGAGTTTGGGCATCAGAAAGGCCATCTATTGAAATTAATGATGAAGTGGGAATGCCAGATTTTTCACACAAGTTTTGCAGGTTTCATGATCACAATTGGGGATTCAAAGTCCTAGAGGAAGCGGAGCCTCAAGTTGTGGAAGAAATTACATGGTTGCTTGGTTTCTTTGTTTACGACCTTGAATTGACTGGAACTTGTTATTTTGATTCATTGTTTTTTTGAGTTCAAAATTGAAGCTGTTCTTCTTTTTTGGTCTCTAACAGCCATTTGCTTGCATTGCTTCAGTATCTGTTTAAGAGCTTGAGATCCTTCCCAGATGTTTAAATTCCAGATCTTTCAATCTCTTTCTCAATCTCACTATAAAGAGAGGGAAGGATGTACGGAGTCCTTGCTTGAACTTAACAGGTTTGGAAGATGGTTTCTGAGAATCTCGACTTCCATCTGCATTCTCCATGGTGCTGGTTCAATTGGAAACTTGACTTAAAAAGGTCTCATAACCAATCTGGATTTTTCCACCGTGGTGATTGTTGGGTCTTTCCGAGAATTTCTGTGGGTTTGGTGTTAGAAATTCCATAGGCCTCTGCAGATTATTTGTCTTCAGTGATTTTGAAAAAAGGATCAATCTGTAACCGGGCGTTTTAATCCAGTGACATCATAGTCAAGGCTAGAATCTGGCAGGTTTCCAAACCCATCAACATGCTACACACACTAGGAGGCCGATTAGAAGTTCCGGAGGATGAGGTAGATTAGGGTCTCTGTCATTTGACTTGCCACATGCTGCAAACCTTTTGAAGGGTGATGTGTTTTGGAATCGAATGATACTCGCATTGAACCTTCTCTACTATCCAGTGAAAGAGGCAAACCTTTTAGCTTTGGGGTTGATTTGACGGTATCTCTGGAATCCAAGGACAAACGATTTCTCTTCTCTACCATCTAAGAAAAACGTGGCATTCCTTTGAAATTGTTGCCATGAACATCTTTCGATATATGATGATCTTGGATGACTCTGGCAGCATCAATACCAAGGTGCTTCTCGAAGTTTAGCAAGAACTCTAAGAGCTCCTTGAGGTCAGAGGGACATTTTGCTTCCCATTGACCCAACTCAGTAGGAGCCTTCCACTGATTTGGGACAGCCTGTAAGGGTCTTGGAGAGTCCCTACGCTTCACTGCACGACCGGCTGCTTCCTCTTTGGTTGCAGTTTTACCTCGACCGCCCTGGTCCCTAATGCAATAGAGTCCTTCACCACACCCGGGATCAAAGGCTTGCCTCCCTGTTGGGGACGTACTTGATTGAGCACGGGTTCCCTTGGGGGGTTCAGGAAAAAAGGCTTCTGTGAAGGAAGAGGTTCTGGTTGAGCTGTCTTGGTTTGTCCACAGATGATAAGGAGAACAAGAGTATGAGAAAGAGGCTTCTTGATGATTCAGTGGAGATGCTTTGTTTCTCATAATACTCGTGTTCAAAATTTTATGCAATGACAAGCCGTACAAATTCTGCTTCCGTACCAAGAAAATCTGTAAAATCCAGAGAAATCTATATGGGTTTCAAGTTCCATTCCAGATCAAGAAGTGGGATTACACAGCCTAGCCAGCACGAATTAGGAAAAAAAATCAACCTAGGTGTAATAGGCATCCCTGATAATGGGAATTGAATTGGTTGTCATTAGACATATCCCCAGCCAAATTCTAAGAGGATTCCCGCTTATGATTCGACCTAACAAACTGTATAAAAGCTCAAGTTGAAAGTAATGATAACTGATTGATGTGAAAGTCGTATGTCTAAAGTACAATGAGATTGCTATCCAACAGTGGTTTGAAAAAACACGATTCCCTAAAAAAAAATGTGTATCGAAGATGGAACATACCAAGGTGATTTTAAATTTACGACATAATCTCAACTTTGTAAACCAAAAAAATGGAGTATCGAAGAGTGAAAATTCGTACCGTACTGTTCGGGCGTGTGGTGTAGATTTGCGATACTTCCCTTTCGCCGGCCACATGCTGAAATGGGCAGTTCCCTCTGAAAGAAAGGAATTGCATTCGAGTTATAGGCCGCAATGCTGACAGTTCACTCCATTAAAATATTTGCAAACAGGACAAGATATATAAAGAATAAAAGTCAATATCAATTGGAGCCATGCATAGAAATGCGGACACCATCTGCCCAAGTGTTAGGACCAGTCATAGAATTTTTTTTCACTCATGAGGAGATTTGTGATAGAGGGATTGAAACATGAAGTGCCAAAAAACCTTTATGATAGTATCATTAACCAAAGTAGTTTGATATGCATCATCCCAATGATTACCTGGAGTCCAGGCCTAATTCGCTTCTCCAGGAGTACTGGTGACGATCGAAATTTGAAAAATCGTTCAGCACCGATGTGCTTTGCAAATTGGGTTGTCATCAGAAAAGAATGCAGACGTTTTTGCAGCATCTTCTTGTCCTCTGACCAAGGCCATTAATACCCCACTTCCTAACATCCATTACTATTATCTTCAAGCTAAGCGTTTTACAGCTTCTCGCAGCCACATGAATAGCAAAGCTGTTCAAAAATGCCGGAACCAAATTTTCACCACTACGCAAGTCACAACTTCAATGACAAGCTAGATATAAGCAGCAGTAATTTTAATTTCCACACACACCTCTGTAACCATCTGACAACCAATTTCAGGGTTGTCAGCGCAATTGCAATTTCCTCCACAGATCAATGACAAGCTGCAAAAATTGGGAAACGCCAATGTGTTGCTTATACACACGACACCTTACCTGCTTAAGTACAAGAAATATCTAACTTATTCCTGCTTTTGTTCCTTCCTTCCCCAAAATGCGAAGCCAACACTCAATTGCAGCTCTTTCAATTCTGTCATGTAATTTCCACAAAACAAAGCTTCAACAGAAAAGTTAACACTCAATCACGTTACCTACTATTACTCTCAACCCGACCCAAAAGTCGGGTTCTCCCCAAACGTCACTTCGTCCAGCAATTTACAGCTCAAAGAAGATATTTTTCTTCATATGAGGATCCACCAAACATGGTCCTTTTTCATCAAAGCTCCCATTCATAGCATTCTTTAACCATGGGACCTTTTGGGTTTTCTTGATCTCAACAGTTGGTTGCAAGCATTCAGAAATAGTCCTTCTGCTAGCCCTCACTCAGGAAAAACCACTCTAGTATCCCCCGAGCGCTCCTCCTATTCGATTCTGAGCTCGTGAGCGACAGACTTGTGGGTTTCACAGAATTTGTTTCTGACTCTATCAGATATGGGTCCTGTGGGACCACCAAAAGGGCTCCTACGACTTGGAGGGGCCCTCCCCACCTACCCTATAGACTCCCTACGCCAGCCCACCGATTTTAAAAAAAAAAAAAAAAAAAAAAAAAAAAAAAAAAAAAAAAAAAAAAAAAAAAAAAAAAAAAAAAAAAAAAAAAAAAAAAAAAAAAAAAAAAAAAAAAAAAAAAAAAAAAAAAAAAAAAAAAAAAAAAAAAAAAAAAAAAAAAAAAAAAAAAAAAAAAAAAAAAAAAAAAAAAAAAAAAAAAAAAAAAAAAAAAAAAAAAAAAAAAAAAAAAAAAAAAAAAAAAAAAAAAAAAAAAAAAAAAAAAAAAAAAAAAAAAAAAAAAAAAAAAAAAAAAAAAAAAAAAAAAAAAAAAAAAAAAAAAAAAAAAAAAAAAAAAAAAAAAAAAAAAAAAAAAAAAAAAAAAAAAAAAAAAAAAAAAAAAAAAAAAAAAAAAAAAAAAAAAAAAAAACCCACCTACTAAACACCATTCTAATATTCATTTCAGCTAGCGTTGTACAGTTTTATCAGCCCCATATGAATTAAAGTGTTCAAAAATGCCGGAACCAAATTTTAACAATACGGGGGGCCCAATTCACAACTTTACAATGAAAAGCGAATCAAGAATCAAGTAATTAGTATTTTCACACACAACTGTCTCTAAACCATCTGAAAAAACCAATTCAGTGTTTTAAGGAAAGTGCAATTTCTCCAGCCAACTAATTGACAAGCTGCAAAAGTGGGACCCCCAAGTGTCTTTATACACACTGACACAATTACCTGCTTCTTAAGTAACCAGAAAATAATCTAAAATATCTGCTTTTGTTCCTTCCCTCTCAACAAAATGCAAAAAGCCAACGCTCAATGCAGCTCTTTCAATATTTCATGATAATCTCAAAAACAGCTTCCCAACGACGTAACAATAAATCAAGGTTAAATACTTATTACTCCTCAAAAGACCCCCAAAAGCTTCTCAAAAGTCACTTTCTCAGTAATTACCGCTAAAAGAAGATAAATTTTTCTGTCACGAGATTGCCACCAAAAATGGTCCTTTTTCCAACAATAAGATCCCAACTGCCATAGCATCCTCTTATAACATGGATACCCTTTTTGGGTTTTCCTCAATCTCAAACAGTTTGCAAGAATTAAGAAAGAAAATAAATGAAAAAAAAGTATACCAGAAGATGCAACCAATCTAAGAGTGAGCGAAAGAAAAAATTTGTTGGGTTTCACAGAATAAAATAAACCAGACAAGCCTTGTGTGAGAACACACAAGGGCCTAAAGGAAATTGGAGGGGGGAAACCCATTGAAAAACAATAAGCACACAGCATCCAGAGTTATCAAAAACATACCTTCAATTGCCTAAAAGAAACTAAAACCAATTGCAAAGTTAAAAGGAATCTTTTGGCGTCCAAAGGATGAGATGTGTTCCTCAAAAGAACAAATGGGGAGGAAAGCTTATAACAGATGGGAGAAGGTTGTTGTTTTATGGAAAATGTTGCAATGTGCAACCAAATTGTGAGGTTAAAGACTCAGAGTTGGAAAACATAAAAATGAAAAAAAAGTTTCTTTTTTTCCAGGAGAGAGGAAAAGTAAGAGTTGCTGATTGTATGTGGGTGAGGATGTGGTTTAGGCTCCCTCTGTCTCACATCCATGGGGAATAATGAGGTGTGGGGGGGTCTAGAGCTGTTTCTATGGGCAGTGAAGGTCAGGGGAAAATGATAGAGCGGAGAGAACTTTATATATGGGAGTGGATGGAGGATAAGTGTGAAGGGGAAAGATTTGCACTGCAAACTCCCAAGTACCAAGTGGCAATCAGAATCCTTCTGCAAACACAACAATTTGTCATTTTGCTGATTTACCATTATAACTTGGTGAAAAAGTAGAGAAGTTATCTCATTTACGACAAAATTGAGTTAATATGTACCACCACCAGGAAAATGAAAACGGTGATCGTGTCAAGGCTACGACGTGAGTAACGTGATGCGACTGACGAGTGGTTGCTGCTCGTAGCAAATAATAAATTGAAAATTGAAGCACAACTGCTCAGGTGGAGCTGATTAGGGGCCTTAATTAAATATGGTATTAGTGTAAATGTCACCAATTACCACAATAATGGACTCAGTTATGAAATATATGGGTCAGTGTCTATACTCATTATCCGTAGAGGAATATTGGAGGGAATTATAAAAATTAGTACCTATGTAAACCACCACATCAAAAAAATACCTCGGCGATGAATCCTTTGCGCATCAAATGATAAGGTGTTCTAACAATGCCAATGGACAAAGGTCATATCAACTAATGGAAAGTTTATCATGAAAAAATTTAGTAACATCGTCAAATTTGTACATTCGTATTTAAATTTGGGGGGTTGTGATTCTTTTCTAGTTGACGAAGTCAGATGCCCTTACGTCGATATATATAAGAATGATAGGTATGCATGGAAAGTGACTCGCTTGTCAACTTTACCCCATGGCCGTCCAAAGGGCCGCCTACATATATTCTGGAAATTTATAGTCATATAACTTGATCGTATTTATGGTATTTAATCAAGGAAATAATTGTAGCAGTTAGGGAATACAAACCGCCAATATGAACATCTCAAGACATGGGAACCATGACAATAGAAGAGTCTTACACCTAATCTGACATACTTAATCTCAAGCAAATATATCTTATAACTTAATTGAAGTCATTAAACAACAAAAACAAAAATCCATATAGAAAAATCATATATAAACAAGTTTCCATGATTAAGCTGTTAATTATGACCTACATGTGCATGTGCTTGCTAGCTAATCACATGACAGGACCTCCATTGCAATGCATTGCCATTTGGCTTTTTAAGGAAGTGAAGCTGATCACGAGCCCAAGAAAAGGTAGCAAAAGATCAACAAAAGGTGATCGTGATGTACGTATTAAATAAATACAACCGAGGAAGGTTGAGAGCAAAGGAACTAATCATCAGTGCATTGAGCCCTAGCCACACTGGATGACAAAGTGATGAAGGAAGTAACGTGTTATGCCTCACTCCATTAGGGCAAAACCAATACTAAACATCTCAATCATCATATCATTCATAACCTATTTGCAGGTTTTAATCATCACCCCTACTCTTGATTGCCACATTATTCATTCGGCTTACGTTTCAATTCCTCAACCCCCACCAATCAATCATCATCTTCATCATTGACACATCCACACACTTGAAATTGAAATATATACTATATGATAAGATTATGAAATATTAATACGGAAAGATCTCACACAAATGTTCGTTATTTGATGAATCCCTCAGTTATATATATTGTTTAATTATCAATATATAGGACAGGACTGTTGCTGTGCTAGCTGCACATGTCAAGTTGATTCTGTTTGAATAAAAATCACCCAACCATCACAATAATCTGAGTGGGGTTGGGTTAATAGCCTTCACATATTATAAATTTGATAATTAATTAGAATAATGGGCTCTTGGTGCTGTCACTTTGAATTGAACCAACCGCAGAGCCTCTGGACATTTGCTGGTTAGAAACAGGTCAGGCACATGGAATCTGATTTGGTTGGTGCAATGCAATGCATCCCTGACGGAAATAAAATTATATGACCAAAAGGCAAGCCAATGAGAATGAGATTTTCCCCAGACTCGAAGCATAAGATTTGTAAAGCATGGTGGTGGTTGGTTGGGTAACAAATTTCTATCAACTGTCAACACCAACTAACTGAAGATGGCGGAAGGTGAAGAAAAAAGCATGGCGTCCATCGTGTTATAGTTCTTTATAACAGGCAAACGTGACGGCGTTAGTGAACTGTCGTCTTTATGCTCATAACATAGCCAAACATGACTATAAAATTCATAACTCTATAAAATTATAGCCAAACATGACCATAAGAACGGAGAATTTGGCGAGCAAAATTCAATATTCTATCAGCTATTTGCTTGGTACGTAAACTCAAGCTAAGGGAAAGAAAATTTCAATTTCAACGAGCTGCCCAACAATTCAGTTTTGGCTGGAGCACAAGGTTCCATGTATAATGTAATTTACAAAAACGCAACCTACACAGTTATCCATTGGCATATTTCGTACACCAGCGGTCATCCCAAAAAGCACATTACAAACAAAAAAAGAAGCAAAACTCACTAAACCATTTTTCGGGTAATTCCAATGTAGTACAATTCTGCCTGCCGGCCAATGGAAGTGCTGGTATCAATCTTTAGGCGACTCTACTTCATCCTCTATTACTCTACGATAAAAACCCCACGAAAGACTTGACTTTGTTATCGGTCGTTGACCAAATGGATGCTGCTCCACATACTTTTGAACATTGTCAGCCATAGCCAATCCTTCTAGAAAAGAACGAATTTTACCTCCAGGTCCTGCGATTAATGTCAAGTGTATAATATCACATATTACACTACGTCATTATGTAAAAATACATTGATACTAGAACATACAGAAATAGAAAAAATGAAAAGAAAAAGAAAAGCATAAATATGATTCCAATGTCATCTGGAACAAGGTATGATATGGAATGACATTTGTCAGTCCAAAAGGCAGGGGCAAAGACTAACAATAGACATCAGAACAGAGTAAACATAATGACACACCTGGAAGTTAAAATTTCATACCAATAACATTGTGAAAACATAGACGTTTTACAGACATTCTAGTTCTGTTTTCTTCATAAAAATTAATTATTGACTACTTAGAAGTAAACAAAAAACCTCAGAGGATAAATAAACTGAAAATCATAAATTCAAAGAACTATAGGAGGAACCTGCAGACACAAAGCTTTGAAGCCACACGATGTACATAATGATTAAAGGACATAATGACAAGACTAAGTACACACGGGGTTCAAATTTTGACCTGCATAATTAGTTTAGTTGAGATAAACCATGTGGACACAATGGCATTACAATTCCAAATACACGGCAATAATATGCGATATAGGTGTGTCTGTTGTTAACCTCACAATTCCAAATACATAAAAACTTAGCCTCTACTCTTGATGGTGTCTCACCTAATGATGCATCTCTTCTGTCCCTGCATTCATATGAGTATGGAAATATTGCCGTGTTCGCCTAAGCAATTAGAAGCAAAATTATTAGAATAAGGTTATAATCGTTATACTAAAACCAGTCACATTCATGAGAAAAAAAAAAATATTCAGAGGAAAGAGTTGATCAACTAACTGGATTGCGTAAAGCCTTGTACGGGGAATCATCCAGTAACAATGTGTTTGATTCATTGTACTCTCCCTTCACCCATGGAAGATTAGGGTCATGCTTCTCCCATAATTTTCTTAGTTCTTTCAAAACAAGGGGCTTATCTGTGTTGTCAATGGTATTGAACCTCGTAGTAGTACAATGGGATTGGTTCTGCATAAGCCAATCATCATAAGAATAAAGTAATGGGTATACTGAAATTCAATGCAATGAAAAGATGAATCGATTGCAGCCATGGTTTTTTTACTTTGGTTGTATGATTCATGAAAGAGGAAGAGCAAAACACTAATTTAACTCAACAAACCCTACTGAATAAGTCCTCAAGTTGTTAAGATGGCTTTACCCAGCAAAAGAGCAATTTGTGTCTGGAATCTCCCAAGAGGAAATCTATCACCATGTCCACGTTCTTCCTGGAAAACAAGAGTGTAGAAAATCATATACCCAACAAAACAAGGAAATGACAAAGGAAAAGGTATATCAGCCTTAGAATGAAATTTACTTGGTTCTTGAAGACCAAACACCCACATTGAATCTGTCAAAGCAGAACTGTAGAAAATCATCACAAAAAGGCCTCTTAAAAACTGTGAAAAAGTAAGAGGGAATTAGAGTTCAGTAAGACCAGAAAATAATATAACTCTCAAGATACGTTTAAATGTCAATTATCACCTGCTTTCCTTGATACTGTTATGTCAGGTTTATATTGCTTAAGGATATGACATTCCTGTGAGACAATATCAGCAAGAAGGCCGTTTATATCAAGAATGAGAAGCTTTTTCTTAGAACAGCTAACAAGAGATCTTTCAGCTGCACAGTCTGATATCTGTGAAAGATTACCCTCCTTCACATTTACGGCCAAAGGTGGCAAGGAAGGAACTTCAGTCTTGGTTTCTGTCTGTTCTATATCAGTAATATCTTGTATATTCGTAGGGTCCAACTTTGAAACTTCTGAAAGAGAATTATCATTATTGTTTTCATCAGCTTTAACATCTATTAAAACTTGGCAAGGCAAGCCTGCACAAATATCGTGGTCAGTGTCATTATTTCCTGAGGCATTGGATCTCTTGTTCTGCTCCTTGTCCTCATTCTTCTCCTGAAAAGTACTGTCCTCCAAAAGTATCTGTGGCACTTCTAGCTCTTGTTCTGATAATATTGCAAGCGGAGGCTGTAGATATGGATCTGCTCCTGGAATAATGTTTTCCACTAAAGAAGTATCACCTGAAGGATCGCAACTTTCATCATTACTCTCACAGATTTTACGCCTTTTCTTCCCATTCTTTTGCTTCATTTTTTGCGAGCAGCTCAAATCCTCAATGGGTTTGGGACTTTCTGAATTTTTTCTTTTTCCAATTCCCTCCACAAGTGGTTGTTCCACTTCTAGGTCTTGTTCTGAGAATATTGCGACTGGAGGCTGTACAGACAAATCTGCTCCTGGAATAATATTTCCTTCTAAAGAAGTACCAAGGCAAGGATTACTTCTTCTATCATTACTCTCATGGGTTTTATGTCCTCTCTTCCAATTCTTTTTCTTCTTTTCTTGTGAGTAACTCAAATTCGCATTGGGTTCGGGACCTTCTGAATTTGCCGTCGTGCTAATTCCCTCCATAAGTGGTTGTGGCAATTCTAGCTTTTGGTCTCTGAATTCCAAGACTGGAGTCTGTTGAGAGGAATCTGTTCCTGGCATAATATTTTCCACTAAAGTACTAACAGAAAGCTTGCATCTTCTATCATTACTCTCATGGGTTTTAAGCTTTTTCTTCTTTTTTCTTGAGCAACTCGAATCTGCAAAAGGTCCAGAACTTTCTGAATTTGTCTTAGTGCTAATTCCCTCCATAAGTGGTGGTGGCAATTCTAGTTTTTGTTCTGAGAACTCTGAGACTGCAGGCTGTTGAGAGTGATCTATTCCTGGCATAATATTTTCCACTAAAGAAGTACCAACAGAAAGATCACATATTTTATCATTACCACAACTTTCATCATTAGTCTCCTGGGTTTTACACCTTTCCTTCTGAATCTTTTTCTTCTTTTTTCTTGAGCAACTCAAATCTGCAATGAGTTCAGAACTTTCTGAGTTTGTTTTTGTGCTAATTCCCTCCACAGGTGATTGTGCCACTGCCAGCTCTTGTTCTAAAGATTCTGTGACAGGAGGCTGTAGAGATGGACCTACTGTTGGCATAATATTTTCCACTAATGAAGTACCAACAGAAAGATCGCAACTTTTATAACTATTCTCATGGGCTTTAGACATTTTCGTTGGCTTATTTTTCATCTTTCCTTGTGAGCAACTCAGCTCCTCATTTGTTCTAGGACTTTCACAACTTCTATCATTACTGTCAGTCTCATCGATTTTCCTCCATTCATTCTGCTTCCTTTTCTTCTTTCTTCGTAAGCTAGGCAAATCTGCATGCTGTTTGGCCTTTTCTGAATTTGGTGTTGAGCAAATTCCAGCACAAGAGGCCAGGCATGAATTTTCAGGTTCTGGGGCAGCACCTATCGTAGCTTTCTTCTTCTTTCTCTTCCTTCTATTCAAGTTTACATGAGGTGGTAACTCTGCTGGTACCAAATCTGAAATAACATTGATTGAAGGCTCCTCCAGCAGTGTGTAAGCCCCAAGTGGAGAATCATGATGTACATCTCTACCTGAATACTGCACGCAAGAATTGTTTTCAGGGGTAATATTCTCTGATGAAAGAGCACTCTTCAAACAATCTGGATTGAAATCACCAATTTTTGGGGCATGACTCCTCTTCATCACTACATTAGGTCGGGATTCCACTGGAACTGATTCTGTATTATCACTAAAATCAGGCTCTAAATTATTTATAATCGGGGCACTACTCCTTGCTCTCTTCCGCTTTCTCTTCCGCTTTCTCTTTTGCACTACAGAAATCAGGGCTTCCGCTTGAGGCAAATCTGCACCAATATTGACTGAAGGACCCTCTATCATAGCATTCTTCATCAAAGAAGTCCCCTGTTGACAATGTACATCACTATCTTTAAGAAAATAGTTACTCTCATTGGACTTCTCCTCCTCCTTTTCTGACTGTGAATTTGATTTTGCACTACATGGTGAATTTTCCATATTGATCAGAGGCTAATGACTGGGTTAATCTTCTCCATGAATTCAAGAATTTTGAATAAAGTATCCCCTCCCATTTATTTATTTTGCATTAATATAGTTGATCTCATTACAATATGCTGCTCCTCAGGGGCCTCTTTCCCAGCCAATTAAATATACAGTCTTTGTTTTCCCGGTCCTTTTTCTAGACCTGAGAAACCAAAATAAATTACATAAGAAACATTCACAATAAAAAAGGGTTCAAAAGATAATTAAAAAAAAGATTAACCCCATAAGATCATCCAAATTCCCCATTCACACATTTTACAAGGGACACAAACAGATCCAGGCGAGTACAAAAGCAATGAATAAATACTAGGGCTATTGAGATTACAGTATCTCCTCATCAGATGGCATTCAATCAACCATGCAAGGGGATTTTAAAAAAGTCTTAGTGACAATTCGGAAGGGTAAAATATCCTGAACTTGCGACAAATAATAAAGAAAAATTTACCAGTTGATTAAAATAGAGATAGGACATCCCCGAAGCCAATATTATTGGGCACATGCTTAGAATTCAAATTTATAACTAATGCAATTAAAAATCATGAGAACATAGTACAAGCAATCAGTCCAGAGTGTATATTCACATAACCCTAATACCCAGAACTGTAGGTGAGATATATACATGCAAGTTAAAACGAAAATTAACATGACATATAAAAGAAGAAAACAAAAGATAAGAGGAATAGATTGGGCAACTTCTAGTTGCTGATTAACTCCCGCTGCAACTAAAGGACCTAATTCTTCAGCAGTCATATAACTATGAGATTAAATTCTAACAAAGAAATGGATCCTTCTTTGCATCCGAATGCAAAAATTGCATACACAAACGACTGAGCACCCAACAAAATGTATTCATAAACAAGTAAGCGAGCATTATATAAGCAATATAACTATGGCAAAGAAACAATAGTTCAATATTTCATTTCAAAGCAATAATACAAGCACCATTCGAAAGCAATTCAATAAAAACAAACCAATATGTCCATTGAAAAGATGGGAAAAAAAAACTACACAGTTGGAGCTGAAACGACACTTAAAACTGATAATTCAAGAACACAATTAGTTTAAAATAGGAAGGAAAAGGGTGCGCAGGTGACCTCTCTTCAATCGTGAATATCAGAATCAAGCAGATCTCTAACAGCCCAATTAAGAAAGCCGCAGAGAAGCAGAAGAAGCGAATATCAATGAGTTGAAGGTTGAAGGAGCTGAAACGAGGGTCGTTTTGTCTACCGTGCTGGTGCAATTGGAAGAGTTAACTGCTCTATGCTATACTTCAACTGGTTTTCGCTTCCTTCGACGCGCGGCTACTGGGCTATTTCCTATTTATTCTTTTATTTTTATTTACTTTGTCTTTGTCTTTTTCTTTTTTCGCCCCCCGCCTCTTCATATTCCGATTTAGGGTTCGAGTGTTTCGTGTTGTTCTCCTCAAAGTAATTTTTTTTCATTTTTTTGGCAAAAGAAAGAAGTTATTTTTTATCTGTTACAACACTTAGGATGATTAATTTGAAGTAAGATAAAACAATTATTACAACTTTAATTTTAGTTTAAACAAATACTTTATTCCAAGTGACTACTCTGATTAGGAGCATTGAATTTGAAGTATAAATTTTATAAAGAATTCCTAACATAACTTTTTAGTCTTTTTAGCTAAAATTTAACTTCAAATTGGGAGCATGATTGACAATGTTTTACGGAGAAACTAGTAATTATATTACCAGAATAATAATTAAAAAAAAACATTAGTCTCTCTAATAATATGTTTTATGCAGAGAAAAGGGTACTATTAAAAGAAAAAAATTTAGAACGAACCTCATACAAAATTGAATATACAATATTGAGTAGACTGTAGACCACTACAAGAAGGAAACTTCACAATAATGATATTCAAAAGAACACATTACATACATGTTCTGTAGCTGCCACAGAACTTTTGCTAAGGTTGAATTGCTAAGTAAAGTGCCGTCATTAGCTTAACTTAATTAGCCTCTAAAATGGCATCCCTCCAGTAATAGGGACAAACTGTACAACAAAGAACAAAAACAAAACCCGACATCTCCCTATCAACACCAGTTGAAGACTACAAATCATATCAAATAAATTGCAAAGCTCCATCAGGCATAGGAAGGAGTTCCAAATGATGGGGGAAACTGCGTACACGTCTGATCAAAATCTTCTGTCATGGCATGCCAGTTGGTTGCTTGAATCACAGCTAAGGTCTACACCTTGACATACTTGTCAACATAGCCCTGCAGAACATAGAGAGAAAACTATGATGCTGAAAGCATGGAAATATAACAGATATAACAAGAAAGTGCTGAGTTCAGCTCTATTGACCAACCAGGTCATTTATGTGCATGCCTATTATTAAATGAAAAAACCAAAGCAGCAAAAAGTAAAGCTGTTCGGTCACAATTTTCTTCTTTACTTGTTTTTCCTATTTGAAAACTGCTGAATGAATAGCAGGAAACAAGTTTCCAAAATCCCACTCAACTAACACCAAAAGCAGGAAGGAATTGGAAATAGTATTTACCATCACCAGTTTTGTCAGTTTTCGCTGCGATGAGTCAATGTAGTGATTTATCTTTGCCTGTGACTTGGGTATCTGATGCCTTTTCATGGCTCCGGAGACCTTATCAACAGTCTTTTTGACAATGGTCTTAAACGCTTCCTTGCTCATATTACCCTGCCGCCATGATGGCTTCAAAATTTCCTTTACAAAATCTGCAATAGCAATCTTGAAAAGTCTCATTGATCTGGAATCTTTTTCCTTCTTGCTCTTCCCTGGAGACTCCCTCTGATCAATCTCAATTTCTCCTGCAGCCATGTTTGCTGCATCATCAGGATCACTAGGACTCTCATCCTCAACAACACCCACTTCTGCATCTGCTGTCTCACCATACTCATCAATATCTAGAGATGTAGCTGATGCAACAGTATCTACCTCTTTACGTTTGTTGTTCTCTTCCAGATCCAATGGTTGACATGAGCCACTGACGCTCCCCATGATATTGGAATCACTGGGGGTTTTCTGTTTTTGACCATGACCGCTTTTCTTGCATGGAGTTGATGATGGCTCAATGCTGTCCAAAAGTGGATCATACTGCTCACCATCTGACTTAGGCAACAGCTGACCAACAGCTCTAGCAGAACTTGGCGAAGAAGTTGTCTGTCTTGATCCAACACTGCCAACACCTTGCCCATCAACAGGAACTTGGCTCAAAATGGAGGGAGTATCAAAAATATTACCAGAGGGAACATCGTTTTCTTGATTGAGAATGTTAGAACTGAATTTGGAGCTTAGTGGTTGCTCAAAAGTATCCGTGTAAGGATTATGATGTGTGGGAATCCTAGATGCCCCAAAATCAGGAAGGTGAGATGACTGATTTCTGTCCAGAATATCTGTAGGGTATTGGGACATAGGACCATCCTTCCCAGGAAAACCCAAAATGCTATCACCTACATGGTATTTTACACCAGTCTTCCCAGGCACACCCAAAATGCTATCACCAACAGGGTATTGCATACCACAGGTTGGCTGTTGGTTCTGTGAACGAGACTGAATCTGTGGGGATGAATTTAAAAGTTCACCTGAAGGAAAATTGTCGCCAGAGAAATTTTGCATTTTGTGCATATTTATTTCCCGTGGAGGAGTAGGTTGGGGGTGTATGTTGCTATGAGCAAAAGCGTTTGAAGAATTTAAATCCTGCACAGGAACATGTGTAAATTGATCTTCTCTTGAAAGACCAGAGGCCCCAAATGGCTGACTTGATGGATTGCCGGATCCGAAATCTTCCCTGTGCAATAGAGGACGATGAAACTCCCGCACTGGAGGGTACATCTGATGCAGAAAGTCACCAGCCTGAGAATGAGAAGGCAATTCAGTTGGATAAGGCTGGACAGAAGTATGAGAACCAAAGTCATTCCTTGGAACCAAATGATTCTGCTGAAATTGTGAAGAAACACCTCGTGCAGCAGTTCCTGCATTTATAGATGAATCATACAATGGTCGTGGGGGTGGCGGTGGCAGGGATGTCCAAGTGGAATCTAGTGGTCGAGATAATTGAGCATGTTGGTTAGGTAAGGAATCTTGATAAGAATGAATACTTCCTGTAGGAGTGGACTGAAGTGGATAGGGTGGCATCAGGTTATAATCTCTATGCAACTGTGGAACATGAACAGCACTGGTACCTTGTGAAGGTGGAGGAGGAAGCAACTGTGAAAGATATGGAAACTGTTCTGATGAAAGTGGTTGGCCATTAGAACTTTTCATGGGCCACACATGAGTTGATGAAATTGCAATTGGTAAAGATCCACTACTATAGACCTTATTTGGAGAAGTCTTGGATGCTCGATCTGGTGACAAATCAGATACGAGAAATTCTTCCATCTGCTTAGAGGGACAATCAACCTTTTGAAGCTGTGCAACAGAATTATTGCTTTGAGTTTGCTCGACTACAGACTTTTTCATAAGAGGGAACACATCCTGAGAAGTATCATCACATGACTTCATATTATCAGCACTGCTTATCAGTTGAGGGGATGGTTGATGAGATTTGAGCACTTCCTGAAATTCTTTTTTGTCAGGGATATGAGTGGTGGTTTCCACTGGTGTTTCTGGAAGAATTTGTTTCACCTGCACTGTAGCAGTTGCCACTCTAGAACTCTCACAATTAATTTTATCAGGATCAATCAACTGACTATCTTTTCTAGCAATAGGCACATCTTGCAACTCCTGATCTTTAATTTCATCATGCAGATTCATGGCAGATGTATGCTTAGTCTCTTCCTTAATCCTAGAACTTTTCAAACCAGGCTGCGTGTCCAGATGCTTTTGTTTGCTCCTATGGTGCCTTGAACTGTCATTCTTATCATACTCATGATGCATATACCGACAAGAAGCTCCACGGTAGCATCTGCCTCGAAGGAAGTCAAAGCATTCTGGAATGTGGCGCCTGTCC